AAAATGTAGTTGGTACCTGATAATCAAAAGGACGTAACCAAGGCACATAATCCGCTAGATTAAAAGCCCCAACCATTGCGTTTCCTTGTTGAACCAACGTCTTCAAGTCAAAATGATCATACTTACTGCGACCCAATACCATCTTATGCACCATATCCTCTACAAGGTTCTCCACAACCTCGCTAATGTTCACAACCTCACCCAACACTGCAGCTTTTTCCAACGACTTCACCGCTGCACATAGCTCCTCCTTCCTAATCGGAGCAAAGAGTTCAACCTTTGACGCACTCAGAAGCTGCAAAGTACATATTTTCCTCATATTGCGCCAGTACGGGCCATACTCAGAAAACGCCATGCCCTTTGAACCGTACGATATTATCTCGGAAGATTGAAGTTTTGGCCTGCTCGCGAAAACAACGTCGTGTGTCTTGAGGAAAAGTTCGGCAGTTTCGGAAGATGAAACCACTACGGTTGGGACTTGGCCCAGTTGCAAGGACATGATCGGGCCATACTTTAGGGGTAGGGAGTGAAGAGTGCGATGTGGAAGGGTACCCAACAGGTGGAGGTTCCCTATAATTGGTAGCGTTGGAGGACCTGGTGGCTTCTTTTTATGAGCACTTGGTTGTTTTGGACGAAGGAAGAGTGTGTATACAAGGTATGTGAATGTTAAAACAACCAAAATTTGTGCTGCTGTTGCTTCTGCAGAAGCCATGTTTAGGTGTTTGCTTGATACTGTGGAATAGTCTTCACAAGTTGACTGCAGATTGCCACTCTGGTCATTGTCTACTTATAAGACTACTACTAAAATTTACGTTGGTATATATATGTGGTGAAAAATAAATAATTTTTTTTATTAATATGTTAATAAAATTAAATACTATCTTTTTATATGAAAAATTTATAAATTTTTATAATTATCCAAAATGATATATAATAAATGATAAATTCAATTATTAAAAGTGTATCTCTTAAAAAACAAAACAAAAAAAAAATTGTTTCTCTTAAGATATTTCTTTCGTCTTAAAAGGATTAGATATTAATTTAGTTTATATAGTACAGTTTCATGAAAAGATAACTTAAAAGAGTGACTTGAGATTAGGAGAGTCAACTTTAACAAAGTAGTGAGTATTATTTATGATTATAGTTATGTTTGAGTATATTTGTAAAGGAGATTTTATAAAATAAAAAAATTAGTATAAAAAATGATTTTTTTATAAGTTAAAATTACTTTTTTTAAAATTTTAGATAAATTAAAAGAAAGATTTTTTTAGTATTTTTAAAAAAATATAAAAGTATAAGTTATTTTTAATTTATGAAAAAAATTGTTTTTATATTAATTTTTTTCTTTAAAAACTTATAAAAAATTATCCAAATAGGTCATGTATCTTATATTAATAATTGAAACAAACCCTTTCAACGATGCAATTATAAATCATATGATTTTGACATTTTTTCAGTTAAGATTATTGATATTTAGATGTCATACTAGTATCTTATTTATTCAAATTACTTAAATATATAAAAAAATTTGAGTTAAATAAATATATTATAAATACAGGTATAATTGAGTACGTTGATAATTAGTAGAGATTATTTCATCTTAACCTTGACTCATAGTCGTTGCATCCATTTTAAACATGTATAATATATGTTTAATTATTTGTTGAGGCTTATGAGATTTAAGTCACTTTAAGAATTTTAAAAAGTAAATTTAATTAAAAATTTTGAATTTTAAAATATTTTAAAAAGATCTTTTAAGTTTAATCAATTAGTTTATTTAAATAATAATAACAATAATAATATATTGAGATTATATGTTTAATCTATTCAAATGCTTAAAGTTTGTTGATTTTCATAAAAGTTTAAATCTATTCTCTTATTTAAAGTATTTTAAATTTATTTTTAAAAATTATTATAAAATATGGTTTAAAATAAGTTTGAAAGTTATACTAGACTTTTAAAAATTAAAATCTTAAAAATAACTCATACCCTATAATAAGTTAAATTTAGATATTAATTTTAAGAGTTAGATCAAAATCAAATTTTATAATTATAAAACTTAGCTCCACTTGATTAATTTTTATCTTTAATTATATAAAAGTCTTTCTTAAGATTTTTAAATAGATTTTTATATATACAGAGAGCTACAAAAACAAAAACAAAACTTAGTCCGAGATCCTTAAAATATGATTTGATATATTACATTATTATATTGTTTCGTTTATTTTTTCAATATTAATACAATTACATTCCTTTTATTAAAAAGTTGATGATAAACAAGTAAATAAACGAGAAATAGATAAATAAAAAAACTGTAGGAAATGATTAAGTAAGTTAAACAACACATGATTCAACAGATAATTTAAAAAATAAACAAATTTTATGGTGGTATTGATAAATAAAAAAAAGAAGAAGACTGAAGTAATAAAAATAATTATAGTAAAAACCGATTGTTATTTTCATTTTAAGAATTAAGTCTCTAACTTATTATATAAAAATTAATAGATAGTAATATTGAATCAATATTTATTCTTAATTTCTTAAGCCGTGATAGACTTAGCCAAAAGTCTCATAAAAAAATCTTTAATTTTGGAGGATAATTTAGACTAAATGATGAAAATATTATTAAATAATTAATTGTATGAGTAATTAATATATTACACTAACGAAGATACTTCATCGACCCACTAAATTTACGTACATTTCCAGGCTTCCATAATTTTAATTATGCCCAAAGCAATGGCATTGTTTTCCTTTTTCAACATTCGTATTTAAATGTGAATTTTCCTTTTTCTAAAATGAAAAAAATGGCATATACAACGTTAATTAAAGGGAGTTAAGCTTTTAAATATTTTAGTTCAAATTTAGAAATAAATTATGAAAAATAAATCCTCAAAATATCTTTGGCAATATATAAATTAGGTCACTTGTCGACAGCTAGCATGCATACAGTAAAAATATGTTTGACTTTGCATTTAAATATGTACATTTATATTTATTTTAATATTGATAAATATAATTTATATTTTAATTTTATATTTATAAAATTTTAACGTATTTTAAAACTAACATCAATCATCTAAGTACTTAATACGGATTGATAAACTTAAAAGAACGTTATACTCTCTTTAATTAAAAATTATTTATATTTTTAAAATAAATTACTATATATTTAATATAAAATTAACCGTAATAATTATTATATATATAAAAGTAAATAAAATACTGTCCTGATTTTTATATTTTTATATGTGATTGCGTGTTTTTGTTTGCTTTGAACGCTACATAGTTTTAGGGAATCTCTAGAGTAGAGTAGAGACAAGCTGCGGTGGTTGGACAGCCAATCAAGATATTTAAAAAGCTATAAACTCATATTTAATTCTTGGGCGCTGGTAAGCCAATAATTCAATAGAACTAAAGTTTGAAATCTTAAATTATTTTTTCACGTCGCATTAAAATTATTGTATTATCAGTTAAAAAAGAATATTTTAAAAAATTATTTTTTTAAAAATAGTGTGATTCTTTTTTATTCTTGACTAAATACTATCCCTCCAATATAGAGTATTTTTACTAATTATTAGTAGTTTTTGCAGAAAATTAATTTTAAGTTCAAGAACCCCTTCTAAATAGCTTATATTTAAAATGTGTCACTTCCTGGACATGTATTTAATACATTTTTTATTAAAGAAATTTATCTTACATCACTTAAATAGACATTTAAAAAAAAATTCAATTATTATTATTTTTTGAATAAACACTTCATTTAAATTTGATAAATATTCATTAATTATCATTGATTTTAATTATATATCTTTTAATATTTAATTTTATAAATAAAAATTAAAAAGGCTTACCAAAAATTATATATATATATATATATATAAAAGAATGATTTTCTTACACTAATATAAATCTAAAATTTTTTACCTTTAATTTAAATTTTTTATTTAACTTATATTTAACATTCAATGAAATAATAAATTATAATCCGTTAATTCAATCTTATTTAAAATAAAAACTTTCATAAAATATTTTTTAATTATTTAATTAACAAAATCATCTCATGTCATTTTGATAAGTCTTTTTACTTTAAATAACTAATTTATTTAAACAACAGTAATATATTAGTTTTTATAATACTATTTTAACACTAAAATTATTAGTTTATAAAAGGTTTAAACATGCTTACTTAAATTATTAGCCTATTTAAAATTAGACTTGCAGACTTATATAAAAAGATTTGTTATTAAATAGTTTTTTAAATAAACCTTAACAAAGTCAAGATTTTGAAAAGGCAAACCAGACCTTAAGTAAGGTTTATATTTACATTTTATTAAAAATATATATTATACTATAATAACTTTAATGCAATAAATATTTTTCTTTTAAATAAAAATTACTCTTTTTAGATGTTTTATCTAATCTTTAAACATTAAAGTTGACAAAATGTATTATAATAATCTTGTTTAACATTATAATACAATTTAAAATTAAAATATAATTAAATTAATCATATTTTCATATATTTTAAAACATAAGTTTATCTTGACATATTAACAGAATATTAAATAATTTTATATCAATATAAAATTTTCAAAATAATTAACTCATAAAAAGTATTAAACAATACAATAATTTAAAAACATCTATTACTATTCCTTGTTTAAGATTTTATTACTTAAATATTATTATTATTTATGCAACTAACCAGGTATGATATACCAGACATTTCAGAATAGAAATACACCCCCCCTTAATAATTTTACTGTATGTTAACAAATCAATCGTTCAACAACTCTGAAGCCTTGTAGTGGAAATGACGGTAAGCACTAACAGTTCCTTTCCTTTTAGCATCAAACTGCTGAAAAGCTTCCACCAAGGTCGCTAGTTGAAATGCTGCATTTAGACCCCATAAAATGAAAGTGGATCCCATCCTCCATTTAGTGGGGTTTACTCCCTAGTCAGGGCTCTCCATGAGACGTAAGTGTGTTACTAGAACTTCTCATTTTATTATGCATCTAAAGGGGAAAAAAATAAAATAGTTATAATCACAACCGAACTTTGAATTATGGGAAAAATTACTACTACAGAGATTTAAAATACAAAAAGTCTGAATAGCTGCCAATTATGGTTGTGTTATGTTGTACATGGCTATGCATTCCAAATGATGGAACGCATGCATACATCAAACCTGATTCTCATGTTGCTATGCGCAAACAGAGGAAGGACATAAAATCTTTGTACCCCCACTCGATTTCTCCTTGTTAATGTTGACGGGGAAGAAATGTTTTCGCACCCCGTGTTAGTAAATAATAAAAACCCAAAATCTTCTCAATATGAGCTCACTACTGTACACAAAACCTTCCATGAGCTCAGAATTCATATCAGATGATGGCTGCCAACCCCACAGGATCGCCATCATCAACTTTGGACTCGGGAGCATTGGCTGCGGTGCGTGGTCTCACTGAACAGCAGAATGAGAAGAAGTTAAAAACTTTAAAATATTACCAGGAACATGGATATTTCCGAATAACATAGTTGAGAAGCGTAGCAGTGTAGGAAAAACGAACATGCTCAAGTCGTGTGTTATCACAATTACTCCGAAATATTGAGAAGCTCTTACTGTCTATAGCATTATATCGGTTCATTAACTAGATGTTCACGTGCCCAACTATCTTTCAAGAAGCTGGAGATGTAAAATACAGAAAAGCAGTGAAAGTCATTGCTTACTTGAAACATTCGTAATGATGTTTACACTTTTCTGTGCTGCAAGTGCTTTTAATTTGTTACCGGTTGCTAATTGAAGCAAGCTTTTCATGTGCTGCTTTTGTTCCTTTGGACTGGATGTTTTTGTTAAAGATTCCTCAAAGGCAAGTAAATCTTGCGGGGTAATACAGGGGAGAGACATCAAAACCTAAAAACAGTAAACAAAATACATTACTTGATTGGGGAAGTTCTACAGTAAAGAGAAAAAAAGTAGCCCAGTCATAGGGGAAAAAACAAAAGAAAACTACTAACCTGCCTGGGAGCTGGGTGTCTGTCACAAAGATATACAAAAATTTCACGACAAATGCCAACTAGATCAGCACTGATTATTGCATTTGATTCAAGGGATAATCCTTGAATAATGGATGTAAAAAGATCTCTAGAAACATATTCAATGAGTTCTGTATGATTTGTTACTATTGCAAGAACTACCAACGTGGAACAATAAGAAGAAATTTTAGACACAGCTTCACCATCCGTCCATGTAAAAGCTTCTAAACACATTCGAAGTGTTGGGAGGGCCACACCTTCATGCTTTAGAAGGAAACTGTCACATACAAAACTTGTGAGAAATAAAACTCACGAATAAAAGTTACGAAGTATGAAGAAACTATCATAGATGAAACATGTTCATAACAAGCAGAAAGCATACCCAACCATAGAGGATGATGCAACTGTATCCAAGCTTTTTAGAGAAGACGTGTCTAATCGATTAACATGCCCGGACTGTTCCAAAGAAGGGATTCCAGTATTAAGAGGAGGAGAAGCAATGACAGAGAGGAGTGCACACATCTCACGCGTGAGATCCCTCAAAAGTGTTTCCTCCATCACTTCCACCTTCAAGTCTGATCCACTAAGAATGCCATGAACATCTGGAACCTTTGCTCTTCCATCTTGTAGAAGACTAGACCATGAACAGCTAAGAGCTTGATGAGCATGGACGAATAATGGGTGTAGAAGCTTTTCCAGCCAAATCTCCCACATATCCAAAGGACAATTTTTAACCAAGGGAATCAAAGTGGAATGAACAAGCTGCCTTATATGCCTGAACTCCATTGACTGTATATTCTCCATTAAAGCAACAGCAACAGAGTGCACATCCAAATGTTTGAAAAACGAATCCCCAATTGTCGTTGACAAGCCCAATACATTATACCTATTCATATAAACCAAGGATTTAGTGATGAGAAGGAAATGTACATAAATGACAATAAAGATGTCACAGATATGGAATTTTATCCTTTTTACCAGGAACTTTATTGTTTTTTGGAGATTTGGTGCAAAAATAATTTTAGAGGGGAAGACCAATCATATTTGGGAAAACATACACCAGGGTATAAATTATAAATGAAAAAAAGAAGAAGAAAAGCACACTCACCCACTGTCTCTGATGCCTTTAAACCAATTTCGTATACCAGATTCATTTGGTTCAGCATATCCTTCTTTGTTCATGTCCACCTTAGATCCATCTGTAATTGACGATGAACCCTTTGGCAATTTAGAGTTCCCTTCTCCAAGAAGACTGAACCTCTCAACATCACTCATGATCATTGCAGCTCTGACCTCTCCAGGTAAAGCTTGACTTACAGATGGAGACCAAAGGGAATGTATGCTACGCAGTAGCTGAAAAACACTTAGTAAGACAACGTCCTTTGACAACAAGTTTGAAAGCATAGCAACAATTTTGTTGCAAACACTACAGGAAACATAACAAGGACAGCTTCTTAAGGATACATACTTTCAAGAGAGGAGTCAACATCCATGATATATGAGAGGCCATTGGATTTAAAGAAGTTGAATTTGCAATTGAGCTGTTTTCTGAATTCCAATTAGCTTTCTTGACTCCACTTCTCTTCAGTGCCCTCTCAAAGAATGTCACTGTATGAAAAATTGACCACATAAATGATGTGTCAGAGCACAACTGAACCAAACTGTGCGGATCAGACAAATATTTATCCTGCCACTCCGATTGTGTCCACTGTAGGCTCAAAGGTTTTAGTAACCATGTTAAGACTTCTTGCTGTTGTTGAAACCTGTGCATATTTATAGCAATAACAAGATAACATTGATTAGAAATATCAATAGAGTATCAAACAAAAATTAACAGAATTGTCCCTTCTGTTGGATCATTACCCAGCAGATGAAGCCATAACAAGAAAAGCTTCGCCCAGAAGATTATGCTCTCCCTGAAGTAAACGACCCTCCCTTTGCAAGCATGCCATCGTATCAGCAATGCCCTACATATACAATTGAAAAATTAAATAAACACTATCTCCTCTCAAACCAGACTGTAGGCAGCGGGGCAAACTTTTTACTAGAGTATAGATGAAGTGTCAATCTGGATTCGAGATCTACACCAATTCTAAAAGTATAATGACTAAAGGAATCAGAAATGAATATTTATTGACACAATAGTTCCTCCACAGACAGTCAAAATTAATGCACTATTATTGTGCAGATGAAAAAATGCACTATTGATGTCTCGTGACAGACATTGTGACATTGGGTTGATATCATCTAAATATCAGTAGCAGCATACCACACTTAGTAGATAATGACTTTGAGATTCGTTTGCTAAGCATTTTGAGCAATTCGTAGTGTTGTACATAAATAATGGACAGGAGAACCTTTTGTCAGATAAAACCTTAACTTCTCTAATCCACTCTGCATGTGTAATAAGGACATTTTAAGGTCCAAAGTCCCAAACTTTTGAACAAATTATTTCAAATAACCAAAATTATGCAATGTCAATATACAAAATATATTACTATCAATGAAATCTTGACTTTCTTGTCCAACTAAAAGTCAACTCATGGCCACAAAAAATCTAAATTTTTAAAATTAAGTCAAGTTAATATATATGTCCCTATATTATTTAAGAATTTTCAATTAGGTCTTTATTTTAAAAAATGTGTAACTAGGTCCCCTTAAATTAAAAAATTTAAAATTATAATTAGGTTGCTAACATCAGAAATTCATAATGGTGCTCTAATAAGTAATGAGTAATCATCAAAGCCTGGATTTGTTTGTGAAACTACAAAGATCCATTACAAAGTACAAACATTTGGGTCCCTATAGTTTCAAACATTTCATAAATAGATCCAGGTTGCTAGAATTACATAACAAACTTTCTCGTCCAGTCCTCTATAAATTTTATATACAAGTTCATTCCTCTATATATTATTGTCTCATTCAGGCTGATAAGAGCCAGTCACCATTTATTTGGCATTACCAGATAATTACAATTTTCCAACAATTGGTGTTTTAATGAATGCACCTTCATATGGGGCAAGATGCTTTTGTCTGCGGCTTTTGCTATCCGAATAAATGATGTACAGGTCTGCAACCTTGCATGTCTAGCACTAAATGTTGATGTGTCCTACAAAGAGAGCATAAAGTTTTTAACTTGTAGCATAATTTCTCAATTGTTGAAAGAAACAATAAAATAGGGTTGTTGTGAGAACCTTGATTACAAGAGGAAGAGATGTTAGAAGTTCAAATAGTTTATTAATAACACTGCCAACTGCATCAGGGAAATATTTCAAAAAGGGGCCCATTGCATCCAAATAGTGAACAAGTACTTCCACAAGTGCAGGCTCCGTCCATTTTAAGAAAATAAATTGTTGGAGTAAACCTATAAGACAGACCAGAATTATTACAGATGTCCAACTAAACAAACCTAAAAACAGCAGAGTATGGAAAATTCACTAAAATAACCTTCAAATGTTCTGCATAATGCAAACTGAACTTCGGCATTTGCCTTGGTTAGATCATTGGATCCATCAAAAACTGCATTCACTACATTCTCTAAAGCCAACTGCATGCTTTCCATCACAGCTAAGTCCTACAGTGAGAAAAGATGAACCCATAATGGATAATTACACATAAGCATGAAATGATAGTGAGGAGCTGACAATTTCGGAGATTAAAATATCAACAAGATAGCAGCATGTTGAAAATTTGAATAGAAGATATTTAAACCTGAGTTGGGGCCGGTGAAAGCGAGACACTCTTAATGATTGTATCAATTTTTTCTGAAACTTTAGTAGCAGCTATCAGGGGTTTGTAAGAAGAAACAAACCTAATCAGCTCCAACTGTTTTAGGAAACTGATCATCAGTCAAAAGTATTTTGCAAAGGTTAATTTGAATTAGAACTTAAAAGGGTATAGAAGTAGATTGGGAATGATAGAAGGATGTGATGAAAATACCAATGCAGAATATTTTAGTGTTCTGATACTAGACCTACAAGTGTCTTACAGGAAAGCAAAACTTAAACCATATACGCTCCCTCTTTCTGTATTTCTCACCATATTCTCAATTGTGCAAGATTGGTCTGGGATTAAAAGGTCAAAATTTCAGATTTTTTTCTTTCTCTGCATCTTTTAATATTTAAATGTCTAATGCTTGAATTCAAAGGAATATAACTCATGCAGGAGACCCTCAAACCTATGCTGAAAAAAAGTTTCCTTAATATTCACATAAAGTCAATGGAACATTGCAAACAATAATCACTACTTCCAAGTACTATCTTAGAACTTCAATATGAACAAATTCTGTGACATATAAACTTCTTTACAATACATTCCATAGAAGAATTTTTCCCATAAATAAACAAAGGGAAACAATATTTATATGGTGAACAATATTAACCAATTCATTTTGCATGTGAGCATACCAGCCTAGAACGGTACTGGCTGAATGTGCCCTTGCCCTCAAAATTGTCACTCCACAACTCCAATACCCCTAAAGAAACAGCAGTTTCATGCAGAATTTTTTCTCTCTTGAGCATGCGAGGAAAAGAAGTATCCAAAATTGCACCATAAAAATCATCTTTCACAAAGCTTAGAGCCTTTTTCTTTGCATTTTCAACCTCTCCAGAACCTGTGCTGCTAACAGCTGCACCATCAGCAGCTGACTGTGTGGATATTTTTGGTTTTGACATTAAATCCCTCATTAGCACCTGAAAGTAAACATTTGAAGAAAGAAATGAGAGATATGACCATTTGATACACAGTATTGACTATTGACTAAGAAACATGGAAAACCACCAGAGAGTAATTTTGTACAATATTCCAACATACCAGCCAGAATTGCAGGGATTGAAAATGAATTCCAAACTTGAAATGTTGGAAAAGTCCCAGCATCTGGATAGAAACAAGAGAAAAATTAAAATGAAAGGAAATAAAATACTAAAGATATACATGTGTTCATGTAAAATGGATGTGCAAAATTTTTCACTCATACATATGTAATACCAACATGAGTGTGAGCATAATAATAATAAAAACAATAATAACAATAACTCAGTATTCAGAAAACAAGTTATGGGAAAAATTTAGCAAGATGTATTAAAATACAAAGATATTATGTTTTCTGTAATTATCTTTCCATGGACTTTAAAAAGAACTAAAGTCAGAAGAGATTCCAAACAATAATCTATTATCTATGACAAAATTTCCGAAGAGAAACCAAAACCACAATTAATAAATGTCATACTAAACAAAGTCTTGCTGCCATCTCAAAGTTGCTTATGTTACAGAGTTACTGTATTACTAATTACCTGTTCTAGGTAAAGTGGAAGTATGGTGCTATCGCCAACAATACTTTGCAAGTTATAAGAACCCAGTGACACCATACTTTCACATATATATTCAGCAAATTCATATTCACCCTCATCTATGGACCCAGAACCTGAACCAGATCTGTACAAAAATTCTCTAGATATGTTCATCAATGTTTGAAAGATGCTGCTCATAGCTTGGTCAAATTCAGAAGCAGATGCATCTACGGGCCTCTTCCTACAACCACAAATCAGAGTAACTCAAGGTATTGTTGATACAAGATATATATGTAAACCATTAGAGAACTATAATTCATACCTTGGAGAGACAAGTTTGAAAAACTCAGAAGCATGAAGTCGAAAATCTGGAGCGGATAGTAGGATACCACAACTGTTGGGAGTTCATAGAAAAATAAGGCGGGTAGAAGGAGAAAAACAGAGCATGGTCGCATATCAAGAAAATATTGGTGCAAGATAATAACGAACAAAAGATGCATACCCATGAATGATGCCAGACTTAGCAAGATCTGACAATGGAGCCCACTCAGCATATGCATTTACTGCATTCAGAGTTGCTGTTACAGTAACGGCGTGTAGTTTGGCAAAGTCCATTTGTTTTCTACCAGCTTCATTTAAAGCGGCTGTAAAGTGCCTTTCTAGTAACTGCATCAAGCATCACAACATTAAGAATAATGCTTAACAACAAACATGTAATAAGGTTTAGGGATGAGACGTACAGTGTATAATAATGGCAAAATTTCAGGCAATGATTGAGTTAGCCCACGCAAAAGTAGCCTTCGTCGGTCACCTGAATACATCAAAATTGGAAGTAAAAATGACAGATAACATATCATACATAGATAACTCGCACAAGACAAAATACTCATACATCATTACAATTTACAACTGTTAAAAGGGCCACATTCTGTTGGTGCATGTTAAGAGTGTTGGGTTTTTATGTTTCATATTTCATTTGTTTGTCACTTAGTTTATTAGTATAAATATGCACACAAGGATCCTAACAATCACACAGTGCAACACATTACATTCAGCAATCCATTTCCTTTATGTACATATTCCCCCCCAACCCCCAACCCCCTCTCCCAACTCACACTGACACATTTTGTTCCCTTTCCTTCATGATATCAGACAGAAGATGGTGACGTAATATTGACAGAGATGAAAACCATTTCCAAGAGACATGTAATAAATAAGTCATCCTAGCATGTCCCTATGATTTGCTTATTGATGGAGAAAGGATAACTTATATTGCTGTGTTTAAGTCAAATAATTAACAAAGTTGGAGAAAGTTCAATTCTTTTACTTGATTCGTGTACACAAGCACACTGACACACGTCTACTTAAGAAAACTCAGTGACATTGTAAACCTTCTAAGTCTTCATTGTGAACTGTGATGTCTTCAGGAAGCCACCGCAGCATCATTGCCACCAACTCAGCCTGATACATAATCGTGAATCATTGAAAAAAAAATATAAACAACAAGAATATTGAAATAGAAAAACTCTAAAGAGCCAAATATGATACGTAGGGAAACATGAAATTTACCTCTATTGGACCCTTGTTGGATAGAGAAATCAAAGATGGGAGCATTTCTTGCCATAAATTAAGACCCTCTCTTCTAACCATCTGCGAAAGAACCGGCAAACCAAATATAGATTACGCAAAACAAAACCGCAATTATGCTGTGACAGAGTAAGAGGAAAAATGTAAATGAAAACGAAGATGAAAACCTCGGCAACAAGGGCAGCCGTCTGGCTTTTGAGAGCCCAATTTTCACAAGGATCTGCAATCTCAGACATCAAATTAACGGAAAGATTCGCAAAATCCTTGCGTTCCTCGGGGCTTAATTCCTCCCACCTTAAACGCACCAAATGCTGTATAAAGATACGATTTTACATAAGCCACAAGTATAAACAACTAAACAGAGTTATCACTGAAAAGCAAGCTAAATCCTCCCGCATGTGAACTTGAACAAACCTGCAGCATTTTAAAGGCATGCAACCGAATTTCAGAGGACCAGTTCTTTTTCACCAGAAGGAACGAAGTGTTTGCTAATACCCGTACATCACCTGTCTTGATCTGAAGGAATTAAAAACAAATTAATTAATTACTAACAAAGCATGACGAGTAATCACCACAAAGTAGCAACACTAATAGCAGTTAAAATGATGTAGCAGCAACTACACAAGATGCTTCCAGAAACAAACGATATTTTAAAATGCGAAAATTATATCTAAATTGAAGAAAGCTACAAATGAAGCAGCGATGACTGGTGGCTAGGGTTCCTTGTGCAGAAAGATTTGAGTTATTGCTGAAAGGAAGGAATAATGCGAGCAGAGAAAATGAAAATTGAGAGAAAAAGAAAAAAGAGGTTGCGATGAGGTGATTGATGAAATATGAAGAAAACAAAGAGAAGCGATTACGGATTGGAGAAAGGTGACAGCAGCTTGTCGAGAATCGGGCGTGGAGGCCCAATCAAGGGCGGTGGCAATAGCTTGGGCCACATTGTTGGCACTCACGCTGTTGTTACTAACACCGTCTTCCATCTTTAACTGTTACTGCTGCTTCTAAGCTTTTTTTCTTCGCTTTACTTCTTCTGTTCTATCGTTGATGCTCAGACGAGAGAGAGAGAGAGGTTCGCTTTTCTGTCAACACCAAGTCTCGGTTATGTAATTGGGCTCACTCCTCGGATTTTATGTGTAGTGCCTCGTTGTGCGTGACCCTTCTTGAGTTGGCGTTGATGTTCTTTTTCCTAATTTTTTTATTTTTAGAGGAATTCTTTTGCCAAATACTAGGGTCCTGTGGAGTGTTGCGTAAGAAAACGTAAGTAAATATGTTTCTACTAGACAAGGCACGAGAAGGAAACGAAAACACTCATGCATGTTTTTAAATAATAATTTAAAGGTATGTAATAAATGCATTTAATGTTTTTAAATTAGTAAGCATTGCTACAATTTAGTACCAAGTATGAAAATTATTATAGAAATTGTTTAGAAAGAGTTTACGAGGATATGAGAGGAGAAAATAAATTTTATATTTAAAATAAAATATATAAATTAACATAAATTTAATATATTAATCATATATTTGTTATTGTAAATAATATATAATTATTTTAATTTAAAATAAAAAATATATATTTCTTTCTTTTTTTTCCTTCTAAAATCATTCTCCCAAGCATAACATAGAACAATTAGTTTGATTAAAAAGTAAGTATTTTTTGTTTATAGAATAATTAGAATCAAAGAGTTTTTTTTTTACTCTTATTGTCACTTCAAGAATTAATATTAGCCTTATTTTTAAAATGATTTCTATAAATGTTATTTTATGAAATAATAAAAATGAATCTTTTTTTATCTTGAAGAAAATTAATAAATGATTACTGAATATAAACTCACTAAATTTTCTTGTGATATTGATAGTAAAAATATTTGTTAAGAAAATTAAATAATAATTAAATATATTTTATAAATTTTTTAAAAGCCCATATTTTTTTATAATCTTGTTTTGATTAAGACGTTTCAAAACTAAAGCCTGGATAATAAAATGTAATGAAGTAAGCGAAATAAAATACAAGAAAAAGAAAAGGAATGAAAAGAGCTGAGACTAAACATGTATTTAGGAAAATGAGAGAATTTATACATTTTCGTAGGGTTATATTTGTTTATTCTGTATTTAGAGAAGCAAATAAATATGTAGATTTTCTTGCAAATATAACATATCTTGAAAATGATGAATGTGAAACTTTTTGTTCCTTCCTCCTAAGCTTTTATCTTATCTTTTCTTTGTGAGGTTGTTTATGAGATTGTCTTCCCCAAAATAGTTGGTTAGTTTTGTTTTTTTAGGTTTTTAGCGTGATCACTGGGAAAAAAGAGTTGAGGACAAACATTTGTATAGACCTCACCTCACCTAAACATTTTCTTCACTAGGAGGGAATTTGTTTTTATGAACCTCACCTCAAAAGACTTATCTTCTCCCTTGCTTTATAATCAACCAACAATATCTTTCCCATAAAAATATTAAGAATTCATTACAACTCATATTACAAAGAAAATATAAATTAGTTTCAATATTTTTAAAAGATTATTCGTTTATTTTTAAACTAATATTTAGTTTAAGTCTCAAAATATATATAATTGTTTTAAATGCTCGGATTCTAAAGGGACGGAAGAATGACGTGATGTTACTTACACAGTAAATAATACGACACACAATCAGTACACTGGTGTCAGTCATAGTACATTATTATTTGGATTCACAGTTACAGGATGTATTTAAATTTGACGAGCTGTTTTTTCTAAAAGGATTACAAGATACGCAAGTGATTTCATCCCCAATAGAGATGAGAACACGAAAATAGCTCAAGAATTTATACTATTCTCAACAAGTTAAACAGAACTCAGATATTAACACGGGACTTCTTTAAAAAAATCACGATGTACATTATAGTAATTATCTCATCATACCAACAGATCGAACAGAAAAGAACTCTTCATTTTAATAAAAACCAAGAAATAAGAAATTATGAGAAAGAAATTGAAGGTGTAAAGAGGGGGAAAAATGATTTTTATGCCTTGCTGAGAACCCAGAAGTTATTATACTTAACTCAGGAAGCTAGCAAGCAGCAGGACACGTTTAAAAGCGCATTGCGCAGCATTGGTCTGCATTCAAAAGTGAGGTAGTAGAGGGAAGATGCTTAATTGACTCTATAAGAATGTACTAAATATCTAAGCTATGATTTTCTTTCCTTTAGCCTTCTCCTTGAGGCCACCTTTTAGTGGTCTTGATAAATCCAATGCATCGCCTGTAGTGTGTTTCTTCCGCTTTGACACTCCAATGTCAGCAGTGTTACCAATGGGACCAGACCAAGCTTGGAATGGTTCCTTTGAATAGGTATACGAGGTTGACGTGAAAGAGACATCTGTAGGAACAGTATCAGGATCAATATGATGTGAAGATCCCAAAGGAAAACCAAGTTGTCCATCTTGATGCGGTGGAGGGAACTTTTCACTCTTGCTCTTAGCATTTGCATGAGTGATTAGACGTCTTCTCTGTTGTTTCACAATAAATCATAGCAGCAAATTTAATCAACTTTACATTTAAGTCAGGATGCATAATCATGCAGATTTTCTGTTATAAAATAAGTCGGTTAATTAGAACGAGAGCAACAATGCAAGGAAAGGAGGGTACAAGAAAATCATTAAACAGAGCACAAAAAACAAAAGAAGCAGAAAAACATAAAGATTAATATTAATTAGAAGGTATAATAATATGTATAACCTAAATCAACCCATTTGTCACCAAGCTGAAGCCACTATTAATAACAATGAACCTAATCAAAAAATTTTGCCCCTAAACAAGCAGATATTTAAGCAGTAAGCACTCCTGGACAGAAAAAGGATAAAGTCAAACTACTTCAAAAATTATGCTGAAGGAAAACATTTTAGTTTATTAAGAAGTATAACTAAAAGCTTAACCATACTTCAAATTTCTATAGACAAATTCAAATGCCTCAAGCAACGGAAAGGTAGAGTGTACTGTAACTTCTTAATAAAATTTAGCACTAAATCTTAATAATCAACTAGTTGAAAATGGTATTACTTGCAGATACCTGTGTCAGCTAGAGACACAAAAAAAGAAAAGTTCTGTTGCCAATTCTTAACTGTCCTTTCTACTTACTCTCAATCATTTCATTTTATTAAGAATTCTTGAAAGATACAATAATATTAAAGCAAGTCTATTTTTTATAAACCAAAGCATCACTTGAATACTTGTGATTATTGATATAAGTAATTTGGACATACATCAATATTTGATTGAAGCTCAGCGTTGGCTTCAGGAGCAGGAAAAGCTTTTACTGCCCGATCACGCGTGCGGTGCTTCTTTGGACCATCAGCCTGAGCTTTGCCTGCAGCTCTTAGTCTGGACATTCACATAGACAGAGTATCTTAGAGAAAGTCAAATATAACAGGATGGCTAAATTACAACTAGCAGACATTAACCACAACGACAAAAGAGAATCGTTTACTCTGATAATGTTTATAAATATCAGTGTGTATAAATTGTAGAGTTTTTGCATGGGACTTTGCGCATGTGAATGTGTTTGTTGGAAAAGTAAACTTATTAAATAATATAAGGTCATAAATTCCATCGAATAATCTAAAAAATAAAAGCTAGAATTGTTTAGGTAATATCAGGGTCAACACCCTACATTTAGTCTTCGCAGCTCTTATCTTCCTTCCACATTCCCTCTCTCAATTATACACACACACATGCACGCTAATGCTTGCGGTATTGAGAAAGGAAAGTCAAGAGTAGAGATACCTCCTCATTTCATCATCTCGTCGTTTAGCATCCATTTCCTTGCTTGGGGGATATTTTGGAAGACTAGAAGGATCACATGCATAAGGCTCAGTGGTAAAAAACTGCAAAATGTAGGAGCAGACAAGCAAGGTAAATGTATATGGATTTTGCTAAAAAATGATTATCAAAATTAAAATAAAATAAAGCCTAAATCAGATTCAAGATAGTTCATTTATGAAATCTTACATGGATACACCTATGTTACATTAAGTTTGGAATGTCTACATACTTTATTATGACCATATAAAACAAAGCATCCATTCCAAGTAGGAATTTTATTTAACTTCAATGCCACAGTAAGCATGACAAACCAAATTGTTGGATCTATTCCAAGCTCCCTCACATGGTTTAGGTAAATTCAGCTTAAGTGAGGAACGTCACCTCCAAGAATATATTCAAGATTTTATGAAATTTTCCTTTATCGTAGCTGATTATTACATTCAAGCTCGATATGCAGCTTATTCATACACATCACAAAACAGAGCATGAAGAGCATGATTTAGACATTAGGTAAATTTAAATGCACAATGCATCAAATAAAAGATCAGTATAAGTGGTATGACTGTGAGATAATCTCCGTGACAAGGCAGTATAAAATCAGAAAGGACCACACCATCATTTTAATGAAAAGAAGGTTAGAAATTTTTAAAAGCCCACCTCACTTCTTAAAGCATCTGAGGCAGTTTTTCGTTCTACAGGATCAATTGCAAGAAGAGTATCAATGAGTGGTAGAGCAGAAGGTGGAAAATCTTTAAATGTCTCTCTTATGCGTCTCTTGTATGGCTCTCGAGGTTTAAACAAGGTAGCATTAGGCAACTTTGACTTCTTCCAATACTCATCAGAAGGTGAACCGCATAGTTTGTATATCTTGTGCAGTTGCTCCACCTATGTAAGTAGAGAGTTAGAGAAAATATAATTGCGATTTCAAATAGTCAACAAATAAATGCAATTGATATATCTTAGAACTAAACTGTGCTTTACAAAATTGAAATTCCCACAAACCATGCAAGAGATATTAGAACCAAATGGAAGATCTAATGTACCATTTAAAAAAGGCAATTTTATACAGACAGAGTATTTATACATTGCAGACAGTGTAATTGGGTAGTTATTTGTCCACATTGCATATTGAGATAAGTGAACCAAAATTATTACTAATAATATCCTTATAATCACTAGCACCTCTCTATCCTCACAAATGCATAGTATAAAACAGATATTCATAGAATTACCTTAGATACTTGCAACACAAAAAATCAGGGAAATGAAAAATCCTATAAGCCAACAAGATGAGATATGTGAGTTGTTACCTCAGTACGACCAGGCATAATTGGCTTCCCAGCCAATAACTCCCCTAAAATACATCCAGCACTCCAGAGATCTACACCCACACTATAATCCGTGGCACCAAGAAGCAACTCGGGAGGCCGATACCAAAGGGTCACTACACGACTAGTCATGGGATGCCTGTGGTTTGGATCAAAAATAGATGCCAGTCCAAAGTCGGCAATCTTAAGTATTCCCTCATTGTCAACAAGAAGATTTGAACCTTTAATATCACGGTGAAGTACGTGACGGTTATGACAGTGCTCCAGTCCTGATAGCAGCTGATGCATGTAACATTTTACCTGCAATATAAGGCACAGTATTTGGAGACATCAAACCCTATTACTTGAAAAGAAATATATCAACTACCAAATGATATAAATGTTGTAGTGTAATTCAAAGTGTGAGTTATTGGCTGTTGAGACCGGTAGTTCAGTTTGTTGTGGTTGCTAGTAAGAAGTGTCAATGTGGGACTTTCTGTTGTGTATAAATGTGTCCAGTTTATGTGTTTTTGTGTGTGTGCAAAATAAAACTATTGATTTCACTCCCATTTTCCTTCTCTTCTGCGTGTGTGCATTGATCTTATCTCTAATAATAAGTAATTCTTACATTTTTAAAGCAAACTTGGTCTAACCTGAGGCTCTGTGAACCTGATTCCCGGGCTTGCAGCAAGTCCAGCCAAATCATGCTCCATGTAATCGAACACCAAATACAAACTACAAGACATCCTTGATGTAACTAAACCTTGCAACTTTACAACATTGGGATGATCCAACCTTCGCAAAATAAGAATCTCTCTTGCCATGAATTTTACACTCTCAGGTTCCAAATTGTCAAACCGAACCTTTTTTAGTGCAACAATCTTACCCGTCAACGTGTCTTTAGCTTTGTACACGTTACTATAAGTTCCTTGCCCAATCTAAAATGAAAGGAAAACAAGGAAATTAAGATAAGAGAATAAACATAGCCAGAAGCAAATATTAGGTTCTACACTATACGAGTTCATCTGACTCAAATGATTCACAAATTCAATTCCCATTAATTATACTACCAACAAAACAAAACCAACATTTCATCTTAATAATGAAAATTGGCAGCAATTGCCAAGATGAAATGTGGATTAGCACTGGAAAATAGCAATACCTATGGTAATACAGTTTCTTTAATGTGTGTCCAAAAGCACAACAAGAACCTATATATATTAAGTTTTTATTAAAAATCACAAAATAACACAAGATCCAATACATTCATAATATTAAATGCTACAACTTTCACCAAAAGCTTAGTGATTATTGATTTCTAAACATGTTTCCTGAAGCCCAAGTAAGGAAAATCCATGGTAATAAATTAAATACAATGCATACACCCAAAATTGACAAAAGATCTCTGAGGAAAACAAAAACCCACCTACCCACCTTATCAATTTTCTCAAACGTGTCAGCCTTTCGCGGAATCCAGCCATTGAGTGCTTCCCCACACACTGCAGTGAGCCAGGGAGGCCACCCAGCTGCAACCTGCTCCCCACGCAAATGCTTTGCCGGATTGCTCAGCCTTGGATTCGCCTTCGATCTCCTTCTTTCGGCCCGAGGCCGCTGCACCCCTTCCCCACCACCACCCTTCTCCTTCTCCTTCTGGTTCCCCCCATTCTGAACCTCTACACCCTCCCTTTTGCTCCCTGACACCTCCCTCTTAGACTCACCACTCAAACTCCTCTCTTCCTTCACCTCAGAGATTATTCCCTTGGACACTTCCCTGCTAATCACACACCCCATTTCTCCAATCTAAGCTCCATCTCTCGACATGCTTTCCAATTCCTAATTTCCATACAATCATTATTCAATCCAATCAAATAAAAAAGCATAACAATGAAATGAAATCGCCTATGCTTTACTATCCCCCGCAATTGACTTTGAAATTGAACTTAAATTGAAATCAAAAGCAAACCTGTGGTTTACGAGTTTCCAACAGCCAACAGAGTAACTTTCAGCATCCACTAAGTACGAGTGATCTGATCAGAAGAAAAGTGAAAACGAAAGATTTGTGAAAAATTAGAAAGAAAAAGAAAAGATTAGAGAGTTACTGTAATGTAAGAGTAAAATTGGTTGTTTCAAATCTGAATAGTGAAGAGGGTGTGCGTGTGTTTGTTTGGTGCTGTATGCACTGTTTGGACTTTTGCTCTCAGACAAGAAGAAAAGGATGAGATCTTCTTCCCATTCTCATTCTCACAAGTCAAATCCCAAACACAACACAGGTCACTTGCACACTCATTTTTTTTCCTTTTTAATTTTGAAGAGGTAGTTGCAGTAATTTCACACCACCAGTACATGTATCAAAGCTCGTTTATTTTATAATTAGAGAATTAATTTTCACACTTTACAATATAAAATATACACAAATTAATTTATATTCATTTATTCAAAACTAATATATATTTAATGCAATTATATTTTTTGAAATTGAAATTCAAAATAACAAAAAATATAAAGTGATTGATAAAATAATAAATTAGAGCGTGTGTTTATTTACTGGTTGGGGGTTTCGTAACTCCAAAGGCACGGCCAATTAATCCGTAATTTATACAATTTTACTAACTTTATTTATTGCGTTAGGAGAAGAACAGTGGTTTTTGGTGTCTTGTTCAACAAAACTGTGTGTCCAAATGAGCGAGATGTGGCCTATGTCGGGGGTTACCATATAAGCCAACCCATGTCATAATTATTATTTCACGATTGTGTTGCAAGTAAGGAGTAAGAAATTTCAACTCTTTTTTTTATTAAATAATAATATCTTGTTTTATTAATATACGTTTATTATTAGTCAAATTTTATGTAAATTAAGTTGAGTCAAATATTTAAAGCTGAAACTTAATTAACACTTCCTCAAGTTTAATAATTATCGCTTAAAAGTTTTCTTATTGATTATGGAAAATAATAAATATTTTCATTACTGAAATGCTTTTATTATATTTTTTTACTGTTCATTTTGCTTCTTTACTGAAAAAATTGTTTTACATATAAAATGTATTTATTTAGATAAAAGTAAAAATATAAATTTGTAATATAAAATTATAATTTATTGACAATTTAATTGAAATATAGTGATGATTTGGTTTTTTAAGAATTTTATTTAATTGTAAATTGCTATATTAATAAATTTTATTAATTTTGTAATATTTTCATCTGTGTAGTTGAAATTAAAGTTAAATTTAGGTTTGTTTGTTTATTAAAATAAATGTATTTTAATAGACGGGGTTTAAATAGTTTATGTTTTGTCTAACTTATTTAAACCTTTATCTGTCATTGTTTGAAATAAAAGAAAAAAACATTTATTTGTTGTTTTTTAATCGTTACCTTTAAAGTAATTAAAAAGTTAGATATAAAGATGTAAAGATATAAAGATAATTTTTAAAATAAAAATATAATTTATTAAAAAATTAATTGAGATACATTGATAATATAAATATTTTATTATTATTATTTAATTATAAATCATTGTATTAATAAGAATTATTGACTTTTGTAATATTTGTTTTAAATTATAATTATTGTATATTATAATTAATTAGTGATATAAAAACACAGTATATTAAAACTATATTTAGTTATTGTTTATATTTTTAATTTAAAATTTTAATTTGTATCCAAACATTAAATGTTAAACCTTGACAGCTTGAACTCTATTCATTTATGTAATTGAAATTAAAGTAAAATTTAGGTTTGTTTGTTTATTAAAATAAATGTATTTGATTGAGCATTCAATATATTGAGTTTAAACAGTTTATGATTTGTCTAACTTATTTAAACCTTTATCTGTCATTGTTTGGAATAAAAAATATTTATTTATTGTTCTTTAATCGTTACTTTTAAAGTAATAAATAACAAATTTATTATTATTTCATCAAAGAAAAATACAAAATGAATTGACATAATTTTTACAGAAATACAAAAAAAAAACATATTTTTATTTATTTTAACAATATTTTCTCTTTCTTTAAATCTCTCTCTATATATATTCATACACTTATTTAAATTTTTTGACTTTGAAAATCCATTAGAAAACTTTCTATTCAAAATAGTAGTTACATTGTTTTCTGTGTTTTTTCTATTCAAAAGTTAATTTATTAACACGCTAAAAATTAATAAAATTTAGAGTTTTGTTAATTAGAAAATTTCAAAAATAAAAAATATAATTTATTAAAAATTATGTTAAAATACATTAAAAATTATATTAAAAAACATAATACTTAACTTTGACCTAAAATGTAAGTTACTAACAAATTTTAAAATGTAATGGAATCGTAACTTAAAAGAATAATAACCACATTAGTAAAGCTGCCCTGAGTTTAACCATTGTTGGAACTTGAAAACTAGAATTGTAGACCTTTTGCTCTTGGAATGGGAATGTAATAATGTTACAAATAAAGAGCATTAAAGTGACCTAAGTGTAGAATCCCGATGCTCACTATTGTTTATATGGTTTCGAGGATGATAGGGTAACAAAAGGGAGACCACCTCACAGTTTCGCATCAATTAATTATTAAATTTTAAAATATCAATAAATGCTTTTAAGATACTAATTAAAAATAAAAAATTATAAACATACTTTATTCAATACATTAAGAAAACTCCTCAATAAAATTCTTAATTTTATCTGACTAATAACTGATCTTCAATTGAGACAAAAATTAAATTAAAGTTATATAAGTTGGTGGGTGTACTTACATTTAGCATGAATCTCATGTTAACAACCTTGTGTTTATTTATATTGAATCAATAATTAGTTTTTGTAAAATTAAATTATTTTTTACTATATTTATTGCATTTTAGTTGTTACGCACAACAAATCAGAACATTGACAAAAGTTGATTTTATAGTATGACAAAAGTTGATCCTTACATAGCTACCATATAAGATTGGTATGCATGAAGTTGATGATGACAAAGAAATAGTATACTTGTATAGACGAAGTATACAAGCCAGAACAGACCGTATAATATACCAACATAAACCGTAACTCATGACTGTCATATCTTACAATGAACATACATGAAATACTGAATGCAGAAACATAAATGGGGCATAGATCGTATTTTGAACCTTCTTGAGTTGTGCCAAATTACAATAGGATTTTTAAACACGTTATTAAACTATTATCCCTACGAACTCGATTATACCATGTAATACTACTGTATCATAAAAGAAAAAAAAAAAAAAACTTGTATTACAGTTTGCTGCAAAATATTTTTTTTGTACGAATATTTATTTATATAATATTCTTTTTTTAAAGTTCTCTTTTATACATGTTTTGTAAGTTCATTTGCTTATTCTGGGAACGGGGGTTAACCCAGCCTAGACTGGATCAACCTCCGGCATAGTTTAACACATTCAATAAATTCCGAAGCCATATATATATATATATATATATATATATATATATATATATATATATTTTTCTGCATTTCAAATTTATTGCTTGTCATGAAATTATTAAGGAGATACCGATTCTTTCTAGTAAATACCTCCAAAGGCACCATATTATTTGGAAAAAACTAGATTCCTTAATCTATATAGTATGTTATATTCTAAGATGGCCAAGATCAGAGCTTGTTCTTGACACGTCTTCGTCTTGGGGTTTTAAATCTTCTGTTTCCATGCTTTTGGATGCCTCTGCCATGGATCTCCTTGGAGGAGCTGAGCACACTGGAACTACTGATCTGATTCGCACAGCTGGGGCCATATATAGAGGATTAGGTGCTCTTATCATGCCATACCTTTCAGGGGTAGGCATGCATGGACTTCGTGGGACTCCAGTTCTCAATCTTGAAGCAACAGCCAGAGGTACTTCCTGGTGTCGCAGTCTTGAACCGGCAGATGAAGTAGGACCCAATGTTCTCACCTTGGAAGATGAAGTTTCTGGTGGTCTAAAACTTCTGTTGGAACTTGCTTGTGAATGTGCACTGAGACCAGAGGAGTCAATACTAGATGGGTTTTGCAACTCAACATTATCTGGTCTGGGTACAGATCCCATGCTCCAATGAGAGTCCCATTCAGATTTCTCACTTTGTTCTCCTCCTAACTCAGCATTTCTACTTCTGCATCCAGAACCACCACGCTTTTGTCTCTCATCTTCTGGAGCTGGTGTTAGCACTCTAGCTTCATTGCTATAGTTGCAAATTGGGGGTGGGGGATCTTCTGCTTTTTCTTCCTGGAGCTCTCTGATGGTTACTGTTGACCTGCCCCTGTTTAACTCGGGAACAATTTGGTTTGAAAAATAAAATGAAGGGCTTGATGTAGCAATAGAGAATTTTGGTCCTACAGGAACGGATGCTAACTCTCTAGCCGGAAAATAAAGACAGTGGTCTGGCTGGAGCACAGATTGCATTAATGGATAAATCTGTGGAGGGGGTGGAATAATTGGTTGAATGGTTAGTGCCAATAGACGATTTTGTTGCTGCATAATTTGTTCTTGCTGCCAAATTTGATATAGAGCCACCTCAGGCGAGAAACTAGAGATTCCACAATGCTGGCATTGCATAGTATACATGCCTGTAGTTGGTTGGGTTGACACCAAAGATGTTGCAGTGGACTTTTGCCACCTATGTTGATGATCACTTTTGGAAAAGTTCTTTGACCCAGATGGATGCAAACTTGCAAGGACCCGAGCAATGATGACTTGTTCCTGTTCTTCATTGCCTTTAGACTCCGGAGAAAATGAGGATGAAGTTGAAGAAGATAAACGATGCTCTGACACTGGAAAGAAATTTCAAACAACATATAAATTATAAAGTTAAGTCCTGGAAGGAAAGGGGGAAGCATGTCAAAAATAAAAAGGTAAGTTATAAAGAAGACAGTTTGAGGTGGGTTCACAGAGAATGTTTCTTGTGGAGACACCAAGAAAATGTACATATAAGTATACAATTACATAAGCAACGTGCTCACATTTTCTCAATGCAGACCAAGCAGCCATTGCAGCATTTTTCTGAGCCTGTTTCTTGGTCCTAGCTGGGTCTCCAGTAAAATGCATTCCTGCAATCTCAACGGTACATGAGAAGTTAGGACCATGGCCTGGTCCAGACCGAATGGTCGTATAAACAGGAAGATTCAGTCCAGCTCTATGAGCAGTTTCCTGTAGCAAATTCTTGTATACTCCTGTTTCATCCTGTCAACATCCAAATAAAAAAAAAAAAAAGCATATTCAAAGAAAAATATTATTTTAAATAATTAAAAAAAAAAAAAACTGTAATAGAAGAATTTTAATAACAGTGATGAACATAATTCATCACATTCTTCCCCCACCAAAAGGAGATGGGGGGGAAAAGAGAGAAAAGAAACGGAAAGCACTAGAATTAACTGCAATGAGCAAAAATTCCAGTATTTTTAATTTAGATTCCTATGCGGTGTAGTTCTTAAATCTTAAATTCTTCTATCCATTTTATCCCATTTGGTTGTAAAAAAAATTAAAATCTAATGAATCAGACATCCTCTACACATCCTTTGGAAGAAAGAGTAGAATCTTATAGTCTAAAAAAGACGATAAAAAAGGGAACAACATAATTAGAATATATTTGTATTGCATTTTTCATCAAAAAGGATAGAGAAACGCAGCAAAGACCTAAATGGAAATGTATATTTGGCCTTGATTTTGGTTGGTTAGCATTTTTGCCCCATCAAAAAGAGAGGTGCAAGAAAGGAACGTTGACCATTAACCCGGGATCAGTGTTACATGGAAAAAGCTAAACATGGAAATCCAGCTTCCCAGTAGTGATGCATGACTGATAAATGACTGATCTAGACTATAGACAAGTTAGGTTATGATGACCAGTTATAGATTCTTAAAACCAAACATATAGGCATTAGATATAAAACCATGAAGAAGTTTATAACTTTAATTCCACATATCTGATGCAGTGATGCCAATATAAACAAAAGGGTCTACAGCTAAGCAGTTCCCTAAGAGCATTGGTAAAGAAACATTAAATACATAAATGCCTGCAATTACCTAAAGGAGCATTTGTTAAATGACTATTGCATTATCCAATAAAATGAATGCTTCCTTTCCCAATATAAATTTTTTATTTTGTTTTCTTAACCTGTGCCCTCTATAATTTGCTTAAACAAAAATCAATATTACATTATTGAATATTTTTGTAGGATGAATTGCTCACACAAGCTACCATGAACCATCCACTTTAACCTGTATTTCCTTCAAATTGAAATATAAAGTCAAAATTCTGAACCCATGACTTCATAATTCATATCATTTGATACACAGTAGGACCCAATGATCATTTGTTCCAGTATTCAAAATGACAACCATTAAACATCAAATGACAATGGATAAGCCATTATGCACTTGACAAGTCAACCAAGTGACCACAATTTTGAAGAAAGGAAGAAAGAAAGAAACATCAGTGAAATCTAGGAAATTGGGGGTGGGAGGATAAAAGTTTCCCAATTGCTCACCAGAACTCTTGCAGCCAAAGCTCTGGAGGGACCTCTTTTTGCAAGTGTGTTAAGAGCTACCTCAGCCGCTGCATGTTCTGCCTGTCTAAGAGTAGAGCAGAATGCAGGGCTTTCAAAGGATTCTCCATTAAAATTGACAGTTGCCTTGAAACGAGGAGCGTGATCTGGCCCTTCACGAATACATGAATAGGCTGGCAAATTAAAACAGCTTCTTTGAGCCAATTCTTGCAACCGGTTCTTATACATGTCTGCAAACAAATGAATGCACACTGCACAGGCATTAGTAAAAAGGTATTTAATTTTTTATAATGTAAGGGAGAGGACAGGAAGAAGGAGCAAGAAACTTGTGTTATTCTAGCAAACAGTTCTGTTAATGAATAATACACCCCACAGATTCTATCCCAGTGCAGTAATAATAAATAAACATTATAACTACACTGTGTGAGAATGGGGTAAGAATTATGAAATTTATCACATCTGAAACATTTCAAATTCTCTGAAACTCACTGCCATTACACCAAAGACCAATCATATTCTTCATCCACATAACACCATCCCCAATACTTGATTTGTGTGTGTGAGTCAGCGCACTCACAGATTGGCAATTTAAAGAATAATTCTACAAACTACCAAAATCGAGCATTGTTTATAAATTATAACTGCACTGACAAGCTGACGGCAACCATAAACTTCACCAAATAACAAATTAAACTCTGATCATACTCAATTTGAATTCATTTCTATACAAATTTGGCAATACTGACAATTAAGAAATTTCAGAAATTTTCCGTACCCTGCAGTAAACTTTTCTTTTTCCTGAAATAATTAATCATAATTTAATTTAACCTCGTAAGAAAGGGGAAAAAATGCTCCCAAAAAAATGCCAAATGTAAAATCACAGTCCAGCGAAGAAACTCTAGAAACCCCAAAAAGGAAGTAGACAGTAACAATTAACTAAATCAGTTGAAGAATGAAACAGAAGTGAACAGCAAAGCCTTATCTTGTATTCACTCAGAATCAACCAAATTACCCAGTGGACCAATATTTACAACGATCAAACCCATTTATGACAAATATATACGAAAAAAGTTCAGAAATTGCACTGATAAAAGTAAAAGAATGGTGATAGACAAGTAAGAAAGCAGGAAGCACCAAATCAGAGCTTTGAAGGAACTAGTGGGAAAGGATCTGAGTGTGGGGGAGCAGAGTTGGGGTGAAATTGAAGTTTAGTGATTCATTTGAGAAAATTTTCCCGAGAAAGTGAAGGAAAAAGAGGGTAATGAAAAGTGGGATTAAATACCTAATAAAGAGGAACAGCGATGTTGTGTGCATTCCCCTTTTCTGCTTAGGGAAGCAAAACCAAACTCTATTTATGGTTATGCCATTGCAATTCATCCACCATAATTGTGTTATTGTGTGTTGTGTTGCGCTTCCACCGTAAAATCAACACTCATCAATGCTATACGCCACCGTTTGTTGCAACTTCAAACAACACTCTTTCTTTTTTCATGGATGTCATGTTATATCCTCATTTACTATTTTTGTTTTTTAAATTTATTGCTTTAATGTTTTATAAAAAAAATATTGAATAATACCTTAAGAATATAAAAATATTTTTCATTTTTTATTTAATGGCTAAAAATAATAAAATTTACTATCAAATATAGAATTATATCTTAAATTTATATAAATAATTCTTTTAATTTTTTAAAATTTCTTTCAATAAAATAAAAAACTTAACCAAACACGTGTTTATTCTTTTTCAAAATCGTTTCCGCAGATCAAAATATCAAATAAGTTTGTTCCTAATATAACATTTTTTAAAAATAAAAAATATATTTTATAACTTTTGGTGACATTGTGTAAAATTTAAAACATTTTTCTTTTTTAATCTCTGTGAAATTACAGCAAGGGTGGGAAGCCATTGAAGCATAATTAACGGTTTTTTTTTCCTAACCTCATGTAAAGTGGTATGTGATTTATGAACTTAAAAGGTAGAGGTACATTCAATTTTTACACGACCCATTATTTTGAATGACAAATACTAATAAATGTTTTAAAAAATAAAGAATATTTAAAAGTATTAATAATGCTTAGTTACCCAAACTTTCAACATAGGCGAAATTTTTTGATGATTTATTTATTTATTATTATTTTAATGAATAATCTTCAAACATTTATTAACTATGTCCATTTTAAATAAAACTTAACGCATTACAAGCAAAATTTATCAATACATTACAAAAATCATATTTATTTTTTATTTTTTGTAGACCACATGTTTCTTTAGGACACTGTTAATTTGATAGTAGTATATAAAGACCAATTAAAATTTTGACACCGCTCTTACATATAATAAGCCACAGAATTCGTGCCACAAGCATTAGAAATATGGGTGTGGGAATAAATGAAAAAAAAATAAAATGCATTAGTACATTACTTATGGAACTTCCTGTTGGGGAACATATTTTAGGTAGCCACTTACAATGTTTTGAGATTTGGAAACACAGTGTGTGTGATCACAAGACGCTGCTCTATATATAAGCTCTGGACTCATGGTACTAGAAGTTGGCAACAGTTCATTCATTCATCCCACTGGAGCCATGTAATCATGTACCATCAAAACCAGGGTCCAGCAACAAGAAAGGTGAGTACGGTGTTGTGATATTGAGGCGAGTCATCACATTTATGGCCCTGGGTAACAAAGCTTCTGGTGTTACCTTGGTTATGGACAATGGACAAGAAATAAAGGCCACTTTTTCTACTTTGAGGTTCATTTTTGTAAAGAGCACCGAATCAATGGGCTCATAGCCCATAATTTGGATGATAAGGAACATTAAAAATAGTAACCAAATAATATTTCCAAGTTGATTCTGGAAGCCATTTTGCCTAGCTTGTGTTTTTGTTAAGCTCTGAACTAGTGGTTCACTAGGCAGGAGTCCCGTGATCAAATGTTAATGTTTTCCTTGTTCTTTTATTCAATGCAATTCTCAATGAAAACAATTATGATTTAACTACTGGCACAACTTAAAAGGACTATCTCATTAGGAAAGAGAATTTCATGGATTAAGTAATTCATTGAATTTCTTATTGTACTCAATGTGAGACTCATAATGTTACAAATGTAACGAACAAATGCACCATTTTTTTTATTAGAATGATGACAATCTACATGTATCTGCTTAAAAATAATTATGATTACATTATGTACCAACGCATTTTCAGGGCTTAAATGCTGGGGTTGAATCAGTTTCAGGAGGATTAAATGTCTGATACACTTTCCTATCAATGAAATTCCTGTATGGATCCTCCTCCCTCTTCTTGATCAAGTAATCTATATTTCGTTCAACTTCTGACTTAATCTGCAAGTAAAGTTGGCTTGCAATTTCTCTGTCTTTTAGCATCTTCTCCATGCCTTTTGTTCTTATGGGTTTCCCAAATAGATAGTAAAAGCGACCTGGTATTTTGGGTAGAAGCACTGGAAAAGTGATATTTTGGTTTGCTACCTCCCCACTTATTTCATCCCTGGATATTAACAAACATTAGTGGCTTGTGAATGAAAAGTTCACGGTTTTGATATATTAGCTATATACGCCTATGTCAAACATTAAGAAATAAACACTATTGAGATGGAGAATTGTTACCTAAACTTAATTGAGTCACGACTCATATTTCTGATGTAATCGTTGACTAAGGGAATCTTCATTAAGTCGTTGTAGTCAAGAGCTAACTGTAAATTCAAGCAGGAGAGTCCAATCAAAAGGCAAGTACAATTAATCAAAGCTCAAGCATTGCAAAGAAAATAATAAAAATAAAATGGAATGATTGTATATATTTTCTTCTCATTCATTTTTTCTATTCAAATTATTTCTCAAAATCCTAATTGAGACTTAAATTATTTGCAGTTGAGTCTAACTCAACTCTAAAAGTTAGCTTATAAGGTGATGATTGCTTAGCCTTTATAAATTTTATTTTAGCCATATCTGTAGTTAACATATGTCTTCAACAAAGACAATTAAGATGAACATTCCCAACAGATACTTTTTTCAATCCTACAATCTATAGTTAAGAGAGTTTTCTAGTTGGAAAGAATGACAAATGAATTATCCTTACTAAGAAATATTTAACATTAAAAAACACAGGGAACTTTCGTAAGTGTATCAAACAGAACATCCTGAAAGTACACTTTGCCAACCATAGCAACCATTGAACAGACATTGTTGTAGTGTTTCAATGTGGATGAAAAGTCTAAACCTCCCATTTACCATACCACAAAAATATTGAATGTTGTCAACTGTAAAATCAAGCACTATATTCTATATTCACGATCACAAGAGATTAAAACCACTAAGGAGAGGATTTTCATCTCATTTGTGGCTGGCACCTATGATCTATCCATTAAATGCTATATCACATGACTGAAGCAGAATGGACGGTCTATTAAATTGCTATGGTTAAAAAAGTAAAGACCTGTACCCAAAAAGAAAAATAGAGAGACTATTAGAGAAAGAAGAAACCTACTTCAGCTATATCATCTTCGCCTACAGCTCCAAATGGCACAATTGTAGCACCAAATCGTGCTGCCATTCTCACAAATTCAGGATGATCAGGCCAAATCAACTTGTATTCCTCCCCCTGATGGAGCACAGTCAGTGTTAAGGCAAAATGGAGAACCATCATCACAAAACAGTTAGCCCTGATCTCAATACTTGACAAGCTTCATAAATCAACATTAACTAAAAATTAGTGCAAACTTGACAAGTGGTCATGCACAGTTTGGAGTTATATTTTAAAATAGTGGCGGAAATACTAAAAAAGGTATTGGTAGAAGCCAATGATCTCCATTATATGTTTATGCATTGCATGGTTATTTCTGTCTGGAAAATGAAATATTTTAATTGCTACTTTGCCTCTTGAGTTCCTTAACATAGCTTTTACAATAAACAGAGACCTAAAATTTAGGATATCTGATTAATAAAAATCTTACCCAACAAAGTTTAGATTAAAATATTTTTTTCCACAAAGCTAACTATATAAATGTATCTAAAATATAAATTACGACATGAGAACATCAATTTTCTGTTTTAATGATATGAAAGCATAAAATAACTGAATCATAAATATGGCACAAAAAGACATAGTTTCATTTTTTGTTGGATAAGAAACCTAGATGAAACAATAAAACTTGACGCACCTTAAAATGGAGAGCCTCGCGCGCACCTCCGGGGTATAAGAGAACATGTGATTTTGTTGAAAGTAATTTAAAAAGATTGCTTGCTGAAACAGGTACACCACCAAATATCTTCACCCAATCAAACACAGAAAACTCAGAAGAAAAATTTTCTATTTTTGCTGTAAACAGCTCAGGATGGGCTATTCCACGAAGCGCAATACCCTTTTGACTTAAAAATTCATCTGTAAGTGAGATAAGCTCTAACCCCAACAACATGTGATAACCAACGTATAAGACAGGACCTTCATCTGGAACACCAGAGAGACCTTTTACAATCGTCCCATCATCCAAGGTTGAGAAAAATACCGATCCAGTAACAGAACGAAACAAACTGCAATCCATATCAGTAGCATATCAGCTTTAATTCTTCAACAACCCCCCCCCCCCCCTTTATTTTCACCCATCAAGGCAATAAGGACATTAACTAGTAATTTTCTAATAGAAAGAACACAAGATGAGCATAATATTGCCAGATCAAATTACCCAACTACTTGATCCATTGCATATCTGAATTCTGTCATACTGGGAGGAATGAAATCCTTGACAAAATCATGCCGACTTGAACGACGGTACATGCAAGTCCCCTTGATGATTGTTAGCAGACCAATGCCATCTTCCTGCACTAACATGCAAAATACAATTAATCAACTAAGCTAGAATTGAGTTATCATTGAAGGCTATACAGGCAGTAAATTTGTAATTAATACTGTTAAAACTTATATTGCCATAAGGTGGGTTTTGATAAACAACTTAATGATGTACTTATTCAGTAAGTTCTTACTAAATGAGAGCTTATTCATAAATTTCACTGCAAAGTTTATTCAAATAAGTTAAAAAGAACTCATATTAAGCTTTTTCATAATTTATTCAAACTTGTAGAAAGAAAGTTTATAAGTCACTTCCACAAACCCAAATAAGTCTTCCAAATGCCTCCATAAAAAATTGGCTACTGAGTTTATTCTATAATGCGAAGTACCATGATGGAAATTATGTTAAAAAGTAGTAGCTTAAAATAAAAAAACATCCTTTTGTTTGCCTGTTGTTCCATGGATACCTTCAATTAAATTTCAGGTGAAAACCCTTCAGTTGCTCAATTTGGTCCTCCAAAGTTACATAGTCTTCTCCTTTGTCTTCCAAAATTTTGATCACCAAATTAATCAAAACTTCTTCTCAACACTTTAGTTCTCTAAAAATTTTATTACTGAATTAGTCTCTCAAAGATTCCTTAAAGATTCTGTGTTGTTACTAGATTCCTTCGTAAGGATATATATAGTGACATTTTATCTTTGATATACTAATTTAGTGATAGATTAAATCTTTGAAAAAAATTAATTTGGTGACAAAAATCTTCAGAAACAAATATGGTGATGATTTAAATATTAAACGGATAAATTTGGTGAGCAAAACTTTTGAAAGACTAATGTAGTGATGATGCATTTAACTTTGAAGGACCAAATTCTCTACATGTAAAATTTAAATCTCCTGAATAGTCTACATAGATTTAGAGGGTGGAGAGACATTTCTCAGTAACTTTCTTTGTTCTTCTTGCTGTTATCAGTTTTCTGTTTTGTGAGTAAATCCAGGATTAAATACTAAATGGTCTATTAATCCAATTTTGCATTCAGTTCTTGTCAAGATCCTTTAAAATGACCAATTTTTTAATATACTCCCAAAGCATTACTTAGTTCTTGAAGAAGTGTAGTATTCTCATAATACATAAGGCTTCTCTCAAGTGAGATTGCACAACTATGCCTAACTTGGGTAACATGATGTAATGTGATAGTGTCACTTGACACAAGCTTTATATGGGGCTTATCAAATGAGAGCATTATTGTATTATGAAAGGAGAAAGGAACTAATCTTAATCATTCAATATTAAAAAGATGGTTAAAATATGTTCACTTGAAAAAATCCCATGACTTTACTGATGATAGTTGCAAGTATATATATATCTATTCATCTCACATACCAGAAGAAGGGTGTGCCCATTGTCCTTGAAGTTACGAACTTTGCAGTTTTGCAATAAGCCTGCAAGTCTTTTAGCTTCATTTACACTGGGAAGCATGTTATCCTTGCCACTACAGTGGAAACTTTGTCAATCACAATTCTCAACACCTGACTGAGATATTAACTAGAAAGTAACTTTTACATGTCACATGAACACTAGTCTCAAATTGGAGTGAATAAATGCAAAATAGTAAAATCCTACACAAAACTTTATTGACTAGTTAATTACACAGCGGAAGAGATCAATGCAAGAGCCTAAGTCAAAATTCAGCAAATTTAAGTTTTCTTTTTTAAAACCTCTCATATTATTGACCATGTGAAACATACATAAATTATTGTTCTTCCGAGCATATAATTCTGTAGGTTGTTGTGGCAGAATTCCTCTGATATATTTTAACAACAACAATCAAGTCGTTTCTCACTAAGTGGGGTTGACTACATGGATCAAGAGATGTCATAATATTTTATATTGTATGTACAAATTCAGATTTGAGAGGCAATTAGGAAAAGAACCTATTTGGAATATGATGATAAACAAAATTACCAGCAGAAACAGAACATGACACACACACACAACATTATTATAGGAGACATCAAAACTAGAGAGAGTAAGAACCTAGCAAGCACAAGTACTTCAGCTTTGACAGCATGAAGACGCGAATTAGCATATGCAGCAGCAGATTTGAGAAGTTTCACCTTCCAAAGAAGAGTGTCCCTTGGTATAATATTAGCCATATCCTGACAATGACAAGTAAAATACAGATTAACAGCTTGATATAATCCCATATTACATGAACTTTAAGAATTTGTCTAGAAAACAGAACAGAGGAAAGGGAAGGAGGAAAAAGACAAATACTACAATCTAAAAAACTAGATTTAATTCTTGTGCTATGCGGGGATTGATAAATATCTTTAATTAATAAATTATAATTTAATTAAAATTTATTGATGTAATAATATATTTTTATATTATTATCTAATTACAAATTATCATATTAGTGAAAATGATTAATTTTTATAATAATTATTTTAAAAGGTATATTTGTTATATATTATAAATGCTTGATAGTGTAAAAAGATTTATAATGATAAAATCAACACTATGCTTATAAATTATTTAATGTTTAATTCTTAAAGCAGTCATAAACTTTATTATAGTTATAATATGGTAACTATATATGAAAAATATATAATAAAATATTTTTTCATATTGCAGTAAAAATTGTAATTATTATATTATAAATAATTATTTTATCATTTTATATTTAATATTATAGTTATAATGTAATATTATATTAATACTTGTATTTATATGTCTGATAATTAAATAATATATATTATAATAAAAGAGAGAGAAAAGTATAAATGGACAAAATAGTAATCAAAATTAAAGTCAAAATTGAGATTCAATTTTACAGTTGAAGATTGGAGATAAAAGCTTGCTTATGCATATATATAGAGAGATATATAGATAAATAGATAGATAGATAGATAGATAAGAGGGATACTGAAACAAATATAACTTGTAAGGGTTATCAACAAGGTGAAAGAAAAATCTTTATGAATTTGTAAGTTTTGGCGTGTCGCCAAAATTTAGGAGTTAAATCCATGTCACAAGCTTGTAAGTCTTGTCACAATTAATTAAAATTAGAAATGTAGTAGCCATAAAAATAACAATTAAAACACACAGAGATAGACAAAAGGACACAATATCAAAAGCTTCTTACAGGAAGACATGGTAGCAATGCAGTAAGGTTGTATGATAATTGTTCAATTTTCTTTATCAGAGGAAGCCTATTGCCGATGTTGACTGATGCCATCTTCATTGGATCACCTGATGTCATTATAAATGATATAATAATGTATAATATGAATGCCTTCTTTAATAGATGTACTGATTCTTAGGCATAATCCACATGATATTAAATAGGTAAGAATTGGAATTAAGGTATCCATCACATATACAAACGAATTGTATCTCCATGTAAATGTCATAATTGGAGTCTTAAGAAAATAGATTATTTACCCATAACAAAACTAAGAAGGAAGGGAACAGTGACATGCAGTTCATTAGGCAAAGCCTCCAAGATAGGAAACAAAGGTTGTAACTGAGATCTGCCAAAGGATGTAGCTGTGATTGAAAGATATGTAGTCAGATTCAAGCTGAGGATTGACAAGACATCACCAAATAAATACATTATCAAATATGACAAAACAGAATACAGCATTGATAGACTCACCAGGATTGGCTAATATCAGTACTAGGTCAACTGTTGGATTACGAGCAGCAACAGCAAGTGCTAGGCATCCACCAAAGGAATCACCTACCAGATAAATTGGCTTATTTGGAGCCAAAGCATGCTCAAGTTTAACAGCTTCTTCAACAAGTTTCACCAGCCCTATGTAAAATTAAATAATAAATAAGAAAAGGGGAAACTCTCCGTTTAAGTATCAATGATAGCACCAGATAATTTGTGGTTTGCATTATCAACAGTTATTAAATTTTATAATTGAGTGCATGTTTAGGTTTGCTTAGTTTTTTGAGAGAAGAAACATTTTTACCCAAAAATCTCTCTCAAGCAGATTTTTATTATAAGCTATGTAAAATACAGAATAAGTTAATCTTAACACACATCAAATGCTCTGGCAATATGTACAACAACCATCATACAAGAATTTCACCAATCATATGCGAAGTAGTGATATGAAGCCTAACTTCCAATTATTGTACACTAACCTAACAAGAAATTTGAAATCTAAATTCATAAAGAGTTTTCAACAGAAAGTTGTTGGTTCCTGCCATGACACAAGAATAATGTTGGTGAAATCATTTTGGAATTCATAGACAAATCAGATCTAAAATGAAGATAATTTGAAGTTTGTGGATTGTTTGGGACATTCTATATTCACTATTACAAAAAATGGATAGAATGTCAATAACCAATTAGTTTTACTTATATTTTTTAATATTACTAGCATGTAGGGAAGAATCCAAATAATTAGCTATCCATTGATTAATTAATTTTGGTTTATGTTTAGAAGAAATTCAGATAGTAGATAGTAATACTAATAAGGAATCCAAGAGTGAGTGTCATCAAGAATTCCACAGTTCAATCTGTTTTAGAACTCAGAAAAACCACTAGGAAGGGTTGGGTAAGAGGGAGAAGGGGGAGGAGGACGAGGACGAGGAAGAAACCCCTCCAACCTAGGACTAGGACTGAATATTTTCAGAGTTGCCAAAGGAGGAGTGGCCCAATCTAGAGTTTTCCTTGTTTCTCATACAATCTATTACACTCATTTACTTTTGTTAGTTTGAGATTAGAAGCATAAACATGCTTCATTCAATTTTATGCTTCAAATTGAGGACTAAACAATTCATAAATGTTAATTTGGAGACAAGTAAGCTGCATCACATGTGAACTCCAAATTTATCACCAATGTAGAAGTATGTTTCAAGAGTAGTAGACAATTTAACATTGAGAAGTTCAATATGATTCAATAAAATGAACTGCTCCAATTAAGCATTCTCAAATATTAAAAGCATTCAGTTATTGAGAAAGTGCTCATTGGTAACTCCCAATTAGATATTTTAATTCGAAAAAGCTTCAATTCCCAATAATTTATTTACTGTCACATGAAACAAAGTTGCAACTTGTTAGGAACAATTATATGTTACTATCATTTAAATGCATCAACAGCAACACAGAAGAACTACCAAAAGTTGACAAATGCATACATTAAAAAGCAAAGACCTTCAAATGGTGTTTGATCATGAACCGGAATATGCAAGCAGCGAACTTCAAAAGCCCTGTATTGCAAAATGTAAAGGTGAAAAGAGAAAACAATACAAAACTGGACAAACATACAAAGAATAAATTTTCAGAACAATACAATAAACTAATCAACTGTGAATCTGTACGCATACATGCGTAGCATTAGAGGAGATTTATCTCACCAAGAAGCATAAATACTGCCATCATTAACCTTCAAATAGAACTGTTTAGGGCAAAAATAATCTGACCATTTTAGAATTCAGTAATACCTCAGGCATACAATTTTAAAATGCTTATTCTAATCCTGCAGACATAGAACAAGCTAAACAATTGACATTTTATGGGAACTTTTTCACTAGTTAACAAGAAATCGAAAACACAAACATACTTCCCAAGAGCTTGATGATGCAAAGAAAGGCCAAATCCCGTGCCATCCATCCCTGCAGTAGTTAAACTCAAGAAACTTCAACACTGAACATGTTTATTTCTGACATTCAATATAATAAAGTTAAGAGTTAATATACAATTTGGTGCCAGAAAGTAGCAACTTGTGTCGCTTTAGTCCCTAAAACTTTTCATCTACACAAATCAGTCCATTGAACCTAACTATTCACGAGCTAAACGACTTCATAAAGTAAACTTGTTAGCAAGTTGACACTTTGGAAGACAAATTTAGTATTTGTATAGACACGTAAATCAAATTGTGCATTAGTCTAGCATTCAAAACAATTAAATTAACCATTTAACATTACACTATCCTCAAACTGAAAGGTTGAATAGGATCAACAACATCGAAAGAGAACCATTCAACACACTCCTTCAAAAGCAGAAAAAAAAAATATGAAAAATCAACTCTTGATACCCAGAAGCCTCATGCACACATCACATTATCACAGTCTCACAATTCCTAATGCCATTTACCAGGTAGAAACAGAAGAGTGGGAGAATCTTTTGAAGGAGAACCACATTCAACTGGGCAAAACCATCGAGGTGGGCCTCCATCAAACTTGCACATATCCTTAGCTGCAACAAAGTAATCTTCCACAGTTCGAACCCCATATCCATCATCCCAAAGTGGTGCCAAACCTTCTTCACACTTCTTCTCTTCAACTCCACCATGCAACAAACCCACTCTCCTTTCCTCCTTAATCAAAACACCATTTTGATGAGACCCCACAACCACAGAAGCTCCGTTCACTGCTTCCACTGAATCAGATTCAGAAGACAACACCGTCGAGCTTCCACTGTCCAAGCTCTGAGCCCGAATTCGAAAACTGGTCATTCTCAGTGAGCTTATAACAGAAACGGGTGAGACCCGAAAACCCATTACCGAGGCCATGACGAAAGTTGAAGCGAAGTGGACACACGTACACCAATCTTTTGGTTTCGGAACAAACAAAACAACTAATAATACTGAAAATTGTTTACTTTTATTATTTTAAAAAAAATCAGGAGAAGTAGCACACGATTCTTGTTTGCATGGTTTGAGCCTTGGAAAATGAAACCAACAAGCTCTACACTGGGAGAGTCAGAGTCACATGTTCGGCGTTCAGCGTAAAATGTAACTGTAGAAAAAAACAGAGTGTGAGCGATAAGAGCGAAATTGTAGCGAAACACACAAATGGAAAGGGGTGTGTACGGTGTAGCGACAATGGTGGAACATACAAATGTGGAGGTTATCATTTGTCACTGTGCCAGACACCCAAGATAACAATTGTCATTGTCGTTGAGCAAGTGCAATCAATCAATGGTAATAAAAATGTAATTTTCCATATATGACTGACAAGTTTTCTGAAGCATAATAAATATTTATGTACAATGAACATGTTAAAATATTTTTTTAATATGTGTCAAATGTTGGGTAATAATATATTATTAATACATTAAATTATATAATATTTTATAATTTTTAATAAAAATAGTATATATTAGTTTTTTAACAGACAAATAATAAGAGTTTATGTATGATAAAATTTTATTAAAAATAATAAAATATAACATCATTTATGCTATAATATTTAATAAAAATTAAGAAATAATTTTATTTTTTAACATGTGTCCTTAGACACATTAAAAATTTCATTTATTGATTTTCATTATATACACATTAAAAAAGATTGCATGATAAATAAAACGATATTCACAAAAAAAAGAAAGAAATATCACAATGAAAACAAAAGTTTTACCAATCAATATTTCAAAGACATTAATTAAAAGAAAATTAAAGCATAAAAATGTATTTAGTAATATTTTTAATAAATTTTATTTAATTTTAATTAATATCTTTAAGACATTCGTTAATATTTGTAAAAAAAACAAAAAAAACGTATGTTTTATTTACTTAATGATAAATGTTAACTGGCATTGTAAAGTGTTAATTAAAAATATTTAATAAATTTATTATTTAATTCATATTAGTTTCATGGTTTTGATTTCAAATTTAGTAAATTTTTTATTAAGAATGTAATTAATATTTTTTCATAAAATATTAATGCTTTTAAATACTTAATAAGAATTTTCAAATAATTAAAAAAAACTGTTTATTATATTAAAATTTAGAATGTTTAGTATTTTATTTTATAAATAAATAAAATATTTAATAAAATACATTGAAGAAATTATTTTATTTAATAAAATAATAAAAATACTTATAAAATGTATTTTAAATAATTTTTTTTAACATAAATCAATGTTTTATATTTTTATTTTTATAGGATTAGATAATGTTTATATTTTTTTATGCATTTATTGATTTAAATTAAAATAAAATGAGATAAACTTGTAAGTTAAAATAAAATTAAAACAATTTTTAATGTTGGGTAGTTTATGGAATCCATTTAGTATATTTTATAAAACTACACCATTAAATAAAAAGTTTGTTTAAAGTTGTATAAAATAAATATTTGAGTAGATCTAAAAGAACTGTAGATGGGTTGAACCATAATTGTCGCTCGTGAAAATCTCTTTGGAAAAATTTGAGTAAATTGGAAGCGCCCATTTTTAGCTTTACGTAAGCATTCGATACTCGAAAAATAAAGGAAACGTACAAGCCGCTTGTAAGCATAATTAAAAATAAAAATTTAAAATTACACATAAATATAAATAAACAACATAAGTAAGCTGAAAAAACAAAAAGCACCTAATTTTTTTTTTTAAAAGGCAACTTTTTTTGTCAGAAAATAGCAACTAATCTATCCTTTTTGAACATGCAACGGATGTAATTGGGCCACGGCAAATATTTGTGTGACCATGCGCTTTAGCTGTGTAATGGCTGTTGGCCAAAGACGAAAAAAAATAAAAAGGCGTTACGGCTCACATCACAGCCTCTTGCTGTCGCTATTAGAAGGCTTAAATATCTTGGTAAAATTTATTTCAATTTTTTCGAATGATTTTTTTTTTTATGATTTCTTATTTGTATCTCGTATTGCTGATATTTTTTCCCCTAGAAATTGATCTGATCTGGTCCATAAAAACTCCCGATTTATCAATGTAATATAATTTTCAGTAAATCTTAATAAATGGAGGAATATATTACTAGCGTAAAGAACGCAGGCTGACAGAGTACCGCCATCGTGTTATATATCTAATTTCTCAGTCACATTTATCCTCATTAACGTATTTTGAATATAAATTTAAAATATACACTACAAAATAAATAACACCAATGATACAATTAATATTCAAAGCTATAACTATTGTTAATGCCTATTTAATTGCACGTTGAATATATACTCAATCTCAAATATGACAAGATAAGAACACAAGACCAAGAAAAACACTGGATATCGGATGACAAAATTAAAAAAAAAATTCATTAAAAAATAACAAAAAGGATGTAAACATACATCTAAACAGCATAATTTCTATGACTAAACATTTAACGTACAATTTAAATTTACAATGTTTTGTTTTCATCTCTAAATCAACTACTTGATTCCTGAAGTACACCTCAATATATGCCAATATGATTAATTCTCATCAGAGTAGATTAAAAACCTTCATCTTGCCAAATGCAGACCACCCATGCCGCCGCCATATCCATCAAAAGTAGGCACACCAGCTAAGATATAATTCAAAATTTATAGTAACAGCTCTCCATTAAAGAAAAAAACTATCCAAGCAGGTTTGGAGAATGTCACAAAATTTGGTGATAAATGATAGATCAGGATTTACAAATTCTTAAAATGCCACCGATCAATGCAGGCAACCCAAGAAGAATCGGTGCTAAGAAGTATTTCACACAATCATAAGAAAACCTGCAAATATTAATCATAATAAAGTCTGCAACCTTTGTCAAGTAAATTAAGTATATATTTTTCAGACTTAAGAAGAACTTAGCATGAAAAGGAGGGGATATATTCAGAATGAAAAGTCATAAAAGAAATATATATTTTTCTTTCTAATTATTTTTCTTTAGGTGACAAGACTTTAAAGGTAAAATAAATAAATAAATGGTTAGGCAATGCATCAAAATCATTTAAAAGTTATTTTGTGATACCAATAATGTGCACAAAGACTGGTAAAGCTTGCTATAATTATTTGTCCAATTTGAGAGAGAACAAATTATTAATGAAGATTTGGCTTCATCACCTGTGATTACTTTTGTCAACATTTTACATTAAAAAAAAAAAAAACTATCCTAGAATAATTCCTTTCCCTCTCCAGTTGGCAGTAAATTACATTTACAAAATAAGAAAAAATACAGTAATGAAATCCATAAAAGCATTAAATATCAATTTTTATCTCAGAAAAGCCAAGCAATGCTCAAGGTTACCCACCTCTGATGCACATGCAACTGTAGTTCACCTGCCTTGTATAACTCTGTAATTCAGGACTAAGTCCTCTGTTTTTTTCCATACATAAGCTCTCACTGTGGCTAAGCTCATATCAGGAGACAGCACCTGGAAATAAATGAAACAGTTGGCTAAACGCACGTTTACTTCAATGAAAAAATAGTACCGTACTAAAGCAAAGTGAGCTGTGAATCAAATAAAAAAGCACCAGTTAATTTGGGCCAAACAATATTTTAAAAAAATTGCTGTTAAATACTTAAATTCAACTCAAACCAATCAGAATGCATAATAAGTTCAAAAACTTGATTAAAACACATGAAATTGAAAACAAAGATGGAAACTTGCAAGAACAGTTAAAAGTTAAAACTGCAGATCGAATACAAGGACTATTATGATACATTTTAAGACTTCAAAATACTTGTCTAAAGGCTCAATTAGGAGCGCCTAATATCAGGAATTGAATTTTATAATTAAGATCAGACCAATAGACTAAGAATTTAAGTATGAAGAGTTTTTTCAAATCTACAAGTTCATCTGATCGCATGCGGTGAAGATAACTTATAACACGATGAATAATGCCTCTGCTAAAAGAAGTATTATCATTGTTCAAATTGACAAGTATATTCAGCCAATCATTTAAAATTGTATTTAAGGAGCATTAAGCTGATTTTCAGGATAATCAAACCAGAATATTTAGACCTTATAAAGTTACACTGCCAAAGCAAAAAAACTAGATGGAAATTGACAATCAGGTCGGCAAATACATTCTAGAAGGCAAGAATTGAACAGTAAGCCAACTATAGAAAACCAAAGCATGAACTTGCTCAGTCTCACATTAAGAAACTATAATAAATACACAATCATGAGTCTGCATCTAAATATAACATATTACTTGCCTGGTTGTTGCACAATATTTCAATAGAAGGTCTAAGCTTTTGCCAAGGCTTAGCATATCCAGATCGAAAAGATCCATCACCAACTGCTTGATGTTGTGACTGTGACCCAGAAAGTCCAGGGGCAAAGCTAGCATCAGCATTTAAGCTATCCAAAGGTTTGTCCAGTACCATTTTTTCTATTACATAATTAATAACCTAAACCAACAAAAAGAAGGGAAAGCTAAGTTGACCATTCAACAATACATCATCTTACCTCACAAAAACTAAAATCAAAACAGATAATTCTTTTGGAAAGTATGATCAAATCAACTATCAAGACATGAAAAGATTATTAAATGAAATTATTAATACTAATTTAATTGTCTATTAATATAAATATCAAAGCTTACTTTGTGAATTCTTAATATACGTGGGGCACTTAGCTTCCCTTGTGTGAGGATCTGGACTGGAGAACCATCACAAGGATGCAAATAGAAACTGCATCTGCAATGGTTACCACAAAAGAATATATATCAAAGAGAACATTATGTAATCGCTCTGAGACCAATGATAATCATGCTAAAAAAGTTGCATCATACTCAGACAATCAAATTCATTGACAATATTCCATTTGTTATCAGTATCAAAGAAAGTAAGAAAAAGTATTCAATATTTTCATGGCAATAACCATTAAACCTATAAAACATGGTCAGTACATAGATAGAATGAAGCCACAGATACCACTGGATGAATAGGAATAAATATTCCTATGACTTCTTAAGCATACATCAATTGATGTCAGTTACAAAAGCTATGTTAAGTACCACAATATCTTTTTGGATACAAGGGTTAAATGTAACAGAAAACATGTTATGTACCATTAAAACAAGGGTAACTGCAACTTTGAATCATTAAAACATGCTTAAAATTTGAGTTGTGAGCTATAATAATAATAATAATAATAATAATAATAAAAAGACATAATCATCATAGTGTTAAGCAATTTTGCTACATTAACAAAATATGCCAATTGTCACAGGCATGGTTTATTCCTTTCAACTAAAACCATGAGTTAATGTAAGTATGTAACCACTTAGGGAGGGGAAAATGAAGAAGGTGAAATTACTTAGTATTTTCTCTGGGAGGTAACCGATTATTCAAAACACAGTCCAGACACCACCAGGGGAAATCTTTCTCATCCTCAGTTCCATCTAAATCAGTAATCTTTTTTCTCCATGGCCCTCCATGAGTGCCCTCAGTAATAATGGAAGGAGGGGAAGTAACTGAGAATTCAAATGGAGGATAAACCATAGCATCATTCTCAGAACTACCATCAACCTCAATTTTTGAATGGGTAAGACTTCTAGAAGCAATATCCTTTCCAGATAATAACTCCCCATTAGCTGGAGCTGGGGATCCCATTCTTTGCTTTCGTTTTCTCAACCAATGAGCTAAGAGTCCTTTAAGGGTTTCTCGAGCCAAATTAACCTGCAAAGCAACAGGCATTGATTTAGATTTTAGACAGTAAACTACTGAAAACATTCTTATATGCCATTGTATGCATGAATCTCAAATCTCAGATTGACAGTAAACTGTCAGCCAATGTCAGTTCAACAGAAACATAACACTTAAAATTCTTCCATATCCAAGACACTAGGTACCATGTCAGGAATCATTTCAGATTTGAGTAAGAAGAATATGTACTAAGATAAAAGATAGTTATGTGCCGCTAACCATAATGAATCCCACATACATGAAGATGAAGATGCTAACAATTGTATAGACTTGACATCAATATTATAGCCAATAGTAGCAAGCAAATAGTTGCATAAAAGTTTGTTTTAATTGTTACAACCAAAGTAGTCAAAATCGAGATTCTAAGTAGGATCGGATAGGAGATGAAAAGTCGTAACTCGTAGAATCGTAACACAAATCGAAAGATCCTACAAAATTGTATAAATACATGTAAAATTGTATAAATATAAAGATCAGAGGACAAATGAGAGAAGTGAGCCACCCCACCTCAAAACAGAGATACCAAAAACAGAAACAGAGAGGGAAAAGATAGATTAAGTATTTTATTCTGGTAAAAGACTATTTTATCCTTAAAGAAACTTAAAACAAAACCACTTTAAGGGTAAAAAGGGAAAGCCAAATTATTTTTAAATGATGAGAAGTCTTGTTTTTATCCTTGAAAAACCCTAAAATCTGCTTCATAAATCCTAAACCCTAAAGACTATTTTATCCTTAAAGAAACTTAAAACAGAGCCACTTTAAGGGTAAAAAAGGAAAGCCAAATTATTTTTAAATGATGAGAAGTCTTGTTTTTACCCTTAAAAAACCCTAAACCCTAAATAACTTTTACTCCAGCCACACTGTGAATTAGGCTACGTTGGCTGCAAATACAGCTGCGATGGCCACCACAGCAAAATGCTCCGCTATGACAAGGTCGCCGGCGTAGAGCAGAGTCGCTGACACAGACAAGGTCGCTAGAGCAGACATAGTCATCAGAGCGAAAGCTATAGGGATCGCAGAACAGAGGAACAAAGTTGCAAAGTCTTGGTCGTGTCCAAAAATAGTGGAGAAAGAGGCGATTTGAAGGAGAAAGGTAGAGAATGGAATGAACAGATTTGCTGTGCTGAGGAAGAAGAGAAGTGCACTTCACAGGTTGCAAAGAGGCAAGAAATCGGAGAGAGGAGTGAAAAAAAACCCTAAAAATAGGGCAGAAACAACTCGCCCAGGATCGCAGATTTCACGAGGAGGATCGTGCGATCCCAGATATCCCACCAAAACGAGTTCCAGCCTAGGATCGGGATCGCAGCAGATTGTAAAATCGTACGATTTTACATGTTAACTCGCGATTTTGACTACCATGGTTACAACATATAAAAAACTAGGTACAAAATTAATATAATAAAGAACCAAAGATAAAGGCAGGTACACTGCTTTGACAATAAAGCCGTTACCTTATCATCTTCAGGCTTGCCTACAATGTTAAGATCAACTGAATACATCTCTGCAGAAAAGCATTGGGGAGTGTCCAAATGAACTGACAAGCTTCCAAGCCTGGTATCCACTGTGACCCATGCAGGAATGCTAACCTGAACCAGCATTCAATGAAAATTAAAAGTCAGCTAAAACTAATAAATTATTGTTAATCATCATGTTTTCCTGCCAAGTAGGAAGTACAATTACTGAAAATGACATCTGTGATGTAAATCAGCAATCATACCTTCTCAAATAGCTCTTCTTTTTTCTCCTCAAAGGAAACCTAAATAGTCCAAAGTAAAGTGAGTTATTATGAAACCACAAATGAGTCATATCAGCTATAGTTGAAATTTGCAAATATCATTCATTACAGCCAAGCTCCTTCCCTAGGAAACAAGATCACCATGCAAGTTACCAAATTAAAACGTAAGCAATTGTCACCTTTCCATAATCTTCAATCACAACACCTTTGGTAATCTCCCACAGCTTCACTGAACCAGATGCATCCTATACCAAGAGCCATTTATAAGTTACAAAAACATCAGAGAAAGATTATTAGCTTACAGCTGAATGGATAAACATATCAATATGTACGGTATGTACCATGTAACATTACTAGAAAACATCACAATTACCTTTGTCAGCACGTGCCTCTTATTATTCAAAACTTCATGTTGTACTATTGCAGGTGTGCCCAGGATAGTTAAAGTAGGTTCTTTATATACAGGAACCTATTAACATTTGTAGTTTTGACAACAAAAGGACAATTATTAGTTCTAAAGAACAGAACCAACAAAAAATTATTTTTCAACAAAGCTTTCTTAGAAGACAAACTCCACAAATAGGAAGTACTAACAATGGATATGTAAATTAACATACTTCATCTATACATGACATATGCAACTGGGATTATTGAGTTTCCGGAGCAACTTTGAAGATAATATAATAGAAAATAATATATAAATTTTTTTTCAGAAATAATTGTAACATACAGGGGTAGATCCTTCTAGTGACACCCTTGCTCTTGAAAAGGACAAGTTTCCAGCTAAAAAAGAATTGCCTCTCTGGAAAATCTTTTGAGGGTTGTATCCTTCAGCAGGCCATCTATGAACTGAAGAGTCTGTTGATGCGACCCATATGCTATCACCGTGCAAAGCCAATTGAAGAATAGGATGCTCACCCATGCAAAGCAAACTACTTTCTCTTGTTTGCAAATCTGTCAAGTATAACTTAAGGGACAAAAGAATAGAGCATTAGTTTCACAAGTTGGACAGAAAAAGGAGATGTCATGTCATGTCACATAAATGGAAAGTTGCACTCACTGAAAAGTCTCTACCGCCACTATAAACATGACTAAATGTAGGGGTGCTGGCTAGTGCCCAAACAGAATCCGTATGAACTGCATAAGAATGCACACATCTTTGCTGACCTATATCCCAAAGTCTAAGAGGAAAGATGGTAGGATTATTAGTCAACCACACAACAAAAATACAAATAGAAATGTTTATAACACCGTATGTGTGCATTACCTTATCATAGAGTCTGAAGATCCTGATAAACAATATCTGCAATAATGAACATTAGAAATATCACAGTTGACTTGCTGGAAAAAATGTATAATTTGAACTAACAAATTTATCCAATGAAAAGATGCATGGCTGCATATAATGAAAAGAGAACTCAACAGACAAGTCATTGTATTATTGACTATTAAACAAGTGCACTGTAGCACAGCCAATGAAAATATTAAGTTATTCATGCGCTTTGTTATCTATATGTTGCAGGAAGACGTAGAGAGAGAATGCAGGTGGATGGGAGATTTCTGATAATAAAGAAATTATAAATAAATAAATAGTAGGGAAAGCAATTTAATAACTTTAAAATGTAAATGTCAACTGAAACTTTGCAACTAAACTTAGATATCCACTCCACAAACCTTCCACTTGAATCCAGAAGCAGGGCCCTGATGTTATCAGCATGCCCTCTTAGCTTGAGAGTCTTTGATCCCGATCTTGTGTCCCAGACACGCACAACCTAGAGAATGACCACCACCCCCACAAAAAAAGATGAAAGAAGAAATAAATCATGTCAGAGACAACAGCCCATAAAATTCAAGCTACTATAGCTCAAACAAACCACCTCTAACATTCAGAAGGTAAAGAAGCCTTGACAAGTCAGAGCATGAGCCATATTATACCTTTTCTGTGCCACCAGAGACAAGGATTGTTCCACTTTCATTCATAGCCAATGCATAAACAGAATCCTTATGGCCTTTGGCAGAAATTGGAATGTATCCATGAGTTTGAGTAGTGTGCATGGATACACTGTTGCTTGTGTTAATAGTTCGCAAGTTTGTCAACGGTAGTAAGTTGCCAGAACCATTGATACCATTTGAAGATTCATCAACCATGGCATCATTGCCCTTGGAGACTGGAGTGAGTGCAGCCTCAATATCCCATATAAATACCTCCCCACCAAGGCCACCAGAGGCAACAATATTGCTCTAAAATGCATGACACTATTAAAGGATCAAAAAATGGATTTGACATTGATAATTTAACCAAAGTGTCTATCAGATTCAATGTGGAACATATAGAAACACTAAAAAGAACTCTTTCTTGATGAACTTATTAAGAAGCATAGGAAGTTTGAAGTACATTACATTTTTTCCACCCGCTGCAAGGCAAGTAACATAATCGGAGTGTTGGCGGAGTGTTCTAGTACAAGTTCCAACTGACAACGCATTCCATGTCTAGCACAAATATACGGCAACCCAGTTAAAAAATGAAGGTGTAAATAATTATATTAGTACTGGTATCATCACAGAAGAGCAAGGACTGATTAGAACAAATCACAACTAGCAATCAACAAACCTTAAGGGTTGTATCTGAAGAACAAGAAACAAGTGTATTATCACCAACAACAACAGCATCATTAACCTGCAAGAATAAAATAAAATTTACATATTCAATTGTACTTATGCTTATGCTGCTATGCACATGTTATAGATTGTAAAACGTGTCATGTTTTATGGAAGTAAAGGACTCAAAATTTCCATTACCTATTAATGTACCACATATAGCTTAAATGCTAATGAGACAAGGTTTTGGCCTTTAGGGGAAAATGTAAAAGTTGAAGAATGATTTTAAGATCAGGAACATTGACATATTGAAGAAAACGGATTGCTAGATCTCAAGACACTAATGGCAGAAATTACTAGAAACATAAAATAATTAGACAGATAGGGATATTTAAAGGAAAAAAAATGTCCACGAGACACTTGAGGATATTAGGATTTTTACAATATACGAGAATGAAACAAGACAAAAAGACAGCCTAAAAAAGAGGTTCAAGAATGCACAGAGAACTTTATCTCATCTCATACATACAACAGAATATTCGATCAAATCTCAGTTGCACTTGCAGTTATAGGATTTTTTTTAACACAAAAATTCAATAGGTTTTATCGCCTTTTCCTTCTCAACCATGCCTTTTCTACTAGAATTAAGCCAATTAAATTTTTACCCAAAAGATCACCAGAAATCATTACAAATATGAAAGGATGTTTCATGAAATACTCTACAAAATAAAATAAATAAAAGTCTACATCAAAATCAAGCAATCACAGACCTGTTTTGCAGATGAAACATTATTCATCTCAATAAAACAGCACAAACAGGACCCACATAATCAATACCAAGATCCAAAGAATAAGACATTCTTCATATAGCATGGTAAATAGCTTTCCCATGCTGCATCATATGCTTTCTTACACCTTTGACCTCACCACTGAGATTGGGTATTTGGATTTTCAAAAAATGTTTTACTAACATTCTAAGATTAAGTCCACCAAAATTCCCAGTGCAGGAGAAGACCAAAAAGGGGGGGGGGGGGGGACCCACTGCAAAATCAGCTTCATCAAGTAACTGTAGTAAAGAAACATTGCTATGCTCCAGATACAGAAGTCAAAATATTATGTCACCTAACAAATGGCAGGAAGAAAAATTAAACGAAAAAATAAACATAAAGATTACCCAATCCACATGAGATTCAAAGGTAGCAGAGCATGTTGCTGCATCCTCAGTTAGTGCCCATCGTTTTAGCCTGCCATCGCGGCTCCCAGTGAAGAGATAATCAGACCCACCAGATGCTGCAGACGTAAGCAGAGCAAGACAATTTACGCCTGCACAATGCTGCAGAGACGAGCCAACTTTCAAATGATACTACACAGTGCAACTACGAAAACTATTAAAATTAAAAGAATTTCAACCAAAACAAGAAATATTGGTGGAAAACAAAAACAATCACAAAACACCTTTTAAAGCAAAGTGCTAAGTACCCAGCAAGCAGAAAGGAGCCAAGTATCGTACAAACTATTGATGAAACTTTGATTGATTAGAAGGTAAGATATTGGGTAAATGTTAAAAAAATAAAGGTGGAAATATGCAAGCCACAAAATGATCCAAGTATAATGTTAAAAGAGAGAAAAAAAATATTAATATTTAGCGTGAGTCTCCATTTTGATCTTTGTAAGATTTTTTAAGCTTCAATTTGGTCCTCAAAATTTTATCACATCCATTGGTCCTCAAAATGACAGGTTTTAACGTCAAAGTAGTCCAAATATTGTTTACTGGGTGTCTGGGATCAAATTAATGTCAGTCAATAACTAAATATTATCAGTAGATTGCCAATTTGATGTCGCAAATCTTTCAAGGAGAAAATAAAGTTCCATAAATCTTTCGAGGAACAAATTGGAGCTTCACTCTAAAATTTTAATTATATTTTCACCCAGGTAAAAACTGCATTTGTTTATTAAAGAACAACCCAATCAGGCTGAACTAGTTAACAGATTTTGAAGCACAATGTCAGAGAAAATTTTTGTGGGAACAAAGGCAAAGCTACAACAAGCAAGCATGAAACTTGACTGTTTTCCTGGAACAAATAAAATAAAATAAAATAAATAATGAGTTCACCTTTGCATCATCCGAGTCATTCAACACATAGGTTAATCTCTTCTCTTTGCGAGGGCGAGTTGAATTGTTTGCATTACCCGCACTACCCACTCGGTGCATTGCAGAAATTAAAAGAGTGCACAAACTGCAAAGCATAAATAATACTCCCAGGAATTAATTAAGAAACAATCCCATGTAAGGAATTCTACTTAGGAACATTTCCAACAGTGTTAAAAATAACATTAAAAAAAATAAAAAATCAGATGAAGCAGTTTATGAATTATGACCATTTATTTAGCAAAAGAAGTTTGCAGTACAGAAGAAATCTCTCCAGTGCACAGTTGACGACAGACACATCCAAACACTTCCACTTATGCAGAAAAGCATCAGGCATTACGGTAAAAAGTAGAATCTCTTGGATTAAATAAACTAGCACTAAGAAATCCCTATAACAGTATCAAAGTATAATCAAATGTTTTCTGCCATGAAGTGACACGGACCTTAGCCTTCTCAATATCCCAAATAATGATACTAAAATCCACAATTCCACATCCCCGATCAATTATGTCGTTTCTTACAATCACAACACGTTAACCTCAGCATCCAGGCGAAGCTCGAACTCATTATTTTCAAACTGTCCGAATCACAAGTCAAAGAATAATTGCATACCAAACGCATCAAGAACTCAATGCGAATCAAACCAACAGCTACAGCTACGTAATTAATCACCAAACGAAAACCTATAACTCATAACAGACCGAGCCCGCTGAAGCCATCGAATACCCCAAATCAACCCGATACACAAACAGCGCAAACCACGAAGAAGAAGAACGTTAAGAAGACAAAAACGTAACCCTTCGTACAAATTAAACTAGGCCGATCATTAGGTTATGCACTTCGCAACGAACTATGAGCTAAAAGAGACTAATTAAAAAGATGCAATAAATTCCTTTCGGTAATCGAAAGCAGTGAATAATCGAATAGAATGAAATCAACCTGGAGGAGGAAAAGATGGAACAGTGCGAAGAAAAGGCAAAGAACTAACGGTGATCAGTGATGAATTTGAAGGACTTTAGTGCGTGTTTTCTTCCACTGACGAAGTTTCAACTTTAGAGAGAGAAAGTGTTTTGGCAGATATATAGAGAGAGAAGGGGTCTGGCGAAGAACGTGGGTGCAAAAATATGGGTGTCCAAATTTATTCCGGTAGATCCTCTGACCCGTTTTGAGCCTTTTAATTGAGGGTACTTTGGTCTTTACAATCCAGCCAAGGATAAACTATGGAGAGGAAAATCACAGCTGTGCCCGATTTCATTTACGCTTATGTCCCCGCATTGCCTTCGCTCATCGTTTGATCAAAGGCATGTCAAATTTCAATGCATCGTAGGTTTCTTCTGTGGTCAAAGTTCAAACCTTCTTCCTAACCCAAAGACCAAAAAAGAAAAGAAAAGAAAATAAAAACTTGTCTGTGTAATAATTTTATCTGTTTGATAATTGAAAATTTATTTATTTGTGTGTAATGATTTTTATGCTAAAAGTTGTTGTATTCTTTTGTCATCGATGTATTATTATTAATTTATTTATTGTTATATTTTCACGTAAGTATTGTATTCTGTAATATTTAAATGTATAGACTAGTTTTTTTTTTAAATCAACACAAATTTAATTTATAAATTTAACAATACGTAAAACAATTGTGCACAACCTTGGAAAATTTATAATATACTTTATGCTTAAATAATGAAATTATGCAAATATAATATTATTGCTGTGACATTAGTTTTCTTTAGAGTGGTTGTTTTTCTCAAAAGCACGCAACATGACATTGTTGTTTACCACTAATCCACTGTCAAAGCATTAATTACGGTCTTGCTTATTTAAATGCAGGGAAGAGTATATCGTGTGATATAGTTTTTTTTTTTTTTTTAGGAACTTGCCTTTTTTAACTCCGAATTAACTTTTTTTTTTAGGTTTTTACCTTAATTTAAAAACCTACACGATTGTTTACAAATTTATGAACATATGCTCAGTTTTAAAAAAAATGACTTTAAAATATTGAAATGAAAGAGTCTTTGTTTTAAAAAGTTCAAGCCATAAGATGTTAATTTGATTTTAATTGCCCCTTTTAAACTAATAAGTTGTAGATTAATTGTACGCAGTGCAAGTTTATTTGCAGTGGGTTAAGCACAATTCAAATTAACAATTTGTTAATTTAGGTTTAATTTGAGTAAGGTTTTATATGAATAAACACAAATAAAACATTTTTAAGTTAAAAATAATTTATATTAGTCAAAATTAACAAGAATTAGACGAAATAATTAAAAAATAAAAAAATATTTTATTTTTAATTTATGGGGTAAATTTATTCATTTTATTATCTAATTTTTTATCTCATATAAGTATTTATTAAAAAATTGTCTAAATTAAGCATTAGTTGAAATTGTTGATGCCACGAGTTTGACTGACAAGTTGATTATACTTGTTTATATAATTAGATATCTTTTTTATTTACTTGTTAAAATTGATTGGTATTACTACTTTTAAGAAAGGTAGTATAACATAATTGATTTTGTGCTAACTAAACAAAATCAAAATTATAATGGGTGGAGGTATCACCTTTTATATTAACGAGGGTGGATTTGAATAATAATTTGTGTTACTTCCTTTTGTTTCTTTCTTTTCCCTCTCATAGGTCTTACCTCCCATTACCTGTATAAACAAACGGAATATAAACTTCAATGAGAATATTTTGTTTATTCTATAAAAAAATTAGAATTACAGTAGTTAAAAACAATTAAACAATGGGAATATTTCAAATGAGAAATAAAAGGATATTTATCCTCAATTATATTTTATCAGTAAACTAAATAACATAGCATACAATAAGATTTTACTTTTCTCTCCCTTTTTTCTCTTCTTTCCTTGTTCATTTCCTTTAACTTTTTCACATTAGAATCAAACACACGTAAACACGCAATTTCATTAACAAAAAACATGTTTCCGTTACCGTCGCCGTCTTACAAAGCTCACATGACATCCTATCCTATCCTATCATATGATTTGGTACTTCACTCCCCTGAAGACGACATTCTTATGTTAATACTGATTAGTGATTAATCGTGATTTGTATTCAGGGAAACGACGCCGAGTCGCTCAAGTTCTCATCTTAATAAAATAATAAGCGAACATTGAAACGACGTCGTTGTCGGTGACCAATGCCGGATGGGAAATGAATCATCATCGTCGTCGTCGTCGCCGTTGATCTAAGCCACGCACTGACAGTGACAGATGGCGCTGATGGCGTCGCCGGGGACGTCGAAGGGCATTGTTGTAACAGTGCCAACTCTGGTTCTCTCTGCTTTCGTGCTCACTGCTCACCATTTTCCTCTTCTTTCTCATGTCCACTCTCTCCTCTTGTTCTTGCCCTTTACCCGCCGCTTCAATAACTCCTGTCTCCATTGGAAACGGCGTCCTCATTGACACCCCGTTATCCGTTAAAGGCAATGGCATTCCCTTGACGACGACGCAGGAGGACGTGGAGTGGGTGAAGGATCAGATCCGAGCGCATGGTTTACACATGCACGACAACGTTCTCGGCAAGGGCATTAACCCTCGCACCAGAGCTCAGCAACTCCAAGATCTTAAACAGTAAGCCCTCATTCCCACTTTTCTCTCTCCCGCTCTCACTGAATTTGGTATTTCTATTCTCCTTTGAGCTTATTGTAAAATTTTTATTATTTTTTCGAGACCAGATGCCTTTCACAGTCATTTTTTTAACAGAATAATGAATTGAACGGGGAGAATGAAAAATGACACTAGATTAATCTTGAGTTTGCTTGCATAATTTCCGTCACATTATAAAATTTTCTTTCCACATTGTTTCTTTCTGATATCTGTTCTGTGATTTATATGTTTTTCTCTTTCGTTTGGTCTGCATTTTTTTTGCTTGAACACTTCAATTGAAGAAGAAACTTTTGTATTCTATCTATTGCCACTTCTGATTAGTAGGTAGAATTTGGTTAGTTTGTTAGTAATTAATTAGATGATTAGTCCCTTCTCTACCAGTGTATTAGTGCGTGTTTCTTATTGATTTTGCTTAGTTTTCAAACACATAGTCACTCTGTGGCTCCCTTGTAATTAACTTTTATCATTTCTCACCCAATTCCAGTTCTTGTATACTCTTTTGATGCATTCAATTGTTTTTTCTGTTTTCCACTAATGACAGATTTAAAGGTATATCATACTATGAGGGAGCTGATTCAGATAACCACACGGCCCTACCTTGTCCTGGGGAGCTCCTTGTTGAGGAGCACCATAGCAACTATGGTGAACCTTGGGCAGGTGGAAGATATGTGTTTGAATTTCTTGCTCAATCCACTAAACTCAGTCAGAGTCGCGTGTCCTGGAGATAGGTTGCGGTACCCTCCGAGTTGGCTTGCATTTCATACGGTACTTGAATCCCGATCGCTACCACTGTCTTCAGTAAGTTTGGTTCTGGAGTTATATATGATTTGATTTATGCCAGTGCTGTATTTCTTCACATGCCTGATAAACTAGTGTGGGTTTGGATTTGAGAAGCTAGCTGCTAGATTGAAACCTTATGATGGGCGAATTTTTGTGTCGCATAATATAAAGTTCTGTTCGCGGCTGGGAGGAGAGGAATGCACCAAGAGGCTTACCAGTTTGGGGCTTGAGTATACTGGGAAGTGATGGGGAAAACCACACACAACAACACAATAATCCAAAGTGAACAGCAGAAATAATTCCCCAAACTTGAACTTGTGAGAACCAACAACAATAACAAATGGCAGTAACAAACACAAAGATACAAGAAATTAATATGGAAAAATCCTCTCAATGTGAGAAGAAACTAATCAAGATTGAAGAAGAACATGTCCTGTGTTTCTATGTTGAGTGAGTGAGGTCAAAAACGAGGAGACAGAGAGAGAGAAAAACTTGTGCCCATAGAGAGAGAAGGGAAGTGAGAGAGAGGAGAGAAACTTCATCAGACCAGCCACTGTGTTTCTATGATTTTCGATTTGTTAACCGTTGGATCGACCTGAAATTTTAGCAGTGGGTTCCTGACATCCAGAGATACATTCTGACCGTTCGGATTGTCATTTAGAGGTCTGAGGTGGGATAAATTGCCTTCGCACAGAAGCCCTCTTTTGAAGCACAAACTCAGAGCAGTCGCCGTAGATTCACAGTTCCGGAGTTGTTCACCGTTGGATCAAGCTCAAAATTTAGCAGCAACTTCAGGACATGTTCTTCTTCAATCTGAACGGTTGGATCGTTGATTAAAGGTCTGGTGTGTGAGAAAACAGTGACGCACAGAAGCTCTGTTTTGTGATTTTTTACACTTTATTCATCATTTGTATGCATTGATGTTTAGCATGGTTAGGCTGTTGTAACTATGACTTGTACACAGAATTTGTGACTCTCTTGTAACCTTGATTGATGACAGTGGAGTTTGATTGACTTGTTTGAGCCGTGGATTTTTACTTCTCAGAGGGTTTTTTCATGTTAATAATTCCTTGTGTCTGCTATTTGTTATTGTTGTTGCTTCTCACAGTTTCTTGCAAGTTTGGGGAATTATTTCTGCTGTCACTTTGGATTGTTGTGTGTGGTTTTCTCCATCAGGAAGCATATCCATGATAGTTTGCTATTTAATCACTATGAGATATGGTTTGAATTTAGGCGGTCCAGGGCTTGATTTAGACACGGGCATGGAAAGCAACTCCAAATAATTTCAGTGCATTGGTCGTGCCTCTGTTCAGAAGGTTATTCCTTGAGCAACTCAATGATATGTTTGGCTTAAGTGGCGAAAATATGGGTGACAAATATTTAGTAAGTGGTTAATTTGTGTCATTAGTAAGAACCTGGTTGCCCTTTTCTAAATAGAGAAGGGTCATCTGTGATTTTGAGGAAGGACTCAACAAAAGGCAAAGGCTTGCGTTGATTTATTGGTATCTCGCGATGAAAAGGCTAGTCTCACAGTTTTTTGGGGTCAAATTATTTAGTGTAATTTAATCTATGTTGTAACGATTATTTTTTAGCCCTTATTATATGGTGCCACTGACTGTTGTTATACGAAATACTGCACAGAGCACAGACATTTTTAGTTAAGTATTTTTAAGGAGAATATTTTCAACTAAATCATTTTGCCAATGCCTCCAGATTGCTCAATCAGTTTGTAAGGCATATATAATGCCATGATACTTAGATTTTCGAAAGGGATCTGTCAAAGGGATGTTCACTGGCAGTATCTACAATAGATATAGAATTGATGTCATCAGCATCTAAGCTCAAGCTAACCCTTAGGCCTAATCATATTGCCTCTTCCAAATTCCATAATTTAGGCTTGGCAATGGGACAGATGGACGTGGGTGTTTGCTCACTCTTGGACCTTTACGTGAATTTAAGCGCCTTATAACTTGATAAATGGAATTTATGCACATCTCAGTGCACGTGATGTAAGTAGAAGGAAATTTTCAGTTATGCTACAGCGAAGGTTGGAGGGTTATCCAATCAGACCCTAAAACTTGTATTTTCCTTCACATCCTTTACTGTTGCCGAATAGGTATATAGATGCTCTTCCGTTGTAACGAGAACTAGATCATTCGAGAATCAGAAATTACGTAAGCAAATTTTAAGCTTGTGAGAGGATGGAGGTTTTTATTTTTTATTTTTTATCTAGTAATTGGCAGAAAACAACAATAAAAATACCCTTAACGCCCAACAGCAATCAAATCAGATTGTTGAAATTTGGAACAGATATGATGTCTTTACCAAATAAATAATACATGAAGTTGATTAAAGCGAAAATTGAGAAGTCTATTGATAAACAGAGGACAACCTTATGAGTCAAGGAAAAACGAAAAATGTTAGAGAAAAAAAGAGAGGAGAGAGAATATATATATATATATTTGACAAATCAATTAGTAATTGAATTGTTAATTTAAGCGACGTCGCTTTGACCTGAACGACAGTTTTTCAATTTTGAGGGCAATAGTAGTATTAACCTCGTTCTGAGTAGCTTTGGTTGAGGAGTGTTGGAGTCGTAGAGAGAGGGAAACAGTGATCAACGATTCAATGCCTGCACTTCGCATCGGAAGCAAGATTGTTTGTTTGCATTATAATTTCCAGTATTGGTTGGTTATCTGTTTATTAATTATTAGTTTATTTATTCTTCTGAAAAAAAATTTCTCGTGTTTGTATCTCTCTGTTTTGTTATTTTCAGAACCTCCAGAGCGCTCAAAAGCAAGAAGCGGCTAAACATTGTAATTGCACAATCGTTGATGTTGAGAATGCGCTTGCGAAGTTTACTTAGGTTAAAGGAGCACAGAAGAAGATAGGGAAGTTAAAAAAAAGAAGGAAAACCAATGCCAACAAGCTTGAAGTAATGCTCCTCATTGTTACTATTACCGAAAGAGCCCAATTCAGTCCAAGAAGAAGACAATATACTTACTACTCTGTAATCCAAATCAATACTCATAGTATTGATAAGCTGTAAAGTTGTCTATTTTCTATTTTTCTTTAGCTAGATTTATTTGATCTTATCTTTTAAAAGAAAAGACCTAGAATCTCTGTATATATACTGTATCATTCATTATACAATACACAGGAAAAAAACTTTCCTTGTCTTAATTTCATTTTAATTACCTTAGTTCCTTGCAACCTCGTTGGCCTCAATTCATCGTCTTATGAAGAAAATTTAGTTTGGTTCCACAGCATCTCATCTAACTCTTTCACAAACCTTTCCATAGCTTTGGTGGGCAACCAAATCGGTAAAATTATACCTTCTTCTCCGTTCGCATTTTTATATGGCACTTGAAAAGTTACTGCCGGAAAAGACCCAACTCCACCTTTGGCCACTCCACCATAGACTGCATTACCCCACCCAAAATTAATTTCTCTAAACCTGCTACGTGTCAAATCTGATATAATACAAGACCTAACAGTTGTAAACAAGCATCGTCCTTTTATAACCATTAAATCTGTCACTGAACGCACATATTCCTCATTGACCTCACTTTTCACTTTGTTTATTAATTCCACAGCATACCCAAATGAATTTTCACAAAGCTTCCTTGCAGTGGTGATTGCTGCCGGATACACAAAAGCATTGCCATAATAGCCAACAGGTAAAGGAGGATTGAACCTCGCACGTGCGTTGACAATGCACATCATGCGAACATCCTCATCTAGGTCTATTTGCAATGCTTTTGTGCGACAAAGCCATAAGCATGCTGTAATGACATCAAATGTGGAGCATGCACGAAGGTGATGTGGAATCAAGCGACGAAGGGCTGCCATCTCGGCGGGTCCAAAGAAGAAAGATCGAAGAACCATGTTGTTCTCGTATGAAGTAACGGTTCCTTCATTGGTGTTTGGAAATTGCTCGTATTCGCGGTGGTTGCATGTAATGCGAGGTGGATCTCTTGCTAATAGAAGCTCCCTTTGCCACACAGGTGGAATGGAAGGTTGGCGAGCACCACGAGCAATTTCAGCCCAAGCATTCATGAATTGTGACAAACCAGCTCCGTCACACATGGTATGATTTAAGCGGACGGTCAAGATGAAACCACCACACTTGAGCCGTGTGACCTGTCATTAGATATTCAACATTGAAAATTTAGTTATTACGGTTTAATATATGAGATGAACTTTCCCACAATTATTTTTCACTCAAAAATTTTTCTATTTAAATCTTCTTTTGATCTTTTGTAATGCAATTTGCCATTTTACGTTTTCAAAAGTTTACGTGGTTTTTTGCATGGTTTTGTTTTCTAAAGCTAAGAAGTGAATAACAAGTGAATCGTCAACTATATGTATATATAATTGGACCTGTATGAGTAGAATGGGGCAGTCAGTAATCTCCTGTGAGCCTGGAACATCATATAGGAGTTCTTCCAAGCAAGGGAATGGAGGTACAAGAGAGTCACCAAATTGATCAAGTGTTACCTCTGCATCAGCCTCAATGAACATAACACCTTCCCCAGTACAATCCACCATCAACTTCCGATCATGCCCTTCCCTAATTCTACCCGCAAATGGGTAGTAGAACACAAGTGTTTCAGCGAGTCCTTCTCGAATCACTTCAACCGGGTCTTTCCCTGCCATTGATGGTTCGTTACGATAAATCATTATGATTGGAATCTGAATACGCAAGCCATCTTGGTCATCTATGTCGGAGAGTAGTTTGAGTTCATGAGGAGTAGGTTTAGCAGGAGCTACCAACTCAGGTTGGCACCTTCTCACTGTAAATTTCAGAGAGGAAGATAATGAAGCCATGTTACCTAGTTATCTGAAACTGAGTGAAGAAAGAACAACGGTATTATCAAATGATTTTTTTATGTATGAAATCAGGTAATATGTTTTTGTAGTCGTTGGAGCAACGGGTGCTACTCTTTATAGACTGAGTATATTGCCAGAAAATAAGGTTGTAATTAACACAATTTCATTATCATATGACCCATGAAAGCTACACCTTATCAGTTTGCATTATGTTCCCCGTTTTTCTCTTTTTCGGGCAACGTTCACCAGAAAATGTTAGTGAAGCGTGTCGTGGCGTGGTCCAATAAAATTCCATTGAATTATATTCAGGTTTTAATGAGGCGGGTGCGTGGCTTTCAATAGTATTTAGCACGGTCCAACAAAACAGTTGGACGATAATTAGACCCCTCTTGACTTCTATAGATTTTTGTCTTCCTCCATACGGAAAAAACGGGCCACATGTTTAAACTTAAATTAGGTGTTCAGTCCTCGTTCTGATAGTAGTGATGACCCATTAAAAAAACGGCATATATTTCATATCTGCATATTTGTAGTTAAAAAAATTCTGAAGAATATGAAGGTCTTTCCGGTGGTTGGTTTGGATTTGATTTCTTTGGAGGGGTCATCTGTGGCCACATTTCTCGTATCTCTTTTGCCCTTCTTGTTTTGAGTTTGGCTCTGGTAATTTTACCATATTTGCTTAAGTAAGCTTCTGTGCTTGGTCTTGTCTTCGAGCATCCATATGTGTATTGTAGAATAACTTAGTTTTGGGCATGTTGTGCTTTCTCTTCTTTGAGCCCCAGGTCTTCTTTTTGTTTCTCCCAGGTTATTTATTCTCTTATTGTATGGACCAAAAAGACTTGCATAATTATTTTCATATTTCCTTATAATTTTTTTCCATAAATCCACGTACATAATAAAAAATTGAATATATAAAATCATTTTTCTGTTTAAGATATGAGAATCAAAATTGATATCATATATAAATTTTCATTATGTAACATTGAGTATAGAAAAATTATTTTTTTAATGAAAAAAACTTAAATACAAATATCATTAGATATTAGTAATACTATTTTCTGATCAAAATATAACATAAAACACAACACTGGTTGTTAAGATGTCAACTTCAACTGAGAAAAAGAAACCGATAATTATACGTTGACAACGATTATGAAAATTAAATATTTAATTTTTTAGGTAACAAATAATACAAATTAATACACTTCTTTGCACTAGTTGTTAAGATGTCAACCTCAATTAATGAGAAAAAACAAATAATAGTGGATAGTTCCAAAAAATTATATGAAACAATATAGAAAAAATTATTTCTATTTTCTAGTTTGTAAATATTTTTAGAAAAAGTTATAGAACATTGTAAATTTTTTAGTTTCAAGATAGTTCTAGAATATTGAACCACCTAAACATAATGGTAGATGGTGCCTATAAATAAGTATGATATCATATTGTAAAGGTTGAGAAGAATAAGTAATTAAACTATCAATTCTTTATCTTTCAAATCCCTTACTAATACTTTTTTAACTGTTATTTTCAACTATTTCTACTAACATATTTTAACTATTTTATTCATTTCACCTAAAAAAAATTATCAAAAATCAGTTAATATATTTTTATTTGAATCGCTGGAGAAGGGTTGCTAGTCTTTATAGATTGAGTATATATATTGCGTGAAAATAAGGTTGTAATTTACTCAAGTATGAAGTCATTCTAATGCTACAACTTATAACTTCGACGTTAAAATGGAGTTCAACCTGCTAAGGATTAGTTTTCAATTAACACATACTTAGTCACTCTATGGCTCCCTTGTAATTAACTTTTATCATTTCTCACCCAATTCCAATTCTTGTATACTCTTTTGATGCATTCAATTGATTTTGTGTTTTCCACTAAGGACAGATTTAAAGGTATATCACACTATGAGGGAGCTGATTCAGATAACCACACTACCCTACCTTCTAAGTTGGCTTGCATTTTATACGGTACTTGAATCTCGATCGCTACCATTGTCTTGAAAAGGATGAACTCTCTCTTATGGCTGCAATTAGGTATGAGCTTCCTTTCCAAGGCCTTTCATTTGAACGACCTTTGATAGTGGGATATGGATTTCAGTAAGTTTGGTTCTGAAGTTATATATGATTTGATTTATGCTAGTGTTGTATTTCTTCACATGCGTAATAAACTCGTGTGGGTTGGATTTCAGAAGCTAGCAGCTCTAGATTGAAACCTTATGATGGGCGAATTTTTGTGTCGCGTAATATAAAGTTTTATTCGTGGCTGGGAGGAGAGAAATACACTAAAGGGCTTGCCAATTTGGCGCTTAAGTATATAAGGGAAGCATACACATGATAATTTGATATTTAATCATTATAAATGAAATAAGCTAAAAAAGTTTTTTTTTTTTTGTTTAATCTAAAAAAATTGTTTAAGTAAAAATCACTTAAAAATTTTTAAAATTTTATTTTTTTCTTTAAACTGATGATATCTTGATTATATTCAACACTTTTGACTTATTACTCATAATTAATTTTATGTTTTTTTAATTTTTTAGACAATTTAAATTTCAAACTTTACGATGTATGGTTCAAAAATTTATATCATTTATTTAACATGTCAAGGTTTAATCTAACTATAGTAGAATAAAATCATGAAATTTAAATATTAAAGTTAAAATTAATAGAAAATAAAAATTATTTAAAATATTATTTTTTAAATGTAGCAACATATGAGGTGTGTTTAGATAAAAAAAGAAGAAGAAGAAAAAACATAATTATAAACACTATGTTTATGTTTTTTATGAATAATTTTTTTTAGAAGAAGAAGAAACATTAGTTTTTGTGCCAACTTTAAAACACACACTTTCTTTACAAATCAATAAATATTATATTGAGCACATGTTAAGTAGACATTGATAAAAAAAACAAAAGTTTTTCAAATATTTTTAGTCCAAAAAAGAAAAAAATAGTTAAAATAAAGAAGAAAATAAAAATTTGATTTTTTTATGTAATTTTAATTTAAGCAAATTTTTAATTTAAATAAAAATTATTATTTTACTTATTTCATTTAATTGAGAAAAATTATGTTCAAACAAAAATGCACTACTATACATATCTTTCATTCTGTCAAAAATATATTTTATGGCATAGATGCTTGTTACAATGATGTTGTGCATAGATTAAATCATTTTGTGGATTAGATTTTACTTAACTACTATTACTTGTGTTAGAGGTTGAAGTTTTGTATAAATGTATAGTCACACAAAAATCGTAAAAAATATGTATCTCACCTTTATGAATTAAGGAAAAACAAAAAAATTAGAAAAAAAAGAAGAGAGAAAACTATATTAAATATGAATACATTTTAAATTTTAATAATTATAAAATTAAAATTATATATATAGTAACTGAATTGTTGATTTAAGCGACGTCGCTTTGAGCCGAACGTCAGGTTTTCAATTTTGAGGGCAATATTAGTAGTAATCTTGTTCTGAGTAGCTTCGGTTGAGGAGTGTTGGAGTCGTAGAGAGAGGGAAACAGTGATCAACGATTCAATGCCTGCACTTCGCATCGTAAGCAAGATTTTTTATTCGGTGAAACGAAGGTGCGAATATCATTACCGAACTATCTCCTCTACGGCGCAGCTGCATGATTCATGGATGGAGAAGGTCAAAACCGTCTTCACGGGCCAAAAAGGAACCACCGACGAAGACGCATCCCAAGCCAGCTCCGACTCATTCACCTTGCTCCGTCAGTTCCTTTCAATTTCAATTCATCTCTTGCTTCTCTTCTTTTTTCTCACATAATTGCGTTCACTCTTTTTTCACGTTTATTTTATCTGTTGATTGCTCACAGAATTTGCGGATGGAATGAATAATGCAAGAAGAATTGGGAAGTTTAAGCAATACATGGTTGGACGAAGCAGCGATGCCACTTTCTCTGTCGCCTTCGAAAAATATGAAGCCATAATTCGATATCTCGGGGGTTTGGACCCCACTGGAGAGGTTCCCCATTCTCCTTCTTGTTAAATTTGATTTTTATAAATCCTGCTTCATAATGTTCTATTAAACTGCTTAATCTCGAGACTACTATTTTTTGTTTGCATTATAATTTCCAGTATTGGTTGGCTATCTGTTTATTAATTTGTTTATTTATTCTTCTGGAAAAAAATGTCTCGTGTTTGTATCTCTCTGTTTTGTTATTTTCAGAACCTCCAGAGCGCTCAAAAGCAAGAAGCTGCTAAACATTGTAATTGCACGATCGTTGATGTTGAGAATGCGCTTGCCAAGTTTACTTGGGCTAAAGAAGCACAGCAGAAGATAGTGAAGTTAAAAGAAGAAGGAAAACCAATGCCAACAAGCTTCGCTGAAGTAATGCTCCTCATTATTACCTTAGTTCCTTGCAACCTCGTTGGCCTCAATTCATCATCTTATGAAGAAAATTTAGTTTGGTTATGGGTTTTCAAAACTTTCTTCATTTGGATGTATATATCTAATGCAAACTAAGTCATTAACTTCTTTGATGATTATGATGTGTGTGACTGAGTATATGCACCAAGATTAGCACTTTACTTTGTTATGTCAAATAATTAGTGTAAATGCTTTTCCTGGTGTTTTTAGGGGGCGTTGAATTTGAGTTTAACCAGCCATGTTTATATTTTATGTTCTCTAGGTCCAAAAGCTGGTTGGTTCAACTCCATTGGATCTTGCAAAGTCTAATCTGGCTCAAGCTGGACAAATTAGCAGGAATGCACTCTGTCCATGTGGTTCAAAGAAGAGATATAAAAGGTTAACTTCAGAAAATTCTTCGTCACCAAGCTGATTCCTGTCTATTATGCCTGTCTTGTGGATGTATTATTGCTTGTTCTTCAATTAGAAAACTTAAATAGTACTGGTCCGTGTTTGCTGTAGTTCTTGAGTTTTTTCTGCATATTAGCTGAACCTAAAGATATATCTATACTATACCTACCTGGCTTAGCAAATGGTTTTCAGAAATCAGAACTCCTTGGTCCTTCCCCACTTATTAGTTAGTTATTTTCTAATATTTTGTTAGACATTAGAGTAGTTTGCTACTAATAGCTTTTATTCCTTCATCGCCGTTGGTTATAGTGAAATTAAACTTCTTACTGTGTTTGTATAATGCTTTCAAAAGCTGGATTTGGTGTTTTAATATGTATTCTTGTGTGAAAACTATTGCATGTCTATTTGTAAAGAGTAAACTCTGAAATTTTTATTTCGGCTTTTAACTTTTTTTTATGAAAAAGTAAAAGCCCTTTTATTTCCCCCCAAATTCTTTTGGATTTTAATTTGCTAGAACTATAGAATCGTTATGAAATTTATTTTGAAACTGATCAGCCTGCACATTTATTTATTTTTTTTTTTTTGGAAGGTGCTGCGGAAAGGATTGAAGGAATTCAGAAATTGAACGTTAAACTGCAAGGACGCCTGATCTATGATACAGGCACCTACCACGAGGGGCTGAATTGATCTGCACTCGTACTCTGTTTTATTTGGGTCAGATCAAGCTGCCCATACACTAGACTGAAGCATGCTCACTGTAGGCTGATGTTAAGATGAGATTTTGTTTTTGTTTTTTAATTTATTTAGCTTTCTAATTTTTGAGGTGCGCATAGGCAGAATGAAGCATAATAGTTTTGTTCAGTTGAAGAGTAGTTAGTTTGTTCTCTTCTTTCCCTTGCTCTTACCTAAATAAAAGGCAAGAGAATAAGAACATTAGTTAGAGGCAAAATATTAGCTTGTTTCTATGTCCTCTCACTTTGGTCTTTTGTTGATCCACTGTATACTACTGATTTCAAAGTCAACTTCAACTCATTTGTTCACTAATTTCTATCAAAGTTTTATTACATCTGCCAAATTTAGGATTTGGCTCACAATTTGCTTCAATTGAATCAGGTTTAAGGTATATTTGGTAAAGATGAAAAAAAGGAGAGAGACACAAATTGATCACACTTCTATATAATATGTTTACCTTTCCATATTATTGCTTTATTCACTTTGTTAGTACTTTCATATTCCTTTTTATAAACAATAGTTTTAACCCTCTGGAAAATATGGTTCAAGGACGGCCATAAATTGATGTTTTGAGTTGAAGATGCTCGTACACTTAGTTATTGGTATTTGAAAGTGCTTAAATTACTTAGCACTCTAGATGGAAAGGTATCACATATATGGCAGAAGTATCTGCATAAAGTGTTCTGCGCTATTAGCTTTGGACTCCTGTTACTCTCTGCTTAGTTATTGGAATTTGAAAGTGCTTAAATTACTTAGCACTCTAGGGATGGAAAGGTATCACATATATGCCAGAAGTATCTGCATCAAGTGTTCTACCCTATAAGCTTGGACTCCTGTGATAATTCTCTGATTCACATGAGAAATGAGACACTATCTGAACTTTGTTTATTAATTATATGAGAAACTTAGTTTAAACTAATTTGCATTCACAAAACATACATATAGGGAGACTTTACCAAGTAATCAAAGAAATGCTTAACCTTACGGGTTCGTGGCTAAGTTGGGAAGGTGTATAATGAGTGGATTCTATTTTGGTAGTGGGGTCGGCTTTTTTTTTTGTTGGTAAATTACCCTTTTTTTCTACAACAGTACAAATTCTTTATTCCAAAATAATGTGTATATTTAATTGGATATATAATTATTCTAAAATGATATATATATTTAATTGGGTATAGAGTTCCGAGCTAGAGTGGAGAAAAAAAGAGAATAGATAAGCGATGTTGACGATTTCTTACTGTGGGCAGGGGATGATGAAATGACTCGTAATCTCCGATGGAAGATGTGTGGTTCAAGGGAAGAGACTTTGGTATATTTAAGAGATGTTTGCATACCTCACCCTTGGCGTCGCTCATTTGCCTCGATGATTGTTCTATAGGTTTTATTTTGGTGCATCCTTGGTCACGCGATGAAAGGTGCAAAGCTCACATATGGTATGCTATAGCGGTCAAATATTGGGGCCAAGGGATACTGACCAAAGTACTCAAAATTGCGGTGCCTTAGGACTCAAAGAAAGGATTTTGTACCGCTTTCTCCCCTATGGACACTTTTTGGTGTCTTTGAACTCAAGTTCCAGTTTTGGTCTCGTTTTTGTGCTTGTTTGCTTAGCAGCTAAGAAATGCATGTAAAACTCATCACGAACCACTGAAACTCTTTGGAAGTGACTTTTAGGACTCAAAGGAAGGCTTCGCCATCGCTCTTTTCGCTCTTGGCGTTTCTTAACACCTTTGGGCCCAAGTTCTAGTTTTGATTTCGCTATGGTCCCCTTATGCTTAGTGGCTAAGTAACGCGTGCAAACCTTGTCTCGGGCCAATAAAACTCCTTGGAAATGACTCCTAGGACTCAAAGAAAGGATTCCCCACCGCTTTCTCTCCTCCTAGCGCTTCCTAGCGCCTTTGGGGCTAAGTTCCTGTTTTAGTCTCGCTTTGGTCCCCTTTTACTTAGCTGCTAATGAACGCGTGCAAAACTCATCTTGGACCACTGAAACTCCTTGGAAGTGACTTCTAAGACTCAAAGGAGGGCTTCCCCACCGCTCTTTCCGCTCCTGGCGCTTCCTGACACCTTTGGACCCAAGTTTTAGTTTTTGTCTCACTATGGTCCCCTTATGCTTAGTGGCTAAGCAACGAGTGCAAAACTCATTTCTGACCATTGAAACTCCTTGAAAGTGACTCCTAGGACTTAAAAGGAAGGATTCTTTATCACTCTTTTCCCTGCTGGCACCTCCTGCTAGCTTTGGGCCCAAGTTCTAGTTTTGGTTTCGTTTTGGTCCCTTTTTGCTTAGCGGCTAAGGAATGCCTGCAAAACTCGTCACGGGCCATTGAAACTCTTTGAAAGTGACTCTTAGGACTCAAAGGAAAGCTTCCCCACCGCTTTCTCTACTCCTAGCGCTTCCTGGCGCCTTTGGACTCAAGTTTCAGTTTTGGTCTCGCTTTGGTCCACTTGTGCTTAGCGGTTGAGGAACACGTGCAAAACTCATCTCTGACCACTGAAACTCCTTGGAAAAGACTCCTAGGACTCAAAGGAAGGGTTCCGCACCACTCTCTCCCCTTTTGGTGCTTTCTGGCGCCTTTGGTCTCGAGTTCCAATTTTGGTCTCGCTTTGGTCTCCTTTTGCTTAGCGGCTAAGGATCACGTGCAAAACTCATCTCGAGCCACTGAAACTCTTTGAAAGTGAATCCTAGGACTTAAAGGAAGATTTCCCACCGCTCCCTCCCTTCTTGGCGCCTTGGGGCCCAAGTTTCAGTTTTGGTTTCGCTTTGGTCCCCTTATGCTTAGCAGCTAAGAAACGGACAAAAAAGACTTGTGAAATCTAAAGAAATTGAACAATTTTAAGGAATTTATTTAAACAATCAACATTTTTATGGAAATTCTGCTAGAAAACTAACTAAAATATTAATAAAATATAAATTTAAATATTTTATAATTTAACTAAAGATAATAAATATTGATTATTTTATATATTAGTTAAAAAAATCATACTAATTAAAGTCAAATAGCCTCTAGAATATTCTAAATGCTTATGAAATGATAGATTAATTATAATTTTATTAATTTAATTTATATTCATATTTTAAAAAAGAAAAATAATTTTACATATTAGTACAGCAAAGCAAAGTTGTATAAGAACTGAAAAACTATGAGCTCTTTATTAACATACATAAGAAAACTTAGATAAAGTGAATAAAATTTCTGTAAAAGAATAAAGGAGCCCCTTGACGGCAGCAAAGTGATGTTCTCCCTACTCTGTCTAAATCCAGAGCTTTGGGTTGAGGATAAGGTGCTGACTACTACTTTGAGCCTTTTTGCCTTTAATAAAATATATACTCAATTCTAATTTTTGTTAAAAATAATTATAATTACTTATAACTTGAATAAAAAATAAACAGTTGTAATTTTTGCTGCGAAGGCTGCAGAGAATCTGGATCCCCAGACGATAATATAATTTCGTAAATTTTTTGAAATAACAGATACTTATGTATAGATTTTGGAGTTAAATTTGAATTTATTCAAAAACTAGTTTAGCTGCGACTTAACCCGTTTTCCAAAAATTATATATATATATATATATATATATATATATATATATATATATATAGTTTGGACCCAATATCCCATTCCTATCATTAGCTTACAACTAGATTTGGATTAGTTTTACACTAAAATCAGTCTATGCACATTCTTTCTCTACGGAGAGGTGTCACGACCCATTTTTTTTATAAATGATTGATGATTATGTATTACTATTCCTTATAAAGATTTATTTATAAAAAAATACAACAAATATAAGGTAAAGGATAAAATTTTCAAAAATTAAATTTTAACATTAAGCCTAATAACAAAGCTCCAAGACATTTTTCTATAACCTAAAAATTATATTTATACATATTTACAGTAGTTGCTCTACATAGAGCTCATAGTACAAATTCATAAATAATAATTACATTTCTGAAAACTGTAGCTAAATAGTCTAGACATATTACTAAGACATACACTATCTGAATAGCTAAAGCTACGATCTTCGCAGAAGAAAAGTATGATGACTTCAAAATTCCTCAGCCAGACCCTCCAACATGAGATGTGGATGCATTTCCTGTCACATCTGCTCACGTATTATCGTACAGTCATCACAACATGCACACATGTCAACATAGATAACTGCAAATGTGAGCTTATGTAATTAACAGATATCACTAAAAGATATGGAAATGTTAGAAATATTTAAATAACTCAAACAATCCTTAGTAATTCAGCACAATAGTTCAGCCTATTCCCAGCTCATAAAACGCAAATGCAACATTTATGTCTCAACTGGTTTTATAGCCTAAGTATTCTAGAAGAAACTATTCCAAGTCTGAAAGTAACTCATCCCGGTATCTTTCAGCATAATCAACATCCTCAGTACATGTATCACAACATTCAAACAATTATCAAACAACAAAAAAATCTCCTCAGTCATACATGCTTTGGCCTCTAACCTAAGATTTGCTCATACAACAAAATATTCTCAGCTAAGATGAAGTCATCTATTGAGTGAATAAAGCTGACTCAAGTAAGCTCCCCTTACTTAAAATGAGTTTCTTTAGTTTTGAATCTTCGTGAGTTCCAACTAGATCCGTACTTAATAGATGTTTCCACTTAGATCGAAAGGAAGTTCAGCTTCGGAAAGATTTTCTCTAAGGTAAGAAGGTGAAAGAACATAGAGAAAATAAGAGTGGAAGGCTATCTGGTGAGAAATGAATGTTTCTCTGTGTTGGGGTTTCTTAAATACTCCTCTAGACCCCCCCACTCTTGCTTGAACGAGCTAATCCTTAAGCGAGTCTTGCTCTCGCCTAGGCGAAAAAATCAGACAATAAAACTTCTTAAATTTCTGCTATTCTCACTTAAGCGAGGAATGTCTCACTTAAGCGAGTTGTATATATATATAATTGTATAGTTTTTTATATTGTAGGAATAAATATAAACATAGATATTCTACATAAAGGCATATTAATATCTTAAAATAGGTAAATAACTAACACTTAATTTTTTTTTTCATATATATAATAATTTTTTTCAACATTGTACTTCAACAATTTTTTGGGTGAAGATTATACTCCAATATTTTTTAACAATATTTTAGTTCAATAAATAGAAACTTAAGAAGTAGAACAAAAGAAAAAAAATATATTTAACAATATATTTGAAAAAAAAAAAAAAAGGTAACGGACTAAGGTTACCTTTGTTAGATCAATTAAAGATGACCTTCACGTTGAAGCATTTTAACAATCTGTTCCATGGTAGGGCGAGATTGTGGGCTTTCAGTCAAGCATGCAATTGCTATCTTTGCAATGGTTAACATCTCCTTAGCAATAGGGTTTGTTGGATGAAGTTGACGTTGGTCCAACTTATCCATCAAAGACAAAGACATGTTATCAAGCGATGAAGGCACAACTGGGCATGAAGATGATAACAGTGAAGAAGATATAACATCACCAGGATGTTCTCCAAAAAGTATTTCCAATGTTAAGACTCCAAAACTATACACGTCACATTTCTCATTTACTTCCATTGTGTAAGCAAGTTCTGCAACAAATTTTACGAATTATCATGTACAAGTTGGATTTCATTGACAAACATGAAATGTAGATATATTCTCAAATAAAAATGACAACTAAAAATAAACTAAAAAATTATTTATATATCCTCAAATATTATAAAGAAAGGGAATTAATTACCTGGAGCAGCATATCCAAAGGTTCCTACGAGTGAAGTCCAATTAGAAGAATCAGGATTGAGAAGCTTGGCTGTTCCAAAGTCTGAGACATGAGCTACATATTCCAAATCTAAAAGAACATTCTTGCTTGATATATCACGATGAACAATTGGAGGTGAACAATCATGGTGCATATAGCTCAAGGCAATGGCTACACCTTTCACAACATTCACCCTCTTATGCCAATCAAATGCAATCGCTTCTTCATCATCCTTCAAAATCTTCTCGACACTACCCTTTTCCAGGAACTCATACACCAAAAATGAAAATTGTGGATGTGAACAAAACCCATATAACTTCACAATGTTACGATGCCGAATTTTTGTCAACACTTCGATTTCACTTTCCAAAGCTTTTTGATTGAGCATTTCTTCATTTGGAATTGAATGCAGTTTTTTCACAGCAACAACTTGACCCGTTGGTAACTTTGCTTTGTAAACACATCCTTGCCCTCCAACCCCAATGAGATATTTGTCATCAAACTGTTCTGTGGCTTCAATAATATTCTCAAACATCATTTTGCCATCAAAATTCCATATTCCAAATATGTTTGGAGTTTGAAATTTTGCAACCTGGTTTTCTTTTGTCTTTGAAGGTTGGCATAGATGATGCAAGACTCCAAAAGCAAATAGTGAAAGTATTAGAGTGCCCAAAGTAAGTGGTAAAACTATCATTATGACTTTCTTAATCTTATGATTATGAGATTTCCCACTTAATGTTGGGCAAGGCTCTAAGCCAGTGACATTACCACACAAGCCTTTATTATTTCTTAATGCTTCAATAGTAACATTTTGAAACACATGAATGTTTGGAAGTGGACCCTCTAATTGGTTGTATGATATATCAATAGATGTCAAGCCTATCATATCATCAAAGCTAGAGAGATCACCTGAAAGATTATTGTGCGAGAGATTCAATGTTTCTAATATTGTCATTTCTGCAAGCATTGGTGGTATTGTTCCACTCAAGGAATTTCCACTAAGATCAAGACTTCCAAGAGATTTCAGTTCACCTAGCTCAGAAGGAATATTTCCCTCGAATTCATTTTGGCTTAGATTTAAGATCAACAATTTGAGCAACTTTCCAAGTTGTTTTGGGATTAAGCCAATCAAACTATTTGATCCAAGATCCAATTTTTCAAGTTCCTTCATTGATGCTATTTGTGTGGGAACATTTCCTGAAAGATTATTATTGTTGATTGCTAGATCATACAAGGTCAAGTTACATAATTCTTGCGGAATGTTTCCTGTAAGATGGTTTGAAGATAGGTGAAGTGACTGCAAATTAGTTGCTTTGCTTAGTTCTGGTGGTATAACTCCTGATAAATGATTGTTGGAGATCTTTAGGCTTGCGAGGCTACTGAACTTTCCCCAGTTTGGTGAAAGATGACCGAAGAAATTGTTGTCACTCAATTCGATGTAGTTCAAATTTGGAAGTACACCAAAAGCATCTGTTATATCTCCAGTTAGTTGATTTTTCTGAAGCCTGACTCTGATAAGGCTGGAGCAATTTTTCAAACTCTGTGGAATTGGGCCTGTGAATTTATTATTATAGGCAGAGAAGTTTGCCAACTTTCCATTAATGCAAATGTTGTGAGGTAAATGACCTATAAAATTATTATCATATAGTTGTAAACTTTCCAAATTCAGGAGCCTGTTCATTTCAATTGGAATCATGCCACTGAGTCTATTTTCACCAACACTGAGGATTTTTAAATTGACTAAATTACCTATTGAAGGTGGAATTTGTCCGGTGAATTCATTTGAATATAAATACAATACACTGAGCTTCGACAAATTTCCAATAGTCGAAGGAATGAATTCAGAGAACTTATTTTCAAAAAGGAAAAGATATTGTAATTTGATCAATCTTCCAATTGAAGGTAGAATTTGTCCAGTGAATTTATTTGAAGATAAATCCAAGTTATTGAGATTCGACAAATTTCGAATAGTGGAAGGAATGGATCCAGAGAGTATATTTCTATAAAGGAAAAGATATTGTAATTTGATCAACCTTCCAATTGAAGGTGGGATTTGTCCAATGAGTTCATTTGAATTAAAATATAATGTATTGAGCTTCGACAAATTTCCAATTGTAGAAGGAATGAATCCAGAGAGCTTATTTTTAAAAAGGGAAAGATATTGTAATTTGATCAACCTTCCAATTGAAGGTGGGATTTGTCCAATGAGTTCATTTGAAGATAAATCTAAGTTATTGAGATTCGACAAATTTCCAATAGTCGAAGGAATGAATTCAGAGAGCTTATTTTCAAAAAGAGAAAGATATTGTAATTTGATCAGCCTTCCAATTGAAGGTGGGATTTGCCCAGTAATTTCATTTGCAGATAAATCTAAGTAATTTAGATTCGACAAATTTCCAATAGTTGAAGGAATGAATTCAGAGAGTTTATTTTTAAAAAGGAAAAAATATTGTAATTTGATCAACCTTCCAATTGAATGTGGGATTTGTCCGGTAAGTATATTAGTTGACAAATCAAGAGTGTCAAGATTGGACAATGTCCCAACATGGGAAGGAATACTTCCATCGAAGGAGTTTTTGCTTAAATCTATGATGAAGATGTTTGGAAGTCATGAGAAGTTGAGACTTTCAAGCGTACCTCTTAATCCAATATTTGGAAGACTTATGTTGGAAACATATTTGGATTTGTCACAAGCAATTCCCAGCCAGTTGTTGCAAGGATTATTGCCAGTCCATGAAGAGAGGGAAGCTTGGCTTTGGTTGTCAAGGGTGGCTTTCCACTTCAACAAAGCATTTGCTTCTCTGCTTTGTATCGTAGCTGAAGCTGAGGAATCATGCACACTGGAATTAGCATGATTAGGAGCAGAGGCCACTACAAGTGCACAAAAGCACAGATGCATCCAAAGTGGTTGGAGCTTCATGACAAATATGAACATACTGAATTCTTGAATCACTGTTTGTCTAATACAAAGACAGGGGAGAACTAACTTACATGCATTCATGAGATGTTGCAAATATTTATATGCAAGAAGTCAATGATAGAAGACCAAAGTCAAGAAATGAGGCAGCGATATAGATTTGTTAAGGCGTGTTTGAAAACGTTTAAAATAAAAAATATAAATATTTTTTTCAGCAAAGCATCCTCTTAATTGTTAAGAAATTAAGACTCCATTCGGTTTTTTAAAAAGTTTTCTATTTTTATTTTATTTTTTACTTTTAATTAAAAATTTGTCACATTATTTTCATTTTCTCTCCTGTTTTTTAAGATTTATACAAGAAGTCATAAACATATACATTGTTTTACTTACATATATTCTACACGGACATCACACCATTACCATCTATTTCTATACAAATATTTTTTTTAGTTAATTCATAGTCTCCTAAAATTAAATTAATTTTAAAGCAAAACATTTTGTCTTTCTAAATATTTTCCATTTATATTTCAAGTTACTTAATTTTTCAGTTTTTAAATTGAATTTATTTTTCACTTATACTTTCCATTTATATAAGTAAAAAAATAATTTTTTTCATTCTAACTACTACTACTGTTATTATTATTATTATTATTATTATTATTATTATTATTATTATTATTATTATTCAAGACTTGTTTAGAAAATCTTGTGAACAATTTATAAAAAGATAACTTACAAGTCTCATAAGTTATTTTTAGTTTATATCAATCAATTTTATCACTAAATTTGTGGTATAAGTTATTATTTGAAAAACAAAAATTATTAAATTTAAACACAAGACAAATAGAAATAATAGTAAAATTAAATGAATTTATAATAAATGTAATTCCCGGAGGGTGAAACCAACGTTTTGTATATAAGATTTTGTATAATTTTATAGCACTTTTAGGTATAATTTACGGCAGTTAAACACAAGATTATGCATGCTAAAAATTATAAAAGGCTAAGGTAAGTCAAACTCCACATATACGACCAATACCAATTTTGTAAAAAAAATAAATTAAAAGTTAAAGTATTTGAGTGTTAAGTTTTTCACAAAATTGAAAACAATTACATTGAAGGATGATTATACAACAAAATTAGTGTAAATTTTAAAATTCTTACAAAATTAATTTATGTTATACACGTGGAGTTTGACTTACCTTAATATTTTTGCAAAACGTGCATAAGTTTTTATGGCAATTTTAAACATAATTTTTAGTGTAGGCAATAAAAAAAATTGTAATCCGACTTGTACTATTTTGATAATTTTTTTTTTTTAAATAATGCACCATTTAAATAATTTTAAGGGAAGTTATCCCAATTATGTTAAAAAGCTGAATTGTGGATTGAGCATTCTTTTGCAGAGTGTCTCAAGAAAAATTAAATGGATTAGTTTGATATCAATTGGAAAAAAAAATGTTGAACAAAATTGACTATCATAATTTAGTAAACAATTTTTCATGTCAAAAAATCAAAATAAAAATTTAGTAATTTTAACAAATTATATTTTGATTTTAAGAGACTTCTATTTAAAATTCGTTTTAGACTTAAACATTGGGTCGTCCTGATTAAGTGTTAGAATAACTAGTATTTATTTAATAATAATAAATTTTTAGTATAATATTATTATCAAAACAAATGTTGTAATGCCTTATTGGTTAGTATAAATTTTTAAAATTTATATTAATATTTTTTTATAAAAAATTAAACTACAAATAGTTATTTTAATGTTTGATAATTTTTATTTATTAATAAAGTATAATATCATATATAATATAATTTTTTAATAATTTAAATAATAAATTTATTAAAATATTTTTAGGTTTAGAAACAACATGGAAAATGTCAAGTCATTCTTTTTTGTCTCTATGTGCGTGTTGCATATAAGCAAAGTCTACTCACAGAATTTTCGCTGACAGATTAATTCTACCCTTCCCTATCACTTTTAAAATGTGAATTCACAATGTGATGTTACCAATTCTCAACGCAATTAAGCGTATCTTACGCGACAAATAACACAAGGAATCGTTCCACACATAAAATGAGATGATAAAAAAATTTATTTTTAGTATTTATTAAATTAGTATAATATGATAATTTATTTTGTTAAATTATTTCAATTTTTATAATTTAAATTTTTATTTAGAGAATGTAGAGAATTAAAAACTAATTAGCTTGAGTCAAGTCACTCTTATATGACTACCTAAAAATTTTCTAACTGAACGACTAATTCTACCCTTTCTAACATGTTCATAAAATGAATGGACAACATGATGTTACACAACGCCAAAAATAAAATAAGGACTCGTTCAACGCTTAAAGTATAATGATAAATTATTTTATTTTTAGTATTTACTAAATTAGTACAATATGATAATTTATTTTGTTAAATTGTTTTATTTTATTTTTATAATTTAAATTTTTATTTAGTGATGAGTGAAGAAAAATTGCAATAAGATAATTTTGTTCTTATTAATGCATCATTTCATTTTATTTTAAGTGAAACAAATAGACAAACTACAACATAGATAAATTGTTTAGGAAAAAAAATTTAACAACTGCATTTAGAAAATTATATAGAAGGTGAAATAAATTTTTAGATAAAAGTATCATGAATAATATAACACTTGTATATATGAGAAAAGTTTTACATGAGATGGTGAATATTATGTAAAGTATAACATATTTCAAGATAGATTAATCTTAATTTCTTTAAAATAAAGTTCATGGCTTATAAGCAAATAAATTTCAAAATCAATGATAATTTTTTAATCTTATCAAGTGAAAACTCTAGTAAATTGTTTTTAAATCAAAATAGAGAATAGACTCATTACCATTAAAAGAAGTAAATTTAATTAGTCATTTATTATTATAATTTTATATAATATAGTAATAACTTATATGGTGATTCCTACAATTTATTAATTTTATAGTACTTGAAAGATGGTGGATCTCATGTCATCTTCAAAAAAGATGAGTTTGAAAGCTAACTTGTTTGAAACTAATAGACAACAATTTTTTTTAATCTAACTAATGAAATCTAAAACATGATAGATACTCAGTTTCTTCTCATTAAAAGAGCAAATTATTCTTCCAACATCAAAGTTGTCAGATCGGTGTAATTATATATGTATTTATTATTTATATTAACCAATGTTGTGTAGGCTTAAACTATATGAATTGCTAATATATTCGAATCTAATTGTAGATGTTGTATAATTGCCGAATAAGAAGTAGTGTATTTGCAGTGCTATGTAATGATATTGTTATATGTGATGAGAAAGGCAAGTTAGAGATTGATTGTTAAATGAGTTGTGCATAAGATAATCTAGAGGGCATGGTCAAGAGCTTGTATTATCTCATTCGAGAGAGAGATTAAGAGTTCTTGGTACAAGGTGTCTCGCTCAAACGAGATTAAGTCGTGCAGAATTAAGCATTGTCAAACATTCTTGCTCAAACGAGAGCATATAGGATCACCCCAACTATCCCTTTGTCCATATGAGAAGGGATTTTTCTCAGGCAAAAGACGACCTCACTTAAGCAAGAACAGCTCGCTCAGGTGAGAAGAGTCATACAAAGGAAGGGTAGCTATTTGGATCTAGTCTCGATAAAAAGAAAACCACAAAAAAAAATTATTAAATCATTTGATGTAAAAGAAAATATTGAAGAAAGTAATGAGATTTTTTTATTTAGTTAAAAAGAAATTAAAAAAGGATAACTATGTTCTTAAAAGTGATGAGTTATATAATGTAATGCTAACATAATTTTTAATTTTATTTCATTATTTTTTAATACATTAATCATATATTATAAAATATAACATTGTTTGATGAAATAAAATAAGTGTTTATTTATACATACTATATAACATTGGGTCACAAACAAATTTTATAATAACGTGGATCTCTTCGGCCAAACTGTCTACGGCAAAATTTTAGCCATTAATTTATATTTTGAATAATTAAGATTAATTAAAGAGAAAAAGTGAATAAGTATTAATAGTATACGATGAATGCTTTATATTTTAAATATGGAATCCTTATAAACTTTTTAATTATAAATAATTTTCAAACTTCTTAATTGAAAACTGAAAATGTTGCTTAAAATTAAGTTGGTATCAAGTTTGAATTCTAATATATGTAATTACATTAAATATTTTTAAAAAATTAATTTTTATAGTTTTTCTACATCACTCAAACAAAATTAATGTCTCCTATCTCAAAGACAATACTCATAGATTAGAGTTAAATAAATAAATATCTTGATCGAAATATATTTAAATATAAATAAATACTCATAGACAAAATTTATTTTGAAACTGATCAGCCTGCACATTTCAATTTTTTTTTTTTTTTGAAGGTGCTGCGAAAAGGATTGAAGGAATTCAGAAATTGAACGTTAAACTGCAAATACAGGCACCCACAAGGGGCTAAATTGATCTGTAGTCATACTCTGTTTTATTTGGGTCAGATCTAGCTGCCCATACACTAGACTGAAGCATGCTCACTGTAGGCTGATGTTAAAATGAGATTTTGTTTTTGTTTTTTAATTTGTTTAGCTTTCTAATTTTTGAGGTGCGCATAGGCAGAACGAAGCATAATAGTTTGTTCAGTTGAAGAGTAGTTAGTTTGTTCTCTTCTTTCCCTTGCTCCTGCCTAAATAAAAGGCAAGAGAATAAGAACATTAGTTAGAGGCAAAATATTAGCTTGTTTCTATGTCCTCTCACTTTGGTCTTTTTTTGATCCACCGTGTACTACTGATTTCAAAGTCAACATGGTTCAACTCATTTGTTCACTAATTTCTATCAAAATTTTATTACATCTGCCAAATTTAGGATTTGGCTCACAATTTGCTTCAATTGATTCAGGTTTAAGGTATATTTGGTAAAGATGAAAAAAAGGAGAGAAACACAAATTGATCACACTTCTATATAATATGTTTACCTTTCCATATTATTGCTTTATTCACTTTGTTAGTACTTTCATATTCCTTTTTATAAACAATAGTTTTAACCCTCTGGAAAATATTGTCCAAGGACGGCAATAAATTGATGTTTTGAGGTGAAGATGCTCGTACACTTAGTTATTGGAATTTGAAAGTGCTTAAATTACTTAGCACTCTAGATGGAAAGGTATCACATATATGGCAGAAGTATCTGCTTGAAGTGTTCTACGCTATAAGCTTTGGACTCCTGTTACTCTCTGCTTAGTTATTGGAATTTGAAAGTGCTTAAATTACTTAGCACTCTAGGGATGGAAAGGTATCACATATATGCCAGAAGTATCTGCATTAAGTGTTCTTGCACGTTATGTAGCAGCAAAGTAGGCAACTTACTGTGATAATTCTCTGATTCACATGAGAGATGAGACACTATCTGAACCTTGTTTATTAATTATACGAGAAACTTAGTGTAAACTAATTTGCATTCACAAAGCATACATATGGGGAGACTTCACCAAGAGTTTAAATAATCAAAGAATATTAATCAAAGAAATGCTTAACTGGGTCAGGGTCAATGTGTGATCAAGGCACATGGCTAAGCTAGTAATTTCTTGGATGCTAGTTTAAAGTTTTTTTTTTTTTTTTTGGTAAATTATCCATTTTTTCTACAGAAGTATCAATTCTTTATTTTAAAATAATGTGTATATTTAATTGGATAAAATAATGTGTATATTTAATTGGGTATATAATTATTCTAAAATGATATGTATATTTAATTGGGTTCCGGGCTAGAGTGGAGAAAAAAAAAGAGAATAGACAAAGATGAATTTCACCAGGGTCTGTCTACGGCCATTCAAGATAAGCGATGTTGACGATTTCTTACTATGGGCAGGAGATGATGAAGTGACTCGTAATCTCCGATGGAAGACGTGTGGTTCAAGGGAAGAGGCTTTGGTGTATTTAAGAGATGTTTGCATACCTCACCCTTGGCGTCGCTCAATTTGCCTCGATGACCGTTCTATAGGTTTTATTTCGGTGCGTCCTTGGTCAGGCGATGAAAGGTGCAAAGCTGACATAGGGTATGCTATAGCGGCCAAATACTGGGGCCAAGGGATAGTGACCAAAGTACTCAAAATTGCGGTGCCTCAAGTGTTCAAAGACTTCCCTGATTTGCTGAGGTTGCAAGCTTTTACCACAGTGGAGAACAAGGCTTCCCAGAGGGTGTTGGAAAAAGTTGGGTTCTTTAAAGAGGGAGTCCTCAGAAAGTACACATATCTAAAGGGGGACATCAAGGATTTGGTTGTGTTTAGTTTTTTGTCAACGGATGAAATTCCTCCTGGTGATTAGTGTTAGTACACTTGTATTTGGTCTGTTTTGTTGTTTTGGGGCAAGTAATGTCGAAATCTAATGTAAAATATTTCTTCCCTTGTTTCATCTTATTGTTATATGATACTGATGTGCTAATTTCTGGCGTCTTTTCTGCATTTTTTTTCGGGGACTCAAAACTTTCATCTTTAGATTATGCTCGTTTGAGCCTGATTCCTCCGTTAGGCGCAAAACTGTTGTGTTCTGCTATTGGTAGTCACTTGCTGTTGGCAAAGTGACAGATATTTTGTTAGTCAAGGATATTCGAAATCAATTACAAAACAATGATTCACATAATCCCACCCCGTTCAAAATACACGCGCGGAAATCTGTGCTCTTGAGTTCAAAATCAACGGAACGAATTAAACTAATGGCCAGTGTCTACGTTGAGAACATTAAAATTTCGATTTGCTGCTCAAAAGTTTAAATATTGATTTAATTTCATTTTTTTCTTTTTCTTTGGATTGCACCCTATATAAGAGGATGGGTGTGGCAAATAATTAAACAAGTGTGTAGTTTAATTATTTTAAATCTATATCTCGATCATTCGTTTAATTAGAAACGTTGGGTATCTGATTTTAATTTCTCTTGAAACAAGCGATATTTTGTTCCTATCTTTTTGTATCCCCTATTACACTATCACTCTTTAGTTTATGTGAGAAGTGAGAAATAAAATAATAAAAGAAAAAAACTTGATAAAAAGAAAACCACGAAAAAAATTATTAAATTATTTTATGTAGGAGAAAATATTGAAGAAAGTTATGAGAAAAAAATAATTTTTTATTTAGTTGAAAAAAATTTAAAATGGATAACTATGTTCTTAAAAGTGATGAGTTATATAATGTAATGCTAACATAGTTTTTAATTTTATTTCATTATTTTTTAATACATTGAATCATATATTATAAAATATAACATTGTTTGATGAAATAAAATAAGTGTTTATTTATACATACATACTATATTCTTTTATCGATTCAATAAAAATAACTACAATATTAAACCCGCAAGAAATTAAACACTTGTAGGCAGAGCCCATTGGAATCAGTTTCGTTTTTCTGGTCAACGGTGCCCTTGCCTTATAAAGCAGCGGTTTTGCTTGTGATATGGGAGAAATTTTTGAATGGTATGGGATCACAACATGCCATAATGCATCGTATGATCTCAGATTATATAATAATTTTTTGAGCCATAAACAAATTTATAATAACATGGATCTCTTCGGTCCAATTGTCTACAGCAAAATTTTAGTCATTAATTTATATTTTAAATAATTAAGATTAATTAAACAAAAAAAGTGAATAAGTATTAAAAGTATACGATGAATGCTTTATATTTTAAATATGGAATCCTTATATTTTCTCTCAATTTTGTTAGCTGGACCCAAAGTATAAAATAATTGTAGGACACTTTTTTTCTTCCTTTTTCAATTTTTTCAAAACAACTAAACAATTTCGCGTGACCTTAAAAATGTCAATTTAATGTCTATAAATGTGAGTTGAAAACTTGATGTATATTATTAATAAGAGCGTTGAATGAAAGTGTGTTTGCAACGAGGAAAACGGCGTTTGACGGGTTTTAATTACACCTATTGGATTAAACTATTAATATTATTATATAAATTAAATAGAATTTCAAGCAACAATTTCTTGTTGCCCGGATCACTCCCATAATTAATAATTCATATTTTCTCTAAAATCAAATTATAGGATATCATTAATTTTAAATATTTATTAACAATCATTAAATAAAAAGAGACTTTTTATTATAAGATTATAAATATGATTAAATTATTTTTTCACAAAAGATTCCATCCAAATATTTTTTATAAACTTTTTAATTGTAAATAATTTTCAAACTTCTTAATTGAACATCAAGCACGTGATGAAATGTTGCTTAAAATTAAGTTGATATCAAGTTTGAATTCTAATGAATGTAAATACATTAAATATTTTTTTAAAAATTATTTTTGTAGTCTTTCTACATCTCTCAAACAAAATTGTCTCTTGTCTCACAGACAAGACTCATAAATTAGACTTAAACAAATAAATCTCTTGATCGAAATATATTTAAATATCAATCAGTTAAATAAAAATTGTGATTATCTAAATCTTAAATATAGTTAACATCTGGTGCATCTTATGGGTGAGTTAATATTTTAATACATAACGTAGATCTGGCGAACGTATTAGATCTAAGTGATCAGAAACAGTACGAAGTAAAATCAAATCTTGAATACAGAAGAAACAGATACTAGTTTTGGCAAATCACAATTTTGATAATGGCAATGAACTTGTCAAGCATCACCCTGCGACCGTTCAAGTTGAGCGACGTAGATGATTTCATGTTAGTAGCAGGTGATGATAGAGTGAATTGTTATACACGAAGGGACACTTTTGTTTCCAGGGAACAAGCTTTGACTTTCATCCGAGATGTGTGCATGCCTCATCCGTGGACTCGATCCATAAGCGTTGAAGACAAAACCATTGGATATGTATCCGTTACTGTTGGGTCAGATGAGGCAAAGTGTAGGGCTGAAATAGGGTATGCTATAGCTGCCAAGTACTGGGGTCAAGGGTTTGGCACCAAAGCATTGAAGATGGCTGTGTCACAAGTTTTCAAGGACTTCCCTCATTTGGTAAGAATAGAAGCTTTTGTTGTTCCACAGAACAAAGCGTCCCAAAGGGTATTGGAAAAGGTAGGATTCCTTAAGGAAGGGGTACTCAGAAAGTATGCTTATGTCAAGGGGAGTGTTAAGGACGTGGTTGTTTTTAGTCTTGTGTTAGAGGATACTCATCTCCAAACTAAATTAGAGATTTGATTTTTTATATGTTTCTGTCGTATATTTCTTTTATTTAACTTTTTTATTTATCTATTTCTCTGTTTTTGATATATGACATTGCTTATGATATCTTTTACTTGTTTTTATCTCTTTTTCTTAGTGTATATTTCGGTTCATGTATGTGTACTAATTATTTTTCTTAAAATAGCTGTACTATGTAATTCAGTAATTCTCTGCAAAAGCATAAGTTAGTCAAGTATGAATCCTTTGTAGTGGAGTAGAAAGAATAAGATAATTTTGTATTCTTAATTTTTAAAAATTTAACAAAATTAATAAAATATAAAAAGAAATGAGAGCCAATGATGAATGCAGAAAATTCAGATCCTAGTCAGTCTTGGTTTCTAATCTTATTGCGTTACTTTTTCATTATTGCAAGCTTTTAATAAGCATCCATTGAAATTGCTTCCAATCTTTTTGCTTACTTGATCTTTGCATCATTTAAAAATGCTACATTCTGTTTCTGAAAATTTAAGTTGCAAAAGGAATTGTGATTAAATATTTAACTATCCATTTCTTAATGGTACCCTTATCCGCAATTTCCAGTGATACATTTTTCCTTTCTTTTGTGGTGGGTTAGATATAAGATTTAGGCATGTTTAGGTGAATTTATGGATAGATTTTTGTTAGAAAAAAATAATAAAATATTTTTTATAATTAAAATAATTTATCTCTTCAAGTTTTAGAAAAATAAATGAAAATAACTTTTAAACATAAAGAAATATAAGTTAATTTTAATTTATAAAATATAATAAAAATTATTTATTTTTTCTCTTATAAAGACTTGTTTATAAGCTCAATTAAACAAACACATATTTAAAAGAAAAACTCTGATCTCTCTCTTATTGTATTTTTTCTGGTCAAATGAATTTATACTTAATTTGAATATATTTCTTAAAAAGTAATTGTAGTAGATAAAAATAAGAAAGTAAAATAAATTAATTTTTTTCATTAAATAAGAATCAACCTATAGTTTAATTCTTTTTTACAAAGTTAAACAAAAAGATTTTAAAAATATATTTTAATTTAAATTTATAAAAAAAAATTATTTATTGTACTTCTTAAATTGTTTTTTTAGTAAGTCCTTGTAGAAATTGATCTAAAGTGGGTATTTTCCTACAAGTTATTTGCAGATAAATTGGCCGTCACAGAGACAGAATGGATCTGCTTTCGTTCTTAGGCTACTACAACATTAGTTGTATAGTGACCCTCAACAAACATTAAATTAATATTTTTTATACTTTTTAATTTTTAATAAATTTTATTCAATAATAAATGATGTGTTAAAGAAAGTACGTTGATAGAGTATTGATTTGGTCCCCGATGATAAAATTGCTTGAATAACAGAATTTCAATCCCAAGCAAGAGCCGTTCAAATCCTAGCACAAGTCTTCACAGTGGACCCAAATTTCATGGTTAGTTATCATGAGCAATGTTTCTAGTGTTTTTTTTAACATCTGTTTTATTATTAGATAAATTTATTATCAATCTCATTAACAATTGAACATGAATTGTCTTCCTCTCAGTGACACTAACATATATAAAAGTTACGTAACAATAAAAAAAAAAAAATGTGCCTGAAAAAATGACGCAACTCATATTTGTCACCATTAATACAGGAAAATAATTCATTTGAAAAATCGATCCCATGTATCATCGATTATTCAACAAATAATACGGATATGAAAAGAAGCAAATAAAATTAAAGTACAACTATAATATAAACTAAAATAGAACGAATGAAACTAAAATAATAATAATAATAATAATAATAATATTATTATTATTATTATAGAAATTATATAAACACAATGAGTGTTCAGTATAATTTAATTAAAAAATGAATATAATATTGTAAAATGTATAAAAAAATTATTTATTAATAAAATCATTATAATTTTCTTTAAAGTAAACGGCTATTATCATGTTAACTGTTTGTACAATGTAAGAAAAACAATTATCTTGAAACAATTTTAAATACTGTATGCCTGCAGTGAATATTCCCTAGTTATTATTTACATAACTCTCAAACCAAACAACCACCAAGAAAGCAAAATTAGTGAAAGTGAGTTCAATATAACGCTACCTTAGTAGAACAAAATCATTTTGGTCAACACATAAATTAATCATCACCGTTCATTTGCACTAATATCTTACCCTCCTAACTTAAACGTTGTTAACAAACGCTTAACCAATGTGCAACTACTTCATGTTCTCCATTACATTACATCACTTGCACCCACGAACCCCAACTTGGTACACCCGCATGCACCACAAACAACAAGTAGTACCCCGGCGGCGCAATCTCCGCCGTGGACGGCCCCACCAAGGTGGCATAATAAGTGTATCCGACGACATGCTTAACGCCAGTCAATTTCAACACCACCATCCTCTGATTCATCGCATAAGAGTGCGTCGTAAACGACGGTGCAAGGATCCTAACCGACACTTCACTCGCCGAAGCATAATTAGCAACCGTGAACGTGACATAAGAAAACGCCCTATACCCCAATACAGTACTATTTGAAATAAACCTAATCGTTGGCCGCACCGGATCATTCACCGATGCCAAATAAGGTGGAGAAAAAGCTTCCAAACTAAGATCAGTGGGGTACTCAACGCCACTGAAATTGTAATAAACATGTGGGTTGCTACCACCAACTAACACTCTTCCATCTTTCAACAAGATCGTTGAGGAATGGTATAGCCTAGGTCTTGAAGCGGGTGCCATTACACTAAACCTCAACCGTGAATCTGTCTCCGACGGCCGGAATATCATCGGCGTTAAAACCGGTTCACGGCCGTGTTCCCACCCGGCTGTTCCTGCACCAGCGCCGTTAATTATAACGACGTGGCCGTTAGGGAGAAGTAGCATGTCTCCCATTGCTCTTGGCATTGGCATGTTCTCCATCACCCAAGAAGGGTTAGGATCAGTGACTTTAAGCCTTCCACACGTGCTTAGGGCTTTCATGAAGATACCTTTTAATGCACTCTCGAAGGAGCCACGTGGCGCTCCTCCGCAAACCATAACTTCAGCTTCTATGGAGCCTCTGTTTTCGTCTAGTGGAAGAAGAACAGAAGAACCTGAGCTTGGGTAGTTACGGGGATCTCCACCAGGGATTGGAGGGAACTCTTTGAGCACGTGGTTTTGTTTGTAGTCTAATAAAACGGAACGGGTATTAGCGAAAATGAAGAGGTTTCCATTGGGTAAAAGGTGCACGAAAGGGTACAAGTTGTTTTCATATGGATCGGTGGTGTCTTGGAGAAAGCTAAGGTAAATTGATGAGGGAGAGTTTTGGAGGGTTCTAGGGTAGAATTCGTAGTTGTATTGTTTTCTACCTCCAACAACAATTACGCTACCATCTGGAAGTATTTGATTTGTTGCATACCATCTTCGTTGGGATAAGAGACCTGGGAATTCGACCCAGTCGCAGGTTGCGTCGAAGCATGTAGTGAAAAAGCGAATGCTACGTGCACCATCGTTAAAACCACCTGTTTGAACAAGGGTTCCGTTAGGGAGAACAGAGCCTGAGGAACACCACGTGTCTGATTGTACCATTAAGGGTCGAAACGTGTTTGTTGGTATGTCATATAGTATAGAGTGAGCAGAACAATCGATTTTTAGGGCAGTGTCGTGTGGGTCCATACGACAACGTCCATTGGAAAGAGGGAGATCGGAGATGCCAAAATCGGTTCGGTCAAACATGATGACTTTGTCGTTGTGTAGAAGTTGCATGTGCATGGCTGATATGCCAGTGCTTGGTTGCAAGAGGTGCCATTCTCCTTGGTAGTTAAAGGGTGATGATGGAGTCTGAGATAACGCTGGGACAAGAAAATATGCAATTGAAGTTAGTATAAAGGGAATATTTAGGAACATGATAGTGCTCATTCTGGGGAAGCAGAGAGAAGGAGAAGTATTGGAAGAAAGTGGTTGAGTTTACCAGTAAAGAGTTGGTGGGGTTTATATTTGCACAGTATAAACACTGATCAATATGATTATGACAATTCTTAACGAGAAAAAGGAGGGTATCTTTGAAAGGAATTATTCATGCGGCAGCTAAAGGGGCGCAACTCAAGGAATGCAGTTTAAAGCCAAGAAATATGATTTCCATTTACCAAAACTACACAGATCCACAGTTGATTTAAAATCATGTTGTCCACATAATCAGAAAATATAGGGCACCCCACTCATGGCAACTTTTGAACGTGTAAAGTGTCAAGCTGCAGCGATTCCAATCAGCTATATGATAAAACTTGAACTTAATTAGGTGAGTTTTGGTGTTATTCTTTAGTCAAATTATTAATCATTTTAATTATTAAGATAATAATTATTGAAAGAAAATGTTGATTTTATTTGAAAAATAATACTAATGGTGTTTACATTGCTGTATTTATGTTTTCTGATCTTTTGAATCATTAGCATTTAAACATGTTATGTTGCGGTATTGTAATGAATTATCCCACGTGGTGAAAAACAGTTAGTGAATTGATTATTTTGTCTTATTGATTTTATTTCTTAACCTTAATTAGAATATATTGATGGAAGATTATCAGCATGATTATTAATATCGTATTGTAGTATATTTTTTTTAGTGAAAAAAATAATAATTGTTGCACAATTAGAATATGATGAATAAATAAATAAGAATAACATTATCATTTAAAAAGTATTGACATAAAATCCAATCAAATTTGGGTGAAGTTCTAAATGCACACAAGATTAAAATAATTTTGACATCAAAGGAAATTATATTTTAAAACCTTCTAAATACAAATCATATTAATTATTAAATCCAATAAATTTTAAAAATTAGTAAGTTTAATTTTAAGAAAAAAAAATCTTGGGATCCAACAAAGTTGTTGGATCTTATCGAGGCTTGGTCTTATTGTGGCCCATCAAATTAAGTTAGGAAGGCGTTTTCGTTTCCAAATGGTGCATTGATCCATTACAATGCTTAAAAAGTTATTGGCTCATAGAGTAGTAGGAGACATAATATGAGTTGGAGTATATATCCTTGTAACTTTGCATTCCATTTATCAAACCGCACTAACACTTAAAATTTTAAAAACTTTTTAAAAATTTGTCTCAATAGGTTGATAATACAAATAGACTAGTTAGATCAAAGGAAAAAGAGTTAAGACATTTTTAATTTGAGAAAGTTTTTAAATTTTTAATAAATAATCACAAATTATATTTTTCTTTATTTTGCTTCATGTTTTCAAAATTTTATATAAAAGAATCATTTTATCAATTAGTTATTTTACCAATTTTATGCAAATATTTAACAACCGAGAAAAGTAAAAACAATATGACATTTTTATAATTATTTATATAAAAAATAAATTATCTTCTAAAACTAAAAAAATGAAATAACGACAGATTATTTCGTAATTAGTTTAATGCATTCAAATATGTAAACTAAAGTAACTATTGGTAAATAGCTATGTAAGATGTTTCATGCTCATAATATATATAACATTTTTCTTGTTTAAAACATACAAGACAGAGAATAAAACCCACTCCCTCGCACACATACACACATCATGTATGGTTCATCCTATTCAAACTGGGCTACTAAATATTACCAAGTATCCATAAGAATCTATCACAACGAAGACGAGATTTGAGGTGGTTGGCTATGGTTTCTAAGCATACCATCCAACTCTTTTTCAAACCTCTCCATGGCTTTGGCTGGCAAGCTGATTGGCACCACTATGACATACTCTCCTTTGTTATTTTTATACGAAAAGTACAAACTTGTCGTTTCAGAAAAGATCGCTGTTCCACCCTGGGCTGGCCCACCATAAATGGGTTTGCCCCACCCTAAATCCACTTCATCGAGCCTAGCACCATTAGTATTCGAAACAACATAGGACCTTGTCGTTGCAAAAAGTGGTCGTCCCTTAATCACCATCAAATCGGTTAAGGAGCGCACAAACTCCTCATCAACGTTGGTTTTTGCATTCTTAACCAATTCTAAAGCATACCCAAATGGATTTTCACTAAGCTTTCTTGCTGTGGTTACCGCACCCGAGAACACAAACTCATTACCGTAATAACCAACAGGTAATCGAGGATTAACCTTGGCATTAATGTTAACAGCGTACATGAATCGTACATCATCATCAGGGTCAAGTTGTAATGCTCTTACTCGACTTCTCCACATGCATGCTATGACAAACTCAAATGTGGTGCATCTACCAAGATGTTTGGGAACCAAACGACGAATAGCAGCTACTTCAGTACGACCGAAGAAGAAACAACGCTGCACCATGTCGTTTAATGATGGGGTCGTGCTCCCATTGGCTTTGTTTTCCACCATGACATCCTCGTACTCGGGATGGGTGCGTGAAATTCTTGGTGGGTCTCTTGCATTCAAAAGCTCCCTACACCACACTGGTTTAATGGAGGGTTCATTTGCACCATTAGCCATTTCAGCTAAAGCATTCACAAATTTTCCAATTCCTGATCCGTCGCTCATGCTGTGATTCAACCGAATGGCGAAAATGAAACCACCACACTTGAGGCGCGTCACCTATCATCAATGTATCGATATGAGACTAATGGCGAAAATGGTTTTTATACACAACAAATTTCAGTCATGCTATCAAATCAAAAATTAAAATAAGTAAAAATAATCTTTAGAAAAATGGAGACCTAGACGAGTGTTTATTTTGTGAATAAGGGGTGCTTGAATTCACCAAGAATCCCTTGCATTTACGCCACACTATAATGAAAAGTTTCTTTCCTCCGCATTTCAGCTATAAACGACAAAGTAATTAAAAACTTGAAATTGTGAGACTAATTTAGAAGTTCTAATAGAAAGAGTGGTGTGAGAAATTCACAGGAACCAGACATTTAAAATTTTTATTGGTTAAACGTTAAGTAATTAAAATTTAAAACAACAATTAATTACTTGATAGAAATCATGCGATCATGGTTGAAAATGGTTTTTGTGACTTTCCTACTCAAGAATATTTGTGCTATTAAAATTGTTCTAATAATAGAAATCTTGTAACACCATTTGATTTTTCGTTTCTCTATTTTTAATTTTTTTTACAGCACTTAAATTATTATTACTTGTTTATTTTTAATGGGTATTGATCTTTGTTTAGGTAAAATAAACATGTGATTTTAAAAAAGTTAGTGGCGTCCTCTCTATCAAATATCAACTACATTAAGATTTATGACCAATTCGATCCCAACTAACTTTGGCTCAATATTAATTAAATATTAATTAGTATTTTCGGGTTAGGGACGAATCCAGGTCTAAATATTTAATTTAGTCAAAATTTGGGGGCATATAAGAAATAACATCACATGCTTCTCTATGTTTATATATATTATTAACATATAAATATATAATTAATAAGATTATGATACTGTTGGCATAGGAAATTTGTCTTATCGATGTATCAGCATAAACTTACAATATTTATATTAATGATGAACATTTTTTTTTTATGTTTTGGTATATGAATTTTTGTGTTAATTAAATTGTAACAACTTTAAGACACATGTTTAATTTTTTAATAATTAATAAGATTAATTTTAATATTCTTTAAATTATTAAAATGAGTAATTAATGATAATTTGAAAAGTAAAACTTGATAATTAAATCGGGTCTGGGTTTTTTAGATAAAAAGGATTTGATTGTTTACTTGAGGATATAATCGTATTAACGAAAAAAATAAATATAATTATTATCACAGTAATACTAAACAGACAAAACATGAATTAGATGTGTGATTTTTCTTTTTTGTCTTATACTCACTAAAAAAAAGTCATTTATTAATGATTGTAGATACCAAATTTCACATTTGGTATCAACACATCTTCGTCTTCTTTTTATTTGCATCAAGTAGAATGTTCTAGATACGATCATGTCCAACCTTTCTCAAACTGTTTTATAAAATAAAAAATAATGTTATTTTCACCTTTTTTATAATTTTTTTATATCCTTTCTCTCATATTACTTATCTTAAACTTTATTTTATTTTATTTATTACAAAAATTATATTGAAAAATGAATACAAATATTAACGTTTCTCTTAAATGAAGAGCCAGTTAATTTCTTCAGCAAGGCATGTTCTGTTGTTTCTTATTTGGATCAAATCCCAAATAAAAATATGAAAAAAGAAAGTACGAACAAGAAGTTAATTAAGATAGTACTGAAAAAACCTGTATTAATAGAAGGGGACAGTTAGTTATTCCCTGTGAGCCAGGAACCTCATGCAGAAGCTCCTGGAAGCAGGGAAATGGTGGATGAAGAACATCACCGAATTGCTGGAGTCTGACATCAGCATCAGCCTCAATGAAAAGAACACCTTCCCCAGTACAATCCACCACAAGTTTTCGACCATGACCTTCCCTAAGCCTACCCGCAAATGGGTAGTAAAACACTAGAGTTTGTGCTAGTGCCTCTCTAATCACTTCAACTGGGTCCTTCCCTTTCATTGACGCCTTGCTACCATAGAATTGTATGAATGGAATCTGAAAACGTAAGCCTTCTTGGTCATCTATGTCAGATAGTTCCTTAACTTCACGAGGAGTAGGCTTAGCCGGCGCTATAAGTTCTGGTTGCTTCCTTAGCACTGTGAACAATAGATTGGGAGATGGTTGAGTCATGGTGATGATTGCTGAATGCTGATGAGTTTGTGTGTTGTCTATGTGAGGGTGAGGTCTTTGAGTGTGTCCTAAGATTGGTGCTTCCACGTCTTATAATGAGCGAAATTTACATGTTTGATCGACGCAACACACCGTAATTAATATGTTTCATACGAGTTAGTGTCTGAAAGTTCAAAGAAATTAACACTCATCTCTGTCATTTTACCTGTGCCTGCAAAACTGAAAGACAATAAAATTTAAAATATAATATTTTAAATAAATATAATATTTTTAAAATATAAATACACATCAAAATTTGGATAGCATAACTATAAATATTCAAGTGATATTAAATTTAATATAAATAATATTAAATAATATAAAATAAGTTAATACTTTGATTAATTATTTTATAATTTATTAAAAGTTATTTAAAATGTAAATATTCAAATTTAACACTGATAATAATATATTTAAAATAAAAATTTTTAAGAATAAAAAATATCACTAAAAAACATGTTATTATATAAATATTTTATTTATATAAAAAATAGTTGTAATTTAAATTAAAAAAATGTTAAACATGAAAAAAATGTGACACTTTTATTGTGTGGACAATAAGTAAATAAACGTGTGGACAGAGCACGACCGGTTTTAAATCAGCACGCATCCTGTGTGTGGATACCGTTTAATCTACAATTGTTCGTTTTGCTTTTTCTGCATACGACACTGGCTTGTTAACTTTCAAAATAATTTTTTTATAAATGTTAATATATTTTAATATAATTTTTTTGTTGAATAATTTTATATATTTTATATTTAATAGTTTAAAATTATTTTTTCTTGATTTTTAAACAAACAGAAAAAAATGTGTTGTTGGATCAGGGGAAAAAAATGAGTTACCACGTTAAAAGAAATTCAAATTGAGATCATAAAGGACATAATTTAATTTTAAAACTGGTTTAAAAATAATTAGTCAAATTATTATTAAAAAAAGTACTTTAATCGTATACTTGTCCGATTTTAGAATCGGCACAGAAAATAAATGTTAACCTCCAAATCGGAAAAAATCACACACTCTGTCCCCAAATAAATTATTATTAAGATCCTTTATAGTTTGTTAATTGTACGATAATGTAATTTTTTAAGTGATGATTACAATTTTTGTATAAAAAAGGTTGGAATTTATTAAATTATAATTTTTATATGATTTAATTAATTAAATAAATTTAAATGTATTATTAATATAATTTTTTTAATATTATTAATTAACTCAAATATATAACCATCAAATGCATGTATTAATTACTAAAAAATTATTTCAGCTTAATTTATAATATTTGTTGTGTAAAAAAAATAATTTTAGTAAATAACATAATAACATAGTTTTAAAATTAATTGTTATAAAAGTTAATAAATTTGTGTGTGATGCTTCATTTCTATTATTTCTTAATTTTTTAATTTTTTATTTATATTGGCTTTGTAATTAATTCTTTTATAAAACTTTGAATACTTAAATTGATATAAACTAAAATTTTAAGTAATAAATAAATATTTATTTAAGTAGATTATAATTTTTTATTAAATATATGCTTGATGTAAATAAAAATTAATATTTTTAATAGTGCAATATAAATTATTAATAATAATATAAAATAATCTATATGCATGGTTAGATATTTTTAATAGAAGTGTCACACGATATTTTGTATATTCTTTTCTTATTTGAGTATTTATTTCTCGTGTTATTGAAGGCTCATATTTCATCTTGTGATATTAGCTAGTATTATATGTAAGGAATGAAAACATTCAATAATGTGCAATAAATATTTCCAATATCAAAGTTGAAATTTTCTTTGAATGCTTATCCTTGTAGGTGCTAACTGGCTACTCTAAATTTCCCAGCACGCGTGCCTCCTTCTGGGCATCACTATTTTATATTCAACGGCTTTGGGAATCATTCTTTGATTGATGAATTTAATGGACAGGTATATTATGCACACATTTTTTTCAATAAACGGCTTGATAAAGGTTAGTATCAAAGATAGATACACATTTTAGAAGTAACACTTTAATTTGACTTGTTGAACAACCTAACAATAACCTATCTAAGTTTTATCATTATATTATAGATGTGTATAATATAATTTCGTTGGAGCCTGGAACATCATATATATATATATATATATATATATATATATATATATATATATATATATATATAAGAGTTCATGGACGCATGGGAATGGAGGTGTAAGAGAGTCACCAAATTAATCAAGTGTTACATCTGCATCAGCCTTAATGAACACAAGTGTTTGAGCGAGTGCTTCTCCAATCCCTTCGGTCTTTCTCTGCCATTGATGGCTCGTTACGATAAATTTGTATGAGTGGAATCTGAAACTGTAAGCCATCTTGGTCGTCTATTTCGGAGAGTAGTTTAACTTGGCGAGGAGTGGGTTTAGCAGGAGCCACCAACTCGGGTTGGCGCCTCATCACAACAAACATTACGGAGCGAAATGAAGAGGCCATGTTTCTTATCTAAATTTGGAAACTATTGGTGAAGAATTAAGAAGAACAGAGTTGTCAAGTTTTGTGTTCGTCCGTAAGGAAAATTTTGAAACTGCAGTCCCACACCCATTAAAATACAGGTGTGGTGACGAGAATCTAATCCTATAAAAATAGGGTATTAAATGAAGGAATACAAATCTTAAGAATACGGGGTCATAGATGATCATAAAGGCCTATGGTTAAGATTAGTGATCTCTATTGCACTTGGGAGAAGTGTTAGCTTAAGCTCTTCTTAAATAAGGAAAGATTACGCGACATTCTTGGATAATGCAGGTGTGCGTTCGCACTGTCCCTTATAATTTTCAGTCTAAGAATTGTCTATTTTTCTTGCACAAGAGAACAAAAGAAAAGAAAAAAAAAAGGGTGACAAGAATCCAACCCTATAAATATAGGATATTAAATAAAGCAATCCAAATCTTAAGAACACGGCGTAAATGGGTGATCATGGAGGCCCATGGTCTAGGTTAGTGATCTCCATTGCAATTGGGAGTGGTGCTAACTTAAGCACTTTTCAAATGAGGAGAGACTACGTGACATACTTTGGTAGTGGGGTGTGCGTTCGCGTTGCCCCTTATAATCTTAAGTCCAAGAATTGTCTATTTTTCCTGCAGAAGAGGACCAAAAAAAAATGAAAAAGGGTGACAAGAATCCAACCCTATAAATATAGGGTATTAAATGAAGGAATCCAAATCTTAAGAACACGGGGTTAGTGGGTGATCATGAAGACCCATGACCTAGGTTAGTGATCTCCATTGCACTTGGGGAGACGCTAACTTAAGCTCTTCTCAAATGAGGAGAGACTACGTGACATTTTTTAGTAGTGAGGGTGTGTGTTTGCGTTGTCCCATATAATCTTCAGTACAAGAATTATCTATTTTTCCTGTAGAAGAGAACAAAAGAAAAGAAAAGAAAAAGGATGACAAGAATCCAAGGTATTAAATGAAGGAATCCAAATCTTAATAACACAAGGTCAATGGGTGATCATAAAGGCCTATGGCCTAGGTTAGTGATCTCCATTGCACTTGGGAGAGGTGCTAGCTTAAGCTATTCTCAAATGAGGAGAGAATACATGACATTTTTCGGTGGACAAATGTGGACTAGGTTAACCTCCTCCTCTCTGGGGACAACTTTGTTAATTTTTGCCTGAGCTGCTCTTTGGAGTTTTCAATTCACCAGGTCACTTTAACTTTTGCCTAGGTCGTCCTTTCAAGTTTTTAACCTAGCGAGCTATTTTCTTTTTTTTCCCTCTTTTTTTTATGTTTTATTTTTAATTATTTTAAGCATTTTTTTTTACAGTATCAGAACTGATGGGATCTTGGAGATCTTGTCCATCTATGTTTTTTAGGATTAAAGCTCCTCCTGAGAAAGCCTTTTTTACCGCATGGAGTCCTTCATAATTTGGAGACCACTTGCCACGATAATCTTTATGCGTTGGCAAAATCTTTTTGAGCACTATATCTCCTTCACTGAATTCTTTTGAACGAAATTTTTTTATCAAAAGCTTTCTTTATCCTTCTCTGGTATAGTTGTCTGTGACCTAACTCATTCAGACATTTTCCTTCAGTGAGATTCAATTGATCAAAACGAAATTGCACCCAATCTGCTTCCTCCAATTTGGTTTCCATTATTACTCTTAAAGAGGGAATTTCAACCTCAATAGGAAGTACTGCTTCCATTCCATATACCAAAGAGTATGGAGTTGTCCCGATTGAAGTACGAATTGAAGTTCGGTATCCATGCAAGGCAAATGACAGCATTTTATGCCAATCCCTGAATGTCACTACCATCTTTTGGATGATCTTCTTAATATTTTTATTGGCTGTTTCAACTGCTCCATTCATCTTCGGGTGATAGGGGAAGAAATTCTGATGTCGAATCTTGAAATTGTCACATAATTCTTTCATCATTTTGTTGTTCAGATTAGTGTCATTGTCTGTTATCAACTTGCTTGAGAGGCCATATCAATAGATCAAACCCTTTTTAATGAATCTCACCACCACATTTTGGGTCATACTAGCATATGAGGCAGCCTCAACCCATTTTGTGAAATAGTCAATAGCAACTAGAATGAAGCGGTGACCATTAGAGGCTTTAGATTCAATGGATCCAATAACATCAATTCCCCACATTGATAAAGGTCAGGGCGATAATAAGACATTCAAATTTGTTGGGGGGACATTAATATTATCAGTATATGTCTGGCATTTATGACATGTTGGTGTGTAAAAATCTGATCACTGGGCAAGTGTACCCGTTGTCGAAGTAATATTATTAAAATTAAAATTAAAGTACCAAGTGTCGTATCCACAGGGACTGTTATTAAGAAACATTTCTTTAATTGCGTAATTGTTAATAAATATGAAAAATAAACCTTGTTGATGAAATTGCTAAAAGTAAAAGAATAATAAATTAAAAGGAACAGATATTCTAGTGAAAATAAATTATAGAAAATTATGACTAAAGGTATTCAATGTAAAAAGACAAGTATCTAGACTGTAAATCCCCCTAAGTGTCCAAATAACTGAAATTCTTCTTCAACTACTTAGTTCCAAACCCTTATCGCTGCAGGAAATTTCAAATTAAATTAATACCTTTCTCAAGGATAATGATTCCTAACCCTCAGTTGATTAATCAGAATCTCTTCCTTAATTAATACCCCTAGGTTGCATTAAGTTCATTATGAATTTCATAATTAGGGTTAATCCTAATACAGAAAACTCACGTCTTTCTATCTCTAGAAATACATTCAAGTCTTTTTAATTGAGCAATGTTAATTTCATACAGGAATTTTACTCAAATTCAAACAAGAAAACAAGATAGAGAAAATTGATACTACTCAATTAAACCCAAGAGAAAAGAACATGAAATAGCATTAGAAGAATTCCAGAAAATTTAGTCAATTAGGATTCATTACGTCTAGATACTCAAAGAAAAATTAGAACCTAAACATCTTCAAATTAAAATTACAAAAGAGATGAAATAAAATGCTTAATCTCATCCTCTTGCCGTCTCTGAGTCTTTCGTCTCCAAAAACTGCCTCCCCAGGTTTGAGTTCAGTTCTCCTTTTATAGGAATTATCCTAGGGTTAATTTTCTTGCAAAAGTTAAATTTCTGACGCGCGTAAAAGTACACGGCCATGTACTTGGCCGTGTACATCTCTATTTTCTAATAGACGTCTTTCAAAGCTTTTCATAAAAGTACACGCTCATGTACACGGCCATGTATCTGGCCGTGTACATCTCTGGTTTTGATGATACACTTCAATTGACGCGACCAGTGAGATACACGCTCATATACATGGGCATGTACTTGCTCGTGTATATCTCTGGCTTCATTATGTGTTTCAAGTCTCAATATCTTTTAAAGCTTTCACTTCTTTATCCTTTTTCCTGAAATATAAATAAAATGAAATTAATAATAGTAAATTTTATCAATGAATAGCTTAAAACTCTCAATTATCATTCATGAATTATAATGTACGATCAAGTATAGAAAGCATTTATCAAATTTCCCCGAACTTGAACGATTGCTTGTCCCCAAGCAAAGAAATGAATCAATTTTTACCCTTGACAACAAAGAATCAAATTCCTGAAATTTTTATTATTGTTATTTTTATTTTATTTTATTTTTAGAGGGAAAGTAATTCTTAAATATCAAATTGTGCTTTCTTTTGCTCTCGACCTCTGTAACTTCAGACAGAATTGAAATAAGGACCTCTCTACCATTAGCTTTTAAAATTTTAATTCAAAACTTTGAATTCTTCCACAAGGTGTTATTTAATTTTCTTTACTTTGAGCCATGATCAACTAACAGGGTGCATTTTATGCTCCATCCCAGTTAGCACAAGGTATTAATGGAAAATTTCACCCCTTGCTTTCCACATCGGTACCTCAAACAAATTTGGGGTTCTAGGATGTGGTATCCGGACATTGCCTGCAATCCACATTTAACTAGATATGCTTCTATGACATGCTCTTTTATTTCTGAGCAGAGCCCCAATTTTTTTCAGATTTTCCTAGTTTTATTAATTCAAAAATTCAAAAACATGTTTAAACAATTTGGCATAGATTCAAGGTCCTCAATTCAGAAAAGTCTAATGATACTTCAATCAAGAAACAATTAAAAATGCAATTAGAATAACCAGAATAATTGCGTGTGATGTTTATTTATTGATTATATTTTCAGGAATATCATCTCTAATGCAACAGTAAAATTGACTCAATATTGCTCAAGAATAAAACAACAATTCAGTTCAAACATCTATAATTATCCACCCCACATTGTAAGATTTGCATTGTCCTCAATCAAATATAAGAATTAAAGTGCAACTGAAACTTCCCTGAAAAGTAAATAAGTAAGCAAAGAGTCGTGGGAAGCAAAGCTAATCTGGGATTCAATTGGAGAGGAAACCTGATTAAAATTTTTTTTATAAGGAGATTTAACTCAATTTATAATGAAAAGAGGAGTAGAACGATCAAAATAATGCGATAAAGAAACAGAAGTAATAAACAGACAAAAGCAATTTAAATCCTAAAAAATTCAACAACTAAGACTCCTAATTGCAGACTAAACTGCGCATCAACTAAGTCTTCATCATCTATACTAAGAAAGTGGTTAGAAGGAGATGGGGTTCATGCTGGGGCGAGGACGCTTATTCAAATATAAATAAATGAGCAAATAAATAACTAAATTAAAATAAACTAAACCTACGTAACCTAAACTATTCAATGTAATTCAACATTCAAAATTTAACATGGAGGAGTTTAAACTCCTCATTTGCAAAAGTTTGCAGTTGACCCCCTGGTATAGTTTGAGCCTATGTTCATTCACGTTAAAATTTCCTTTTTCTGGATGAGTTAATTCAATTATACCGCAAGGAAATACCTTATGCACAGTAAACGGTCCAGACCAATGGGATTTGAGTTTACCTGGGAATAATTTGAGGCGAGAGTTGTACAACAGTACTAAATCACCTTTTTGAAATAGTTTACCTCCCTTGAATTTTTTATGATGGTAGACCTTCAATTTTTCATCTGGTGGTTCATTAATGGATGGGTTGGGTTGCTTCTCTGATTTCCACTCCAAAACTTTGAAGTCTCTCTTTCTCCATAATGGCTTAGTGGCTTCTAAATGACACCACTGTTCTTGAGTTACCAAGCTCATATCATCTTTTCCTCTATCATGAACTAAGTTTCTTTCCAATGGGTTTGAAATCAAGAATTCCTGTGCACAATCAGAAACATAATCATCAATTACATTAATAAGATAGCATGAATAATCTTGTTTCAAAGACTTTTTTATTACATCAGGAATTTTGAAAGTGACTTTTTCATCTCCAACCCTCAAAATTAACTTTCCATCCCTCACATCAATTATAGCTCCTGCAGTAGCTAAAAATGGACGACCTAAGATCAAGGGGACATCAGTGTCCTCGTCCATATCAAGAATTACAAAATCAACAGGAAAAATAAATTTGTCCACTTTTACAAGCACATCCTCAATGATACCCCTAGGATATTTAATTGATCTATCAGCTAGTTGAATACTCATCCTAGTTGGCCTAGGTTCCCTTAAACCTAATTTCTTAAAAATAGAATATGGCATCAAATTAATGCTAGCACCTAAATCAGCTAAAGCCCTATCAACTATCAATCTACTAATGAGACAAGGAAGAGTAAAACTCCCTGGATCCTTCAATTTTTCAGGCATCTTGTTTTGCAGAATTGCTGAGCATTCTTCATTCAGAGTTACTGTGGCCAACTCCTCCAATTTCTTCTTGTTGGACAGTAGATCCTTCAGAAATTTGGCGTACTTGGGCATCTGTGCCAAGGCATCAACAAACGGTAAATTAATATGAAGTTGACGAAATAAGGACAGAAATTTACCAAATTGTTCATCATCCTTGTCTTTCTTCAATCTTGCTGGGTAGGGAAGTGGGGGTATGAATTCTTTCACTACGTGGGGCTTTTCCACAGTCTCCTCTTGACATTTATCCTTCTCTTCAGCTGTATCTTTTTCTGTTTCTTGCTTCCCCTTCTCTTGTAATGTTCTGCCACTCCTTAATGTTACTGCATTGACCTGCTCCCTAGGATTAGTCTCAGTATTGCCAGGCAAGCTTCCTTGGGGTCTTTTTGAGAGAAGTCTAGAAATTTGACCCAACTGAATTTCTAGATTATGGATAGAGGCTTGTTGATTTCTTAGTGCTGTCTCGGTAGATTGAAACCGAGATTCTGAAGTTTGAATGAATTTGGTCATCAATTCCTCAAGGTTTGACTTCTTTTCAAGTGGGGGTGGTGGTGGATGTGAAGCTTGTTGAAATCCTGTGAGTGTGTTGTTCCGCATTGGCTGTTGGTTGTTATTCCATGGTTGGTTTGCATAGTTCCTCCAGCCCGGATTATTCATGCCATTATAATTTTGATAAGGTGGTATGTTTCCTATCACATTGGCAGGTTCTTCCTGAGTAGCTCGACACTCATGATTAGGGTGGCCTCCTCTGCAAATATCACATCTCATTACCGGAGCAACTTGATGGTTAACAGATAAACCATTAATCTTCTTCCCTAAGGTTTCCACTTGCATTGCCAAGGATGTTACTGCATCAAGACTATAGATCCCCGTGGATTTCGCAGGTTTGGATCGAGTTGAGCTCCACTGATAGTTGTTCATTGCCATTTCTTCAAACAGTTCTTGTGTAGCCCTTGGTGTCTTGCTATTCAAAGTGCCCCCAGCTGCAGCATCTATCATTTGTCTTGTGGCTGGGTTCAATCCATTGTAGAAGGTTTGCACTTGAAGCCAGTCCGGAATTGCACTTGAAGCCAGTCCGGAATCCCATAATGTGGGCATTTCCGCAACAATTCCTTGAACCTCTCCCACGTATCGTATAATGTCTCTGACTCTAATTGATAGAAGGAAGAGATATCATTTCTCATTTTGGCAGTTTTCGCGGGAGGAAAATATTTTGCCAAGAATTTTTCTGCCATAGCCTCCTATGAAGTGATAGACCCTCGTGGGAGAGAATTCAACCATTGTTTTGCTATGCTCCTGAGAGAAAATAGAAATAGCCTCAAGCGGATTGCATCATCAGTAGCTCCATTGATCTTGAAAGTATCACAAATTTCCAGAAAATTTTCAATGTGAGCATTGGGGTCTTCGTCTTGCAACCCATCAAACTGGACAAACTGCTGAACCATCTAAATAACATTGGGTTTTATTTCAAAATTCCTTTGCATATCCGGACGGACAATGCTAGACTCTGTCCCTGTTAATGATGGACCAGCGTAATCGGACATGGTCCTTGGTTGATCTTCGTTGTTTGCCATTCCTTCCATGTGTGTTTGTGCGTTTTCCCTCTATACTAGCAGTCGCCTCTCTTTCCAAATTTTTCGCAAAGTTCTTTCGATCTCTGGGTCAAATTCAAATAGTTCTTCAGACAATGCAGTAGAACGGGTTTTGATCATACACTAGAAAAATCAGCTCCTAAAAAGAATGAAAGCAAAAGAGTTAAGTTAATTCAAGATTAAAGAAATAAATAAAATTAGTAAATACGTAACAAAGGGAATCCTAATTAAACAGTCCCCGGCAACGGCGCCAAAAACTTAGTGTGTAAAAATCTGATCACTGGGCAAGTGTATCCGTTGTCGAAGTAATATTATTAAAATTAAAATTAAAGTAACAAGTGTCGTATCCACAGGGACTGTTATTAAGAAACTTTTTCTTAATTGCGTAATTGTTAATAAATATGAAAAATAAACCTTGTTGATGAAATTGCTAAAAGTAAAAGAATAATAAATTAAAAGGAACAGATATTCTAGTGAAAATAAATTATAGAAAATTATGACTAAAGGTATTCAATGTAAAAAGACAAGTATCTAGACTGTAAATCCCCCTAAGTGTCCAAATAACTGAAATTCTTCTTCAACTACTTAGTTCCAAACCCTTATCGCTGCAGGAAATTTCAAATTAAATTAATACCTTTCTCAAGGATAATGATTCCTAACCCTCAGTTGATTAATCAGAATCTCTTCCTTAATTAATACCCCTAGGTTGCATTAAGTTCATTATGAATTTCATAATTAGGGTTAATCCTAATACAGAAAACTCACGTCTTTCTATCTCTAGAAATACATTCAAGTCTTTTTAATTGAGCAATGTTAATTTCATGCAGGAATTTTACTCAAATTCAAACAAGAAAACAAGATAGAGAAAATTGATACTACTCAATTAAACCCAAGAGAAAAGAACATGAAATAGCATTAGAAGAATTCCAGAAAATTTAGTCAATTAGGATTCATTACGTCTAGATACTCAAAGAAAAATTAGAACCTAAACATCTTCAAATTAAAATTACAAAAGAGATGAAATAAAATGCTTAATCCCATCCTCTTGCTGTCTCTGAGTCTTTCGTCTCCAAAAACTGCCTCCCCAGGTTTGAGTTCAGTTCTCCTTTTATAGGAATTATCCTAGGGTTAATTTTCTCGCAAAAGTTAAATTTCTGACGCGCGTAAAAGTACACGCCCAAGTACACGGCCATGTACTTGGCCATGTACATCTATGTTTTCTAATAGACGCCTTTCAAAGCTTTCCATAAAAGTACACGCTCATGTACACGGCCATGTATCTGGCCATGTACATCTCTGGTTTTGATGATACACTTCAATTGACGCGACCAGTGAGATACATGCTCATATACACAGGCATGTACTTGCTCGTGTATATCTCTGGCTTCATTATATGTTTCAAGTCTCAATATCTTTTAAAGCTTTCACTTCTTGATCCTTTTTCCTGAAATATAAATAAAATGAAATTAATAATAGTAAATTTTATCAATGAATAGCTTAGAACTCTCAATTATCATTCATGAATTACAATGTAGGATCAAGTATAGAAAGCATTTATCACATGTCTTCACATAACAAAAGTAATCGGCCTCCATTGTCAACCAATAATATCCAGCCCTTAGAATATTCTTTGCCATGGCATGTCCATTGGCATGAGTCCCAAATGAATCCTCATGAATCTCTTCCATGATCTTTCGTGCTTCTAAAGCATCCACACATCTAAGCAGAACCATATCATGATTCTTTTTGTATAACACATCTCTATTCAGAAAGACACTCATTGCTAACCTCCTCAATGTCCTTTTGTCATTTTCAGCAGCATTTAATGGGTATTCTTGGTGTTTTAGGAAATTTTTAATGTCATGATACCAAGGTTTACCATCAGATTCTCCTTCAACCATTTGATAATAGGCAGGATGATCAAGCTGTTGCATCTTTATGAACAACATGTCTTCTTTTTGACTCACTACAAACATTGATGATAAAGTGGCTAAAACATCATGACCCATTCATCTTTTGCTGAAGATTCTTTCTCATTAAATAACGTCATTATATTTTCATCAGGAAATTTGTACTGTATTGACTGATAATCATTCATCGGTTGATGAGCTAGAAAATCTACAAGAGCACTGCCTTTGATTGCTTTTTGAGTAACATACATCATATCATATTATGACAATAGGGCCTACTAACGAGCAATCCTTCCAGTAAGGGCTGGTTTCTCAAAAATGTATTTGATTAGGTTCATTGACACCAACCAAGTTGTGTGACTTAACATGTATTGCCTTAACTTGCGAGCTGCCCAAGCCAAGGCACAACAAGTTCGTTCCAACAAAGAGTATTTAGTTTCATAATCAGTGAACTTCTTACTCAAGTAATAAATGGCATGCTCTTTCTGACCCGATTCATCATGTTGACCTAAAACACATCCCATGGATCCTTCTAACACTGTCAAATACATAATGAGTGGCCTCCCTGGCATTGGCGGCACTAGTATCGGAAGATTTTGTAAATACTGCTTTATCTTCTCAAAAGCTTCTTGATAATCCTTATTCCATTCCATTGGCCTATGTAATAACTTAAAAATTAGTTCATAAGTGGCAGTTAGTTGGCATATGAATCGGGCAATATAATTCAATCTCTCCAAAAATCCACGGACCCCTTTTTCAGTGCAAGGCGGTGGCATTTCAATAATTGTTTTTGCCTTATCAGGATCAATCTCTATTCCCCTTTGACTGACTATAAATCCTAATAACTTGCCTGATTTCACCCTAATGGTACATTTGGCAAGGTTTAACCGCAATTTGAATTTTCTCAAGTGCTCAAACAACTTGTGTAAATTTACAATATGGTCTTCTTGAGTCATTGATTTGGCAATCATATCATTCACATAGACTTCAACCTCCTTATGTATCATATCATGAAATAATGTCACTATCGCCGTTTGATATGTTGCCCCAGCATTTTTCAAACCAAAAGGCATGACCTTGTAGCAAAAAGTGCCCTAAGGTGTAATGAATGTGGTCTTCTCCATATCCTCTTCAGCCATTTTGAATTGATTGTAACCCAAGTAACCATTCATGAAAGAGAAGAATGAATGTTGAGCTATATTATCTACTAGCACATCAATGTGAGGCAATGAAAAATCGTCTTTAGGGCTAGCTCTATTTAGATCTCGATAATCAACACACATCCGAATCTTTCCATCTTTCTTAGGAACTGGAACAATGTTGGCCACCCATTGGGGGTATTTGGCAACGACAAGGAAACCTGCATTAAATTGCTTCTTAACCTCCTCCCTAATTTTCAATGACATCTCAGGTCTCATTCTCCTTTATATTTGCTTAACTGGAAAACACTCTGGCTTTAGTGGCAATTTATGCTCGACTATATCAACATCTAGACCTGACATATCTTGATAAGACCATGCAAAGACATCACTATAATCATGCAAGAGTTTACTCAACTTGTTGCGATCTTGTTTTTTCATAAGGGTGCCTATTTTGATTTCTCTCTTATCATCTTCAGTCCCTAAATTAATCGTCTCAGTGGGTTCATCATGAGGTTGGACCTTTTTCACTTGTTGATCAACCAATCTTAGAAATTATGAGGATAAATCACCATCACTATCATCTTTGACAGGTTGATTAATAGGATAATCAAAATTAGTGGATGAGATATTAGCACTGTTACTTTCAGACATGTCACTTTCGAATCTGCATTGTGTGAGAGTTGAGACAAAAAGAAAATAAATGACAAGATTTAAGCAATAAAGAAAGAAGACACAAAAGGTTGTTGAGAATTCAAATTGCATTTCATTTGAAAACATACTTAAAAGGAAACATGTGTCCCAACTTACAAAACAAACTGATCTTTTAAATTACAAAAAAGAAACCATATATCAGTCTTTTCAAAAAGTAATGATATCCTAAAGCTTTGGGACAAAACAATAGGATTAGCTTCAATGATTATTTTGAGTAGGCATTAAAAATCACAGGAAGTTTGATGATCTCCTAATTGCCAACTTCTATGTTCAGTGGACAAATGTGGACTAGGTTAACCTCCTCATCTCCAGGTACATCTTTGTCAATAATAGCCACTAAGTCTTGAAACTCAAATACAGCACTATAGAAGCTTTTTAGAAGATCACAAATGAGGACCCCTTCAGTCTTAGGCTCCCTACCCTCTAACCTAGCTAATCTTCTTTCTTTCTTCTCCTCCATGACTCATCTCTTATCAGCTTTAGTGGGCGCATATCCCAACCCAAATCTATCCTTATTCTTATGGAGCTGTAACCAATTTGCTGCTTTCGTGATGGTTTGTCCTAACACGTATCCATACTGACAACCTCCATCAAGCATGACTTTAGCAGTCATTATGGATGTATTAGACAATTGAGGCTTTACGATTGAGGCTCCCTCTCCAACATAAGTAGCATTTGCAATCTCTAAAGCCTGAAAAGAAGTCTCTAGAGCTTCTTCAGCAGCTTCAATGTAAGGAGTAGAC